GTGCTTACAGGCCACCGTCTCACTGTGAGGAAATAAGCAATGTGCGTATTTCCTCTCAACATTAATCTATATTTAACTTTTATTTATAAACATACATAATATATAAATTTTTTACGGATGTTCGTTTTATTCCATGAAGTGTTATTTGTTTAGGCTTATTTTAATGGCTGATGTGTAGAATCAAGAGAACGGCGGCTTTCAAGTCGGTTTTAGGTTCAGAACTGTCTAGAACTCTTTGTTGTTGTTGTTTTTATAGTTCAGATGGTATCATTAATATAATTTTAGCGCATTATATCCGACGAGTTAGGGGTTAGGGGTTGGGGTTGTGGTTGGGGTTGAGGTTAGGGTTAGGGTTAGGGGTTAGGGGTTAGGGGTTATGGGTTAGGGGTTAGGGGTTAGGGGTTAGGGTTAGTCTAAGAAAATATTGCTAATGATTTCAACCATAGAAAATATAAAGAATTTTAACTGATTAATGAATAATTATCTATTATAGCACTGACGTATCATGTATACCTTTTATTTTACCCCAGACATATTTTGTAAAGAAAAGAGAGATGAAACAACGCGCTTAATTCCTCTCTACCGTGCGAGGAAATAAGCATCGTGTTTATTTGATGTATGAGCCTTGAGTAGTTTCTGTATCGTTTACCGCAATAAGCACGAGTCTTAGTGCATGTGATATCCGCTCTCGTGCTAGGAAACAAAAACAGGAAATGTGATCCCATTTTTGTCGTCAACTTTTTAGCTCCTCGTTTTTAGATCAGTCGGATAAGATTTCTCAAATTAAATGCTTTAAACAAAAATTTACAGCAAAAAAAAATTAGTCACGATTAGAAGACAAGGTGTTTTTAATATAAAAATGAACAGAATATCACATTCAGAGAAACAAAATTGAAGCTATCAATTGAACAAACAATTGAACAAACAATTGAACAAACAATTGAAGTTAGATTAGGTATACTAGCCACACGAACCCACAGCATAGCCAATGGAGGAACAACTGAACAAGCCTGGGCATTAGAATAATCGCCCCTTATTATTTATATATAAAAGTGTGTTAGTGTCTGTGGGTGATTGTGTGTATGTGTGTCTGTATAATATTTATACAGAGTTTCTTCCAGGCATGAAATTGAATGTATATAGAAAATATATACTTTTAACAGTGTCCGCCCCCCCCCCCCCCCGAAAATTTCAAGTGCCCCCCTTCCCCTCCTGAGAAAAAAAGTCTGAAAGAAACACTGTATACAAACGTTTTTGTTTTGAAGAATTGCTAAAAGTTTAACATATCTTCGTGGATTTAATATTAGATTGTTATCTAAATATTTCTTTACACTTTAAGTTGATTGGTTTTTTTAACAAGCTGATTTCAAACGGTTTTTATATCTAGTTATTACTCAGATTTTTTTTAAGATAGCAAGGATAAAAGTAGGATTCTGAGCGGTTTGAAAAGTTTCAAGAAATAAAGAATGCATCTCCAATCAATCAGATGAATTTTTTTTTCCCTGGGCCGTTTTATGCAGCGTCAATTTAAGTTTGGACTTTTTCTGTTCACCAAACGTTCATCCTTATTGAGGGAAGCCCTTTTGTCGGGAGACTAAATGTCGGGAACTTATATGACGGTGTTCATTTATTGCTGCCTTTTTTGACGGGGTTGTTTTGTATATATATATATATATATATATATATATATATATATATATATATATATATATATATATATATATATATATATAATTTTGAGTATGAACATGAAAGGTTGAAGATACCTTATCATTTCTTCTTTTCTTTATCAAATGTGTTGTAATGTCTACATATCCACGGTGGTAACCTAACTGTCATGTTTGTCCACACTATCCACACCGCCATGTTTGTCCACACTGTCCACACTATCCACACTGTCCACACTATCCACACCGCCATGTTTGTCCACACTGTCCACACTATCCACACTGTCCACACCGCCATGTTTGTCCACACTGTCCACACTATCCACACAGTCCACACTATCCACACTATCCACATTATCCACACTGTCCACACCGCCATGTTTGTCCACACTGTCCACACTATCCACACTGTCCACACTATCCACACTGTCCACACTATCCACACTATCCACACTATCCACACTGTCCACACTATCCACACTGTCCACACCGCCATGTTTGTCCACACTGTCCACACTATCCACACTGTCCACACTATCCACACTATCCACATTATCCACACTGTCCACACCGCCATGTTTGTCCACACTGTCCACACTATCCACACTGTCCACACTATCCACACTGTCCACACTATCCACACTATCCACACTGTCCACACTATCCACACTGTCCACACCGCCATGTTTGTCCACACTGTCCACACTATCCACACTGTCCACACTATCCACACTGTCCACACTATCCACACTATCCACGCTGTCCACACTATCCACACTGTCCACACTGTCCACACTATCCACACTGTCCACACCGCCATGTTTGTCCACACTGTCCACACTATCCACACCGCCATGTTTGTCCACACTGTCCACACCGCCATGTTTGTCCACACTGTCCACACTATCCACACTGTCCACACTTTCCACACTATCCACACTATCCACACTATCCACACTATCCACACTATCCACACCACCATGTTTGTCCACACTATCCACACTGTCCACACTATCCACACTGTCCACACTATCCACACTATCCACACTATCCACACCACCATGTTTGTCCACACTGCCACATCTTGTTTATATGTTAAACCACACTCCCAGTCAATACACATCAGCATATCGACCAAACGAGCGGCCATATTGTTTATCCCCCATATTTAGATCCGATAGCTGCACTTTTTGTTATTTGCTTTCTGGCTGTACTTTAGCTCACCTGTGGGACAGGTAGATTAACATGTCTAGATGTACCTGCAGGGATTTATTCACTGACTAGATCTGTCAGTTATATGGTGTGGCGTTACACGGGGGTGCGAGGAGGGGGTGGCTACAAAATCTATCAGTTATATGGTGTAGAGATCAGTGGCGTTACACGGGGGTGCGAGGAGGGGGTGGCTACAAAATCTATCAGTTATATGGTATAGAGGTTAGTGGCGTTACACGGGGGTGCGAGGAGGGGGTGGCTACAAAATCTATCAGTTATATGGTGTAGAGGTTAGTGGCGTTACACGGGGGTGCGAGGAGGGGGTGGCTACAAAATCTATCAGTTATATGGTGTAGAGGTTAGTGGCGTTACACGGGGATGCGAGGAGGGGGTGGCTACAAAATCTGTCAGGTATATGGTGTAGAGGTTAGTGGCGTTACACGGGGGTGCGAGGAGGGGGTGGCTACAAAATCTATCAGTTATATGGTGTAGAGGTTAAAGGCGTTACACGGGGGTGCGAGGAGGGGGTGGCTACAAAATCTATCAGTTATATGGTGTAGCGTTACATGGGGGAGACGTCAATGACGTCAAGCTTTCTGTAGTCCCTGTACACCCATGGCCAAATATGTGGAAATCTGGGGAATCACACAATGAATCATCTCCTTGTGTTTTGTCCTAATGACTCCACTGGTCAAATATCTCATTAATCATAATGGCTTATTAATTGTACACATGAAAAACTGCTTGGTACCAGTGGCGGAACTAGAAAAAAAGGGCCACCCCGCAAAAAAAATTTTTAGGCCCCCCCCCTATATATATATATATATATATATATATATATATATATATATATATATATATATATATATATATATATATATATATATATCAAACACTACATACGAACATAGGATATTCATTGCTGGCTTGTTCGGGTTTTGAAAAAAATGGTAGTTTTTTTTTTCAATTAAAACAAATTACAACATCATGCCATGTGTGTAAGTGCATTAGTGAGCTTTGTAAAAATCAGTTTTATTTTATCTCTGCTATAACTATAAGGCTTCATCACCTCTAGTCGTTCAAAAGAATATAAACCATGAAAGCTTTGTATGTAAGTTATGGTGTCTTGTGTTATGTTTATTTTCATGTTTTTTTTCGAATTTATATTATTAATTTTAAATACATTTCTTTTTTATACAATGTCATTAATAAGTAAGTACTTTACAAAAAAATAATAATTAAGAGAAATAATTGCTTTTTAATTTGTTTAGTACAAATCTATTAAAAGGAGCATATGAATATGATCACGCTTATTTGACTATTTAAAGAAGTGAAATAAGTCATGGAAGTGGTTTGAACGTTTGCTTAGCTTTGATAAGTTTGATTGTAGGAGAAAGAGGACTTGGCTTTCACAGTGGTTTAAAAACAAAGGGAAAAATATACAAGAGCGTGGGATGGTGTCTATAGAAGCTACGGTAATCTTTTTTACAAAACAGCCATCAAGTTAAAAAAGCAAGGAAATTATTTTATTTGTTTTTAAATATAAATGTTTTATTTTGGTCGGCTGTGGGCCCCTAAATGGCGTGGGCCCCCCCGCATTGCGGGGTCTGGCGGCACTGTAGTTCCGCCCCTGCTTGGTACATGTAAACTTCAATAAATATTTCCTTTCAAGTTCACCCCATGATAACGACGCCAGTCACGTTAGATTTGAGCTCACGTCATGTATGTTACCTCGCTCAACGTCGACATATAACGACGAGATATTTCACAAGTACGCTTGCTTGTAAGTTTTCCTCTTTGAAACTTATGGGATAGAGTATGTATTAAACGCATTCAAACTAAACTACGTCGGTAACTGACTCTCCCAACTGCCAATCAAAAGCTGCCCATGCCCAAAGCGAGGTGTGCCTGCGTGTATCAGCGCAAATCTCCGATCAAGTGACGTCTTTGTTACCTTCTCCAACTGCCCGTCAACGTGGGAAACAAAGAGTATGACCTAATCGAATGCGGCAATCACTGACATAAACGTCCAGCTGTCAGCCATAAATCACGGTCAGCGATGGGGAGATAGTCAGTACAGGACTTCCTGAACGAGCGCCACCTGTCGAGGGGGTCCACCTTTATAAAGCGTGGTGCGACAGTCACCGTGAAGTGTCACCAAACATGAGGACTGTAGTCACTGTTTTAGTCCAGCTCTTCGCTGGGGTCTTCTGTGGGTATGTGGACTTTTTTCATTTCTTTCTCATTTAGATTAAAAGTTTACATTAAATATATTTAAAATTTTCCGCCATTGTATGTCACAAATTCATTTTTTTTAAATTTCTTTCTAATTTATGTCACATTTCTTTTTAATTAATGTATGTGTTTGACGCTTACATATCAAGGGGAAACTACTAAATAATAATGAATTCTATTGTGTGAAGTCTGCTAGTCAGTAGCAGTGTTTCTTCCAGACTTTTTTCTCCGGCCGGGGGGGGGGGGGGGCACTTGATATTTTTGGGGGGGGTCAACATTTTTCGGGGTGGCGGACACTAGTAAAAGTGTATGTTTACTATATAAATTCCATCTCGTTCGGGGGGGGGGGGGGCGGTAGACTTTCTTCGGGGGAGGGGGGGGCAAAGCCCCCCCCCCCCCCCCCCACAAGAGATGCCTGGAAGAAACTCTGGTCAGTAGTTGTGTTAGGGTCCCAACATTGGCTGTATTTATTTACAATAAACAGCTGTAGTCTTGGAGACAGCAAAAATAATCTCTAGACTTTAAAGGAAGTTTGGATTATCCGTTGTATGTAAAAGTCGAAATGTTTACTTTTTTTAAATTTGGACACATTTTATCATCATCTAAATTTAATTCTAATAATTTATATGAAAGAGTTTCCAGTAGTAGGCCTACACTTATAAATAGTCGAATTGTCAATTTATAACATAACATATTTGACATGTCAAACTATGATTTAGATGTTTAAATTCTCCTTCTTCTTGTGACAGGTCCTATGATTTAGAAATGTTTAAATTTTCCTTCTTCTTGTGACAGGTCCTATGATTTAGAAATGTTTAAATTTTCCTTCTTCTTGTGACAGGTCCTATGATTTAGATTACCCCCCAACTCTAGGCTGGGGCAGCAACCTAGCCGCCACCAAACCCAGCGCCCCCAACGCCCCCAGCTACACCAGTCCAAGTAAAGCTTCCTACAACACGCCTGTACTCATTGACCCCAGCCAACTAGACTTGGATGAGTACCCAATTTATACCCAGCCTGCAAACTCCAACCCTAGATACGACACTCTCTCTAACTCCAACCGAATTCACAACAGTCCCTCCAACCCAATTTACAACAGTCCCTCCAACCCAAGTTACAACAGTCCCTCCAACCCAATTTACAACAGTCCCTCCAACCCAAGTTACAACAGTCCCTCCAACCCTAGCTACAACAGTCCCTCCAACCCAAGTTACAACAGTCCCTCCAACCCTAGCTACAACAGTCCCTCCAACCCTAGCTACAACAGTCCCTCCAACCCAATTTACAACAGTCCCTCCAACCCAAGTTACAACAGTCCCTCCAACCCTAGCTACAACAGTCCCTCCAACCCTAGCTACAACAGTCCCTCCAACCCTAGCTACAACAGTCCCTCCAACCCTAGCTACAACAGTCCCTCCAACCCAAGTTACAACAGTCCCTCCAACCCTAGCTACAACAGTCCCTCCAACCCTAGCTACAACAGTCCCTCCAACCCTAGCTACAACAGTCCCTCCAGCGCCAGCTACAACAACGCGGCTGAAGTAGACGAGTACCCAGACTTTCTGGCCAAGATGACGTACAACGCCAAGAACAAGACGGTCACGGTCTACGCCCCAAAGACCAACGAGGTGGACAAGAACGGGAAGACGATTGATCCGTTCTTTGGTGTTGAAGCAATCGCTAAAACAGACCCAAGACTACCAATTCTAAGCAAGATTCCTATGTTCAAAAAATACTATTCTTTTTCTGTTCCATACAAACGAAGATAAACCAGTCAACCAATTTGTTTTTACTGTATAATATTTTAAAAATATATATTATATTCTGCACACTATGTTTCATGTTATACGGACAAAACTACGAAGTGAATTTTATTTATTCGCTTTTCATGATTAAAATTCAATAAACAGTGACCTAAAAATTACAGCAAATTTGGATTTTTTGCTTTGTCTTTAAAACAGCTCTTACATTTAGGCATACGTGGTTTGTTCAGTATATTTCACATTTAGGAGTATGGTCTATGTACAACATATTATTATATCACATCTAGGAATAGGGCCTAAATATTGTGCAGCATAATTCACATTTAACAATGTGACATGTATTGTGCAGCATATTTCACATTTCACAATATGACTTATATATTGTGCACATGCAAATAATGTGTGTCTAATTGAAACAAATTCATAAAAACGTTTTAATAACAAGTTTTTATGTAATAATGCACTAAAAAGTAGAATATAACTTATTTTTCTTAAAATTAAAATATATAATAATACACTACTATTTAATACTAGGCCAAGGGCTTATAAAAAAATGTATGCACAAATCTGGAGTATGGATAGAAGGAAATACGTATTCCAAGTGGTGTCGCTAAGTCGGTTGTCACCCGGTGCGGCACTTCGCGGTGTCACCCCCAAGAAATAAAGTATACGACCCGACCCGCGGTGTATCATACGCCGCTATTTAGTTGTTGTTTTTTCTACTTTTCAGTAATTCATAATTTGTGAATTCGACAGTACCAATGCTGCAGCTTGTTTTCTAACGTCTCCCAGAAGAGAATTACATATATATATATATATATATATATATATATATATATATATATATATATATATATATATATATATATATATATATATATATATATATATATATATATATATATATATATATGTGTGTGTGTGTGTGTGTGTGTGTGTGTGTGTCGGCCTACATAGGCCTATAATTTAAATATATGCCGCATACGCGTACATGTATGTGTATAAGCTTTAATCACAGACTTAACTGTAACGATTTTATCTATAGTCTGTTAATAATACAGTTGGATTTAGCATTGTTTTCTCTATAGTTAGTACGTTTACATAATGCTGTCACCCCCACCCTCTTGTAATAATTGTCGATTTGTACTTACAAGACTATTTAACTTTAAAATAATCATTAATGGAACTGGCAAAAGAACATTTTTGTTCTGTATATTTTGCTTTTTTTGCCATTGTGTCACCCCCGCCCCCCCCCCCCCAATGGTGTCACTCGGTGCGGCCGCACCCCCGCCCTCGCTACGCCTCTGCATAATCCACATGGACTTTTTTTAAAAATGTATACTCAAATCCACACGTCACCATTCTCATCTTGATGCTGCCCCCCTAAAGCATGTCGTAGTCCATTTCTTCGGGGTCCAATTAATTCAATCAACATCATTAAGCCTAAGGCATATTAATTAATAACCTATCTAGAATCAGTGGTGTAGGCAGGGGGGTTAGGGGGGTCATACCCCCCCCCCCCATAGACCCCTCGGTATATATATATAAAGTATGACGGGGGTGGTGTAAATCAAAAGTTTGAGGGGGTGCAAATCAAAAGTTTGAGGGGGGTGTGAAAATCGAAAGTTTGAGGGGGGTGCAAATCAAAGGTTTGAGGGGGGTGTAAATCGAAAGTTTGTCCCCGGGTAAAAATGTAAACCCCCCATGAGACGATCCTTGCTACGCTACTGTCTAGAATGTTTAAAGCTGACAGATCTCCACCTATGGTCCGTTGATAGCTATCACAAAAGTGACTACTATCAAGATTTTCACTACACCACCAGTGTGCCTAGTTTTCGTTAAAGTAATTTTATTTCCCAAAAAACAAGATCTCAAGGCTGAAAAGTACTGAAACCCCAATTAATCTATTAAAATATTTATTATTATTTATTAAACACTATTTTCTCAATCTAATCTACGGCTAAGAAAAAAAAAAGAATATAAGAAAGATATAGCTTAGGCTTAGTGCTGCAATCTTAACCAGGCTACATCATGACACGTATGTATATTTTATAAGTAGGCCTAATATTTATTTTTGTTATTAAATTTAATGTGGCTACTCTGCTACACTAGCTTTAAGTTCTTTATTCTATGTCTAAAATCTTGATCTAGTAAGATCTAGATATCTAGAGTCTATAATATGCTATAGATGGAGAATATAAATCTAGAATAGAACATCAAGTATTTAAAACATAAATTGCGCAAAATTGCTAACTAACGAAACGAAAAATGGGAGGTCATCCTGATCCGAAGTTCATTTCACTCTAGGCCTATAGGCTTGATTTTAGTAGATTTCTACTGGGCTAGCAAAGTTTTAGTATTAAATTTATAAGACGTTAGTGATGGCAACTTTAGCTCTTAGATCGTGTGTTCGTCTTCGACAACCAGTTATTAGTGTTTTATCAAAGAGGTCTAGCTCATACTTCCCTATAGATGACACCCTTTATAATTTATCTGAGGAACAGAAGCAGGTTAACAACCTATTTTATTTTTTAAATTTTAGCTAACAACTGTGAACTAACAACATCTTTTAAAAAAATCTAAATTAATAGGCCTATTAAATATTAAAATAATATTATTAGGCCTATAGGCCCTATATATTAGATCTAATTATTAGGCTACTAATTATATTTATAAATCAAAATCTCTAGATACTAGATCGGCTACCTAAAAAAGTTAACTCAAGTACTTGCAGTAGGCCATTGATTAATTAATTAATTATTGACATGATTAAGACAATTATTAAGTCTTAAGTCAATAAGTTGGCTAATCATCCGTCACAATTTCAAGTTTTAGATCTCTACAAGTAAAATACTACTAAAAATACTAAAATAGTCAACTTTTTTTTATATTGCTATAGGTCAGGGCTGAGTACTGTGAATAGAGTCAATTCTATTTTATTTTATTTTATCTTTTTAGTCTGACTTATAATCAGTGTTTATTTCAGACTTTTTTCTCCGTCCGAGGGGGGGGGGGGGCAGGCACAGTAAAAGTATCAAATTTCTATATAAATTCCATTTAGTTCGCTTGGCGGCACTTTCCTAAATGCCTGGACAAAACTCTGCTTATAAGTTATAATATAGATCTAGATAGTAGATGAGAGTGTACTTAACTACAAATACCTCTCAGAAAGCTATTCATAGTTAGCTATTTTTAGCCGACTAATCAAATTTATTTTAAAATTTATTGTCCTGCGCAAGGATAGTTGCATTGAGTTAAATATAAACAATAATATTTATTAAAAAGTTTCATACCCCGCAAGCTTAGTGTTTTACACATTGATTGTGTGCTATTGAATTACTGTTTACAATGTTAGAAGTATTTTTTTTGAGACAAGACTTCCACATGTAACAACCGTCTAGTCAGATGGTAGAGCGTACGACTGCTAACCGTAAAGACTGGGCTTGACTTTGTAAGATGTCCCTGAGGCTACCCAGTACAAGTAGCTGGCCATAGTGCTGACTAAACTTTCCCTTCATATGGCGAGGTCACAGAAACATCTGAACTCAACTTCATCTTTCCCATGGGGCCATATGTTCTATATAATGTTCAAATTTTTCATGAATGGATTTTTATAAATGGATGACTTTTTTAATTTAAATTAGATTTTTTTAATGCTTCTAAATTCTAATTATGTGACGGTTATCTAGAATTAAATTATGTAAATAATCTAAAATTTAAATAATCTAGAATTTAGATATTGGAGCCTGCTTACCCTGCATCCCTTCACTGAAATAAAATTTGAAATATTTCATACCTTTCTAAGTAGCCTGTAGTTGTCAGGTTTTGTAGACTGCCTGATGTGTTGTCTTCAGTCCTTCACCACTCTGGTTTATTAGTTTCATCCTCCCCCACAGCATATCTTTTATTTGCCTGTACTGCAGTACAGTACTACTAAACTCCACTGGCAGTGATACCTGTGTATTGAAGCCACTTTTAGCACTGAGGTGTTGATTTTAGCACTAACTTGTCCTTGGGCTCTGAAAGCCCAGTTAACCCTCTCTTGTAACAGCTGGTTCAGGAACTACTTGCCCACTATTCTTATCAGTTATGTATTTATAAGCCATGCTGTCAATACTATAATTTACTCATCTAAGTCAGTGAAATCATTGAAATGTCATCTTATGATAGAAAGAGGCGTTACATGTGTATCTTGTATATTTGTAATGCTTCTGTTTGTCCTATTCAACAACCCAGGTTTAAATAATCACTGTAAGATTTATCACTGATATAAATAACTAAGCAATTTTAGTGACTAAAAACTTTAAGGTTATGTACATAAATAGAACAGTGTAATTTGTTAGTGGGTTGTTGATGAATGTATCAAGTTGAATCCACTAAATCTTTTAATTCAGTTGTCATATATTCAGTGTTGAACGTTTTACAGAAAGATGTGAAAATTGTTTGATTTATTTTGCAGCTTCGTAACAGTGTGTTTCAGTTTTGTCAAAATCAGCTGGCGCCTAAAGCTGCGGAGATTGACAGGACAAATGAATTCAAAGACATGAGAGTAAGGTGGTTTTTTTTTTTTTTCATGGTTGAGGGGAAAAAAGCCAATGACAAATATTTGTAAATAATATTGAGCAAGTTTAATATAATGTAAGCAGAAATTGTTGTTTGCCAAATAGTAATATAATCTTGTATTTTTGTTAGCAATTCTGGCTGGACTGTGGAAAGATGGGATTACATGGAGCCACTGCACCAAGTAAAATACTTTTCTCTTTAAACTAGTTTTGTGGAACTAATACAGTCTTTTTATTATTAAAATAATTTTTAAAAGCTGTTAATTTGTATACTTGAATGAAGAGAGATGGTGTTTACCTAATGGTCCAGCCTTTTGAATGTGAAATGTTATTGTAACCAACTTTTAAGCAATTTGTTTTAAATTCTCTATCTTCTGCTGAAAGGTAAGTATGGAGGGTCAGAAATGGGCTACCTTGAACACTGCATCATCCTGGAAGAGATGACTCGTGCGTCTGCTTCTATTGCCCTCAGCTATGGTGCCCACTCCAACTTGTGCATTAACCAGATCGTCAGGAATGGAACAGATGCACAGAAAGACAAATATCTACCAGGAGTAAGTACAGCTGTGTATTTAATTAATGTTTATTTATACAGTTATAGGAAAAAGTAAACCCAGTAGGTATTTTACTCAGCTTTAGATTGAATGTTATATTGTAAATGTGCCCTTCTGTTTTCAGTTAATATCAGGAGAAAAAATTGGCGCTTTGGCTATGAGTGAACCTAATGCTGGCTCAGATGTTGTTTCAATGAAGCTAACAGCAAACAACAAAGGTAATCTCAATTAAGCTATCAGCAAAGTTAGTTTAATTTTCAATGAAGCTCACAGCTAACAACTAATGAAGTTTACCACCATCAACAAAGGTAATAACAAAAGTAATTTTTATTTGCCTTTGGTTGATTTGTCCAATTGGATCTTCCTAAATTTGGCTAATGTTTTTATTTTGAGAAGTTGTACCTGTGATTTTTTTATTATAATGTAATTTCAGGGGACCATTATGTGTTAAATGGCAACAAGTTCTGGATTACAAATGGCCCTGATGCTGATGTGCTTGTTGTTTATGCTAAAACAGACCCAAAGAGCCCTAAACCCCAGCATGGCATCACAGCTTTTCTTGTTGAAAAGGCAAGTCTTTTATCTTGTCATACTCTTGGTGCCAAGATTTTAAAACACCAGTTTGAAGTAACGTCCTTATGCCATCTTCTGTAGGGAATGCCAGGTTTTTCAACTGGCAAGAAACTAGATAAGTTGGGGATGAGGGGATCAAACACATCAGAACTTATATTTGAAGACTGTAAAGTACCAGGTTAGATCTTCATTTTTGTACAGTATGTTGTTTTAAGTTAGCTGAAAATATTTCTTGTATTTGAAAAAGTGAGTTGTATTTGAAAAAGTGAGTTGTATTCACAGTTGAACATTTTTCTTTTATTTGAAAAAGTGAGTTGTATTCACAGTTGAAAATTTTTCTTTTATTTGAAAAAGTGAGTTGTATTCACAGCTGAAATTTTTTCTTGTATTTGAAAAAGTGAGTTGTGTTCACAGTTGAAAATATTTCTTGTATTTGAAAAAGTGAGTTGTATTCACAGCTGAAAATGTGATGGGATCGCTGGGGAAGGGTGTGTATGTGCTGATGAGTGGGCTGGACATTGAGAGATGTATCCTTGCTGCAGGACCAGTGGGGTATGTACAACTATCTTTAAATTACATACAGTTTATAGCTCTATCTCTTCTCAGAAATGTAAGTTTTACTTGAATTAACTTGATAATTGTTTATGACTGGTAACTTTTTTTTAGATGCTTTAAATGATCCATTCTTACACAAATTTAAATACTGCTTTTTTAAAAAAATAATTAGATTGTCAAATGTCCCTCTCTAACAGTGGTGTATGATATTTATCTTCTAGAATAATGCAAGCTTGTTGTGATGTAGCCTTTCAGTATGCCCATGTCAGAGAATGTTTTGGTGAAAAAATTGGTCATTTCCAGGTAATAATTTAGATGTTTGAATTTTCAATGTTTTCTCATTTCATTTGCAAACATTTAGCTGAGTAGATTTAAACTATTTACATAACTGTACTCTAAGTATTATTGTAATGTATCTTCATTTTAATGGGGGGGGGGGGGGGGGAGACAGAATTCTTTTAGTTTTTCTGTTTTAAAATTTGAAAATGTTAAATGACTAATGATGTTTGATTGCACTAGATGATTCAGGCAAAGATGGCGGACATGTACACAATATTAAATGCAAGTAGATCATATTTGTACAATGTTGCAAGAGCTTTGGACAGAGGAGAGCGCCATCCTAACGTAAGCTTCCTCAATACCATATAGGCTAACATACTGTTGCTGCACTTTACATAAGCTTCATCAATACCATATAGGCTAACATACTGTTGCTGCACTTAACATAAGCTTCATCAATACCATATAGGCTGACATACTGTTGCTGCACTTAACATAAGCTTCATCAATACCATAAAGGCTATCGTACTGTTGCAGCACTTAATGTTATCTTCCTCAATACCATATAGGCTACCATAGTGTTGCAGCTTTTTTGTGGGCATTCATTTACCATGGTTGTAAAATCTAAATGATTGATACTATTTAAATAAATAGAGCAATGTTCTCTGGTTAAGTTTTGTTGTGAGATAAACTAAGTCATTATAATATTGTAGATAAATATTGTCTTGTGCAGTTACAACTGTATAACGCTCAGTATTAGTACACAAATGATACTGTCCAACATTGCTGTTTGTACCCCAAACATTCATAAAAATTGTACATTTTGTTTGATATTCTAAACAAGGCAACTATTCTCTTTCCCCCTTTCAATCCTACTGCTATATCTTTAGACAACCTAACTATTTCATTGATTCACCTAAAATATGGTCTGTGTAAACAAAGGTGCTTTATCTCCTTTAGAATTGTGCAGGTGTAATTCTCTATACTGCTGAAGCTGCTACTAAAATGGCACTTGATGCAATTCAAATTCTTGGTGAGTTGATTCAAACATTACATTTGTTTGACAGTTCAAGTATAGCTGTGTATTTAATGGTTTATTAAATTTTATACAATATAGGAAATTTTGTATTATTTGTAAAGCTTATGTTAATCTAAAACTGTATTTAAATTAATGTTCATACACTTTTATTTAGCACTACTTAAGGGAAAATGATTATATTAGAAAAATATCAGCAAGAAAAATATTGATTTTTAGTTGGCTATATTATGCTGAACAGTTTTGTAAACTTCATTTAGTCCTGTTATATTTCACCTTCTTGTTTTGCTCCTTATAATTCTTACAATTATTGATGCTGTCTTCCATCAGGTGGAAATGGTTACATCAATGACTATCCAACAGGACGATTGTTGCGTGATGCAAAGTTGTACGAGATAGGAGCTGGGACTAGCGAAATTAGACGGCTTGTTATTGCCCGTGCCATTAATGCACACTACCGATAACATATACTTGAAATATTTTAAAGAATTAATAAGTAATTGTACTGAACACCTAGGTTTAAAGAAAGTAAAATTACCTGGTGATTTATTCATATAAACACTTGAACAATGAGTTAGACACTGTGAAAAGAACTTAATTTGTATAGGATTATTTCACAATCAGATATCTTCTTTAGCACTTCAAAATGCCATAATTTAGCATTCCTTTATGTGTGAAGAAATATTTTTAAGACTAGTCAGTATTTTCAGCAGGTTTATAAATGATATGCTCATGATGTACACCAGAATCTTAGTGTGTATCACTAGACCAAGTTGTTGCCCTGTTATAGCTGTATTTAGTGTAAACATTGAATATTGTTAGTTTGGTTTCAGGTGCTGAAACAAAAAGATTGCTGTTTGTACAGATTTAAAAATTATTGTAACAAATGCTCTTGATGTATACAAGTGTAATATTAAAAACATAAAACTGTTTTTCATGGTTATTTTCCTCATTGTTTCATTGACAAGTTTGAGTATGGTCATCTTTCCCACCTCCCTCATCAGCTGCTGTCTAATAGCCCTTGGACCCTCTTTAAATCATTACAGTAAAAGTAACTCAAAAGCAACAATTCTCCAGCAAACTTTATTATAATGTAACCAACAAAAGTTGGAAAAATTTAAAACAAAACAAATGAGTATTTAAAAATATTCTAAAATAAAAATGTATTCTAAATAAATACCATGTACTTTAACACCAAATATGATGTCAAACTGAATCGTCAAGTTTAAGATTAGAGGTGGAAGTTATCTCAACATTACTATCTTATCATAATAAATATACTAAATGGTTAAATTTGAAATATTAAAACACAACCAATAATCTAAGAGGTTTGCACTTTGGCTAATTTTTCAAACTAAAACTTGGGTGAAATTATGTTTATGAACCTTCACAAGTAAAAACCACATGGAAGAAATAAGCACCATTTTAAAATAAATGTTTTGAGTACACATTATAAAATAATTTATTTTAAAAATGACACAAATTATCTAAAGGTCTTTTCAATAAACCATACCCTTTCTACTTAACTTTGTGTGTATAGTTTTGATTGGCACCAGTAATTTGAATATTTATTAAAAAACAAAATACCAAGTAGAAAAATGACTGTGCAGTGCATGTAAATATTGGCCAAACTGCAGTAAAAACCGTCAAACTAGAATGTTAAATGCAAACCACAATGTAAAGAATTCAATGCAAATATAAGTTAAATAGTAACAAATTCTTTCTACACTGGATGAAGGCTGTTTCTTTGGATTGATAGTTTATTTTTGCCTGTAACAAAATGTCTAGCAGCACAAAAATCTGGTAACACCTACAAGTATTTTGTCATGTTGGTGTACAATGAAAAACAGTAATTAACAAAATCTGACTAGCTCTAAACAAGGTGTGAAAAAACTATAAAGCAGTCTTGTACATATACACTAACCAGGTTTACCATCTAGTAGCTTTTTGATTCAATGAGATTATAATTCTTACAAGGTAAACTAAATTTTATTTAGTCTGTTTATGTCTGTCTATTTTTAATTTTTTTTATGTATAATAAATACTAACACAATTGCATCCTGTTGAACTAAACTCCCAGAAAGTTTATTGTAATTTTCCTGAGCAATATTAAATGATTCAGTCGACTTCAGAACAGCTGTTGTCAACATATTGTAAATAGTCTTGTCCGGCATACAGTAAGAGACAGCTGGAGATGAGACTGAATGCCACTCGCAGTGTTGAAGATGGAGGAAGTAGTGTTCTACCAAGTCCCCAGATCATACAGGAACCAAAATTAAACAAAGCAGATCCGAAAATGCTGTAGAAGAGGGCGCGATTGGTGGAGAGTTTTCTGATATGACGCCGAGAAAATATATAAAGACCAATACCAAGATGAGCTTGTATCCATAAAACATTGCTGACTAGCTTATGAACATCACCAAACGCTCTGTGGATAATTAGAGAAACCTTTCAGCAAACATGTAATTCTAATTAAGGTATGAGATGCTTATAGGCAAGACATTCTACCATATACTATACTACATTCAGTGTAATATATGTAATGTTAGGGATAATTTTGAAATGACAACAAACACAAATGTAGCAAAATCCTATTAGGTCAGGTCTAAGATTAATTTGATATTTTTAATTAACCACTAACATTACTAAAATATGTGGGTATGGCTAATTAAAAAAGGAGTGAATCTTTATGCTGATGAAAAGCTTATCAATTTGAAAATAGGATTATATTATTTCAAATAAAAAGAAATATTTCAGTTACACCAGTATAAATTGTGGAAATAAACATTTGGTTTGTAAGCAGACAAAAGTTATTGACAATTTTTTTTGTTATAGATGTTTTGGTATGTTTAAATAGTTTTTTTTTTCAGTAGCATATATAACAATGTTGAAATTTCTAAAACAAATACAAAATATAGGCTTACTAAAATTAAAATTAAATCAAAATTAATAATAAGCCATGGCCTACTGGGTAGATTATATTTATAAACTGATAAAACCTTATGTTATTCTCAAAGTGCCAGCACAAAATAACAGTAACATTTAAATAATGTTGAGGGTTTTCTGACTATTACTGTTGCAGAGTTTTTACTTTTGAGTTAAAATTTAAGGCTTAGTTTCGGGGGTGGATAATGATTAATACTTAGAATCAGCTGTTAGCATGTTTATATATATTAGCCTAATACTTTTAGTATTTTTAATAATTTTATTATTGTATTGAGCTTATATTTAACTTTAATTCAATGCAATCAGCCCGTTGGTTGGTTGAGGTCACACCTTGTGTTTGTTCTGCTAGGGATAAAATATTAAAATTACAAAGGGTCCACTTGAGAAATAATTACCCTGGTGAATTTACTAGAATCTAGATCTAGATTCTATTATAAAATTTTGGGAGGGCTGCCTGACTAGTACTAGAAATAGTAGATCTAGTTAGAATCTAAATAAATAAATATAGGCCTAGTTACTAGTATATACTAGATTCTAGATCTATATGATAAATATTGATTACTATGGTTACGCCAATGGTTAAACATTGAATTTATTGAACTTGAACATTGGTTAATTTAATAATTTAATAATTTTACCTGCCAAACCATAGTGGATCCATACAAGCAAACGAAATGTATCCATAACAAACAGATCCTACTCCTGGTGCAATTTTATATCCAAAGTCACTTGGAGTAATTAAAAATTCTGGGAAAAAGCGACCACTGTCTTGACTTTCGTTTTCATAATCTTGCATTTCATTGTTCCGATCCTGATAGTCGTCTTCGTAACCCATCAAACTGTTCAATATCATGTTCTCGATATCATCAATGTTAGATTTTCTGGGAGAAGAGACGTCATCTTGGTCATCATCTCTATCTTTTTTCCCCTCATTCGGTGCGTCCCTATCCCCTGAAAATGAACATTCACTAACAGGCGCATTGCTGCCATCAACTGATCGTTCATCAGCTGGTTCGCCGATATTCAAGGTTGTGGGGGTCGCCATGATGAATGTTTTTTTTTTATGTTGCGTATTTATGACGTCATTAGTTTAAAAAACTGAACTGATGTGTCTATCTTTTTCAGGAGAAATTTTTAAAATTTTTGACCAGAGCGAAACCTGAAACTTCATCTTTAAAAATATATTGATCTAGATCTAGAAAATCTAGATCTAGGCCTAAATAACTTCCATGTTCTCTCCATTATACTGCTTTGGGTATTTTTTTCCTTATTGAAAAAAAATATAGGCCTAGAATCTAGATCTATATGTATTCTGTGTATATCATTATTATAGAACGAGCCGACACGCGGCATATCATACGCCGCTATTTAGTTGTTTTATTTTCTACTTTTCAGTAATTCATAATTTGTGAATTCGACAGCACCAATGCAGCCCCTGAAAATATTTGCTTTAAAACACTATCAGTAGGTCGTTAAGAACGATACTACCACCACCCTCCTTTCCCCCAACCCCTACCCTCCCCCCCCCCCCCGTGAAAGCAGCCTCCTCTTAGTTACCTCCCCTAAGTTTAAAATCGTTTCAAACTAAATTATCTGCCCCTAATAGCCGTCACTAAACCCGGCTCTACGACTGTAAATATTTAGCGTGAACCAAAGCTCACCAGACCATGTAGGGGTGGGGTGGTAGGGAGCGCGCTTACAGCTTGTTTTCTAGCGTCTCCCAGAAGAGAATTATATATATAGATATAGATCTATTTTTAGATCTAGATCTTTAGGTCTACACAAAATACATGGGTTGACTAGCCCGCAGTGTTTCTTCCAGACTTTTCTAGGGGGGGGGGGGGGGGGTGGCACTTGACAGTGGCGTAGGCAGGGGGGTTAGGGGGGTCAATTCCCCCCCCCCCCATAGACCCCTCGGTATATACAAATCGAAAGTTTGAGGTGTAGGGGGGTGCAAATCGAAAGTTTGTCCCCGGGTAAAAATTGGAACCCACCCCTTGAGACGATCCTGGCTACGCCACTGGCACTTGATATTTTCGGGGGTTTCTACATAAATTCCATTTCGTCCGGAGGGAGGGGGGGGGGACTTTCTTCGGAGGGATGCCTGGAAGAAACTCTGATAAAAATGTGTAAAATGGCTTTGATGAGGAACAACTGCACAATGAAAATATCAATTTGGGGTTGGGGGCCCCTTTTTTTTTCCCAGGTCACCTGGACACAGCCTAATGCTATAGGCCCTACTGTATTTTTACTATTATCCTGCATGATGTAGCCTTTAATCATTAATTAACGGAATGGGGTCATTTGGGGTGACACCCTGGGTTACCTCTGGTGTTGTGTCGTCCGATCTCAAAAAGCTACTTAATTGTATATGTGTAGGGTAGGCCTGTAGGGCACTGAGGTCATATTTATTCCCTACCATATGAAGCCCAATGAGTGCACGACCCTTAACGTCTGCTGTTTCAATTGAAGGGCAATACATTTATATGTTATTTAAGAATACAAAACATCATCCCGCTCGTGTAGCTTTGGTCTAGTGATCTCTTTCTACTCCAGAGGCGTAACTACCCCTCCCGGCGCCCGGGGACAAACTTTTAATTTGGCGCCCCCCCCCCCCATATATTTTTTATGTTTATAATTCAAAATTGCAGCTAAAATGCGCTTTTTTTTTCCAACCCATTTTGGCGCCCGGGGACATATGTACCCCCTCCCCCTTTTCGCTAAGCCTCTGTTCTACCCCCCCCCCCCCTCTCCCCTCCCCTCGACTACAGGAACGATAACGTTTGTTGCAGACAGAAAATGTATGCGTATTTAGAGTAAACTCCCTTTAATGGGATGTCTCACCAAGATGGCGACGTATATGAGCATAGATTTAGTAAAATACTTGTGTACATGCAAAAAAAAGTTTCCTATTTGTCGTTTGTATCTCTGTAAACATTGTTTAAAACTACGCTGTATCGACTGTGTTCAGCATGAAGTAAGTCGTTATTTAGTAAAAGTATTTAGATTCTAGATGTTAGGTCATTACCTGAATAAAATAAAATTTACTAACAACAACAAAAAAAAAACCAACACAGACAAATCAATTCAAGCAAGTGTCAAGATATTTGTCAAATAACTTGTCAGTGTTGAGTTGTTGAGTACTGTTGATTGTAGTTGACAGGATGGAATTGGAATAGTTTCATTATATTCACTATATTGTGTATTAATATTGTTGCATTAGTCACATAACATACACATTACAGTTTTTTTACACATTACAAGATTAGACTAGCTAGACAAATGTCGGTAATCTATCGTTTTGGGTACGTAAAATCGTTCGCGGCTATTTATGTACGAAAACGTTACCTCATTGTCAAGGCTTTAATAGAAGTATATTGTCATACTTTTGTGTCAAATATTATAGATAAATGAATAATAAACCTAAATCAATGGCTAAATATATCGATATAGGCCAGAAATTAACTTTAAACAGCAGTGTCTGAGAGCAAGATTTGCTATATAAACAGCAGCCATTTGTAAAATAGAGTGGCTTCCCCCTGAATCTGGCACTAAAAGCTTATAAAAATAAAACTTAGACAAGATGGCTGCTATAGTAAATGAGCATGGTTGCATCTGTTGGAAACATCGCTAGTCTTCATTTATTACGGAAAAGTTTTAATTGAATTGTTTAAAAACATGTACATAAATGAATCAAGGAAACATTTTTGAATTTTTTAATACATAAATCCTCCTCAACATGTGAAATAACTATTAAAATTTAAGGAGTCACCTGTTTTTCACATTACAAATCGCGGGCGATTTTACGTACCCAAAACGATAGATTACCCAAATGTCAAATATTTCCTCACCCTCGCCCAGCAAGGTGCTGACGACAGCCCTATCCTCTCCCCCACCAACAAGGATACTAGTACTACACTTCTTTCTTATGCACAATCCTTTCAAAACACACATACACTCTCATACCCGTACAATACTCTGATACAATTGATAATAAACATAAACATGTCAATGTCAGTCATGCTTTAGTCACAGTTAGATCAGTTAGTACAGTTAGAAATCTAAAGGTTTGGATCAGGTTAGAACTGGTTACTGAGGCTAGGCAAGATCAATTTCTACAAACAAAACTAAGCATTAAAGGTGCCATTACTTGTAAAAATTTGAACATAAGCAGGCCTATTATACTTGTGAAAATTCTTGAATGAAAATAGTAATTTTTTGTTCTACTGACTACTAGGACTAGGAGCACTGGATTTAGAAACTCTCTAAACAATAATCTCAAACTGCTTGAAATAAAATCAGAATAAAGCAATATTCAGTTATAATACTGAACTGTGTTAAAGATTCACAAAATTTGTTGAAGCTAACCCTCAGTTATTTTCAGGTGGACACACCTTACTGTCCAAGTTGTCTGGAAAATATGCCTTCAGGGGAAGCAAAGCTGAAGAAAAATAGGTAATTAAAGACCTAAGCTTATATTCGTTCATGTTGGTTTTCTTGATATAAATAAAGAAATAAAACTGGTGCCTTGATAAGTATGTTTTGTACACAGATTAATTATGACTGGGTGGGGCAAAAGTCTCTAGTTCATTTCTGGGTTCAAGTCTATAACTCTTTGAGTTAACCCAGCAGGTGGGTACCTGACTAACATTAGGGAAATTAAAGGCGGCTGGGCATAGTTCTGACCACACTATCCCTTTATAATCCATGTCGAGGTCAGAAACAGGTGAACTCTACTTCACTTGCCCCATGGAAAGAGAACTTTACTTACGTCTCAAAAGCCATTTGTGAACCCTAGTGGTACTAGATACTTAGTGCAGCACCAAGACAATACTTCAGTTTACAATAACTTAGGGCTTGGTAACATTGTAGTTTCTTAACCAGTCATAAATATTATTTTTGTACTATGAATTTTTACATTTTTCTGTTCAACAAAAAAAGTTCCCACTTTGACCAAGCTTAATGTGGCTTTTCATTGCTTGCTATGTTGACATATTTTGACTGCTATGTTGACATGTTTTAACTGCTATGTTGACATGTTTTAACTGCTATGTTGACATTTTTTAACTGCTATGTTGACATGTTTTAACCTCTATTTTGACATATTTTGACTGCTATGTTGACATGTTTTAACTGCTATGTTGACATGTTTTAACTGCTATGTTGACATTTTTTAACTGCTATGTTGACATGTTTTAACCTCTATTTTGACATATTTTGACTGCTATGTTGACATGTTTTAACTGCTATGTTGACATGTTTTAACTGCTATGTTGACATTTTTTAACTGCTATGTTGACATGTTTTAACCTCTATTTTGACATATTTTGACTGCTATGTTGACATGTTTTAACTGCTATGTTGACATGTTTTAACTGCTATGTTGACATTTTTTAACTGCTATGTTGACATGTTTTAACCTCTATTTTTACATATTTTGACTGCTATGTTGACATGTTTTAACTGCTATGTTGACATGTTTTAACCGCTATGTTTTCATGATTTGACTGCTATGTTGACATGTTTTAACCGCTATGTTTTCATATTTTGACTGCTATGTTGTCATGATGTGACTGCTATGTTGACATGTTTTAACTGCTATGTTGACATGATTTGACTGCTATGTTGACATGATTTGACTGCTATGTTGACATGATTTGACTGCTATGTTGACAGATGTAGCAACTGTTTTGACTGCCCCGTGTGCAGCCACACGCTGATGACGCGAGCCACGTCTAGCCACGTGCCAGCAAACCCTGAGGACCCCAGCAAGCCAGTCACCAGAAAGATGTACTACATGGCCTGTGGCTTTTGTCGCTGGAGCACCAGGGATATCAATCTCCCTGACCAAAGTGTTGGTGAGAGAACAGGCAGACATTATTTCTATTGACACTACAACAGTTTTAAATACTTGTTATAAAATTCTGTCTTTCTAAATTAGTATTTTTGATTCTGAAAAAAAACTTTTGATATTTTACTATTTTAGTCAAATCAATTTCTATTTGTTTTTGTTTCAGCAACTGGGAGCTGGCCTGAGCTAGAAAATCCACATTCTAAAAGAGTGAGATTTATTTTCCATAAATCTACTCTCTACTCTTTTCTTTGATTTAATGTGTGCCTTTTAATGTGCTTTATATTAAATGTGTTATCATTCTCAAAATGCTGAACAAATGAATTGCTTTACTAGCTCTTTCACTTCTATTATATTTTTGTGATCCCTGTTAAACAATGTAATGTACTAAACGTTCATGTCACTTGTAGATATCCAACCTTCTAGAGAATTACAAGATGATGGCCCAGATTGAAAAGGCTGATAGGGAACGTAAAAAATACGTCAAACGCAGGAACCACCTCTATTTACAGGCAGGTCTTTTGTCATACTTTTTTCACATTATTTTATTTTCAAAATAAATAAATTTATAATCAACATTTTTATTTCCAGGAAAAGTATGGAATTTCACCATCTTCTGCCAAAAGGAAAGGCATTGGAAATTTCTCTAGTCTAAGGTAAATTTACATACCTAGGTTATCCCATGTTTTGTTACATACATTTATACACCTAGGTTATCCCATGTTTTGTTACATACATTTATACACGTAGGTTATAACATGTTTTGTTACATACATTTATACACCTAGGTTATCCCATGTTTTGTTACATACATTTATACACCTAGGTTATCTTGTTTCATCAACACTTCTTTAAGTGTTTTTTAAAGTGCTTACATTTAAATACCAAATTGGGAGGTTTAATATGTTGACAGTATTTTGTTGAAATACATCCTTTCACTTCACTTCAAAGTTCTATGCGATAAACTTTCTTTTTTATTTACCTGCTTATTAACAAGTTGTTTCTTTAAGTCTTTGTAATTTAGTATAATCTAGTATAGTAAATTGTTTTAATTGTTTACTTACAGCAGACATTTTAAAATATTTATTTGATCACTTGTTTTCTACAACTAGGTACACTTTTTTTGCTGATAACAAAATGATGAATTTATGGTGAAAATTCACATTAAAATATTTATACTTTTCCATCTTAAAATCCAGATTATCTAATTAAAAATTTCCGTTATTGTAGCTTAAAGGAAGGAGACAAGGTGCCAGAAGGATTGGAACCCAGCACCACAGTGGACAGTTTTGATCCGCTTCCAAATGATTATTTTACCCAACCAGCTGCATTAGATAAAAGTAAGTTCAGTATTTTAAATCATTTCATGTTTGATTGACACTTCAAAACTGGTACATTTATTTGATAATCTAATTGATAATGTAAATTTGTCATATATTGTTTAAAAGATGTGAGTTCAGCCTAAAAATGTTTATTTCAGTCACCAAGTTGTCCCATAGACTAACAGTGCCAGAGTACCAGCCTGAAGAAATGGGTAAACTTCATCCCATACACAAGCATCTGCTTATGAGGAAGTCTCTCAGGTGCAATGTAAGTCGGTTTACATAAATAGGCCTACATTTAGTTGATGAGAAAATACTTGACTATTTTATCATTAGAGTACATGATAGTTTTAGAATAAAATCATTTAGTGTATGAGAAAGTATTAGAATAAATCATAAATAGTTCCCTAATTATTCTATTAGAAAGTCTATAAAAAAATATCTGACTCTACTATACCATAGTTGTATTGTACCTTGTGACTCTGCTATAGTTGTACCATGTCTGACCCTAGTTGTACTGTACTTGAATATTTATCTTGTACAGGAGTGTGAACATAACCTGAGCAAGGCCGACTTTAACCCAAGTTCTATCAAGTTTAAAATCCAGCTCACTGCACTGTAAGAGTTTGTTTTCAACTTTGTCCTGGCTGTTTGTTTTTGCTTTTATCTTTGTTGGCCAGTTGTCTCCAGTGGGAGTTGTAGAATACGAGTAACAAATTGAGTGGTAGATCAAATAAGTTATCATACTGTATGGTTAGATCAAAGCAGTTATCATACTCCTACTGTATGGTTAGATCAAGGCAGTTATCATACTGATACTGTAAGGTTAGATCAAGGCAGTTATCATACTGATACTGTAAGGTTAGATCAAGGCAGTTATCATACTGATACTGTATGGTTAGATCAAGGCAGTTATCATACTGATACTGTAAGGTTAGATCAAGGCAGTTATCATACTGATACTGTAAGGTTAGATCAAGGCAGTTATTATACTGATACTGTATGGTTAGATCAAGGCAGTTATCATACTGATACTGTAAGGTTAGATCAAAGCAGTTATCATACTGATACTGTAAGGTTAGATCAAGGCAGTTATCATACTGATACTGTATGGTTAGATCAAGGCAGTTATCATACTGATACTGTAAGGTTAGATCAAGGCAGTTATCATACTGATACTGTATGGTTAGATCAAGGCAGTTATCATACTGATACTGTATGGTTAGATCAAGGCAGTTATCATACTCCTACTGTATGGTTAGATCAAGGCAGTTATCATACTGATACTGTATGGTTAGATCAAGGCAGTTATCATACTCCTACTGTATGGTTAGATCAAGGCAGTTATCATACTGATACTGTATGGTTAGATCAAGGCAGTTATCATACTGATACTCTATGGTTAGATCAAGGCAGTTATCATACTGATACTGTATGGTTAGATCAAGGCAGTTATCATACTGATACTGTATGGTTAGATCAAGGCAGTTATCATACTCCTACTGTATGGTTAGATCAAGGCAGTTATCATACTTGTACTGTAAGCCTGAAGTTAGTTATTATTATAGCTCCAGTTTTCAGCAGCTCTTTATATTCTAGCAGTGTTTTTATAAAACAAGTTTAGGAAATTATTCATAGATTTCCTGCAATGTCCTCTGCCTAACGCCACTCAACCCCCCCCCCCCCCCTTACATGACTGTTGCAGACACTGGATCCCTGAAGTCAGGATCATGACACCATCTACATTTACCTACAACAAGGTACATGCTGCTTTTTTAAAAACTTTTTTTTACAAGAGCTATACACAAATACCTTCACTGTTCTTTATAAAATTTCATTACTAATGATGTACAGTATTAAACTAGTTTCATGTTTTAGAACTTGGGTTTATTTACATTCAATATTTCTCCCCGTGTGTTAATAAAAAAAGATGCCAATCATCAAATCATGCTCTTCTTTACTTCACTAGGAAACTGTGGTCACACTGACTATAAGCAACCCTTCTGTTTTCAACACCAATGTTTCTCTAGCGCAGATAGAAAATGAGACTGACACTGACTACTGCACTGCTAAGGTAAGAAAACCATCAGCTCTCACATCTTATGTCCAACATATTCTGTTGATTACTGTCCCTTCTTTCATGTAACAAGTTTTTTAATGTTTCATAGTTTTTCTTTTTTTTTTTAAAGTGATAATTTTTCTTTTGAGTTCATACCTTTAAATATTGACAGAAATAATTAGTACTCTAAGAGCTTAATATAGCCTGTAACATCTTTTGCTTGAGCTTACCAAAATAGCTTAAAATTGCCTGTACTATCTTAGGTTGGGCTCGCTATAAAGAGCTTAAAATTTCCTGTACTATCTTAGGTTGAGCTCACTATAAAGAGCTTAAAATTGCTGCCTGTGCTATCTTAGGTTGGGCTCACTATAAAGAGCTTAATTAAAATTGCTGCCTGTGCTATCTTAGGTTGGGCTCACTATAAAGAGCTTAAAATTGCTGCCTGTGTTATCTTAGGTTGAGCTCACTATAAAGAGCTTAAAATTGCTTGTGTTATCTTAGGTTAAGCTCACCATAAAGAGCTTAAAATGGTCATATTTTTAGGTTGAGCTCACTATAAAAAGCTTAAAATTGCCTGTTATCTTAGGTTGAGCTCACTTTAAAGAGCTTAAAATTGCCTGTTATCTTAGGTTGAGCTCACTATTAAGAGCTTAAAATTGCCTGTTATCTTAGGTTGAGCTCACTATAAAGAGCTTAAAACTGCCTGTTATCGTAGGTTGAGCTCACTATAAAGAGCTTAAAATTGTCTGTTATCTTAGGTTGAGCTCACTATTAAGAGCTTAAAATTGCCTGTTATCTTAGGTTGAGCTCACTATAAAGAGCTTAAAATTGCCTGTTATCATAGGTTGAGCTCACTATAAAGAGCTTAAAATTGTCTGTTATCTTAGGTTGAGCTCACTATTAAGAGCTTAAAATTGCCTGTTATCTTAGGTTGAGCTCACTATAAAGAGCTTAAAATTGCCTGTTATCGTAGGTTGAGCTCACTATAAAGAGCTTAAAATTGTCTGTTATCTTAGGTTGAGCTCACTATTAAGAGCTTAAAATTGCCTGTTATCTTAGGTTGAGCTCACTATAAAGAGCTTAAAATTGCCTGTTATCGTAGGTTGAGCTCACTATAAAGAGCTTAAAATTGCCTGTTATCGTAGGTTGAGCTCACTATAAAGAGCTTAAAATTGCCTGTTATCGTAGGTTGAGCTCACTATAAAGAGCTTAAAATTGTCTGTTATCTTAGGTTGAGCTCACTATTAAGAGCTTAAAATTGCCTGTTATCTTAGGTTGAGCTCACTATAAAGAGCTTAAAATTGCCTGTTATCGTAGGTTGAGCTCACTATAAAGAGCTTAAAATTGTCTGTTATCTTAGGTTGAGCTCACTATTAAGAGCTTAAAATTGCCTGTTATCTTAGGTTGAGCTCACTATAAAGAGCTTAAAATTGCCTGTTATCGTAGGTTGAGCTCACTATAAAGAGCTTAAAATTGTCTGTTATCTTAGGTTGAGCTGCCTAAGAAGGAGCTAGTGTTGGCCAGCAGGGATGAGCCATCAATGCATGTTTATGATGAGAATACACAAGCACAGGAGTTCAAGGATGATCCCAAGTAGGTCTACTTTAACTACTTACTCTCTAGCTTTTATGAGCCATCAATGCATGTTTATAATGAGAATACACAAGCACAGGAGTTCAAGGATGATCCCAAGTAGGTCTACTTTAACTACTTACTCTCTAGCTTTTATTCTATGCTTTAGATCAGCAGGCAGTTTAGGAATAGTTTTCCCAGCTTTATTTAAAAAGAAATGTTGAATGTCCACCTTACACAATTTATTGGTTCTGATTGCCAAAACTAAGTGTCCTAAATGAAATCTAAGGGACATAACCACTGGCACTGTTATTTGCTACAGTAGTTACCCCTCGTTTATGCTCTTTTTCCCCAGGCTGATAGTGTTTAGAAAGGGTAACAAGATTGGCTTTGTTGTAAAGGTTACCCCTTTGGTTAAAGAAGGAGACGTTAAGGTAAAGAAAATTTTACTTTTGCTATTTCGCCAGTGGACAATATGTTGATTGTTGGCATTAGGCATAATGACATGGTTTAATTGATAACAGGTATTTAAACGTTCACTGATGTCTTAAATAACAAAATATTTGTTTTAGATCAACTTCCTGATGAAACATGAGTTCCGTAACACAACGGTAGCTGCCCTGCAGAGTGAATCCAAGGAACCAGAGATTGTGTGGCTGGAGCATAAGGTCTATCTGACACTAGGAACTATTTAACTTATCTGGAGCATAAGGTCTATCTGATACTAGGAACTATTTAACTTATCTGGAGCATAAGGTCTATCTGATACTAGGAACTATTTAACTTATCTGACACTAGGAACTATTTAACTTATCTGGAGCATAAGGTCTGTCTGACACTAGGAACTATTTAACTTATCTGGAGCATAAGGTCTATCTGATACTAGGAACTATTTAACTTATCTGGAGCATAGGTTTATCTGATACTAGGAACTATTTAACTTATCTGGAGCATAAGGTCTGTCTGACACTAGGAACTATTTAACTTATCTGGAGCATAAGGTCTATCTGATACTAGGAACTATTTAACTTATCTGGAGCATAGGTCTATCTGACACTAGGAACTATTTAACTTATCTGGAGCATAAGGTCTATCTGACACTAGGAACTATTTAACTTATCTGACACTAGGAACTATTTAACTTATCTGGAGCATAAGGTCTATCTGACACTAGGAACTATTTAACTTATCTGACACTAGGAACTATTTAACTTATCTGGAGCATAAGGTCTATCTGACACTAGGAACTATTTAACTTATCTGGAGCCAATGGTCTATCTGACACTAGGAACTATTTAACTTATCTGGAGCCAATGGTCTATCTGACACTAGGAACTATTTAACTTATCTGGAGCCAATGGTCTATCTGACACTAGGAACTATTTAATTTATCTGGAGCCAATGGTCTATCTGACACTAGGAACTATTTAACTTATCTGACACTAGGAACTATTTAACTTATCTGACACTAGGAACTATTTAACTTATCTGACACTAGGAACTATTTAATTTATCTGGAGCCAATGGTCTATCTGACACTAGGAACTATTTAACTTATCTGACACTAGGAACTATTTAACTTATCTGACACTAGGAACTATTTAACTTATCTGGAGCTTAAGGTCTATCTGATACTAGGAACTATTTAACTTATCTGGAGCATAGGTCTATCTGACACTAGGAACTATTTAACTTATCTGGAGCATAGGTCTATCTGACACTAGGAACTATTTAACTTATCTGGAGCATACGGTCTATCTGATACTAGGAACTATTTAACTTATCTGGAGCATAAGGTCTATCTGACACTAGGAACTATTTAACTTATCTGGAGCATACGGTCTATCTGATACTAGGAACTATTTAACTTATCTGGAGCATACGGTCTATCTGACACTAGGAACTATTTAACTTATCTGGAGCATAAGGTCTATCTGATACTAGGAACTATTTAACTTATCTGGAGCACAGGTCTATCTGACACTAGGAACTATTTAACTTATCTGGAGCACAGGTCTATCTGACACTAGGAACTATTTAACTTATCTGGAGCATAAGGTCTATCTGATACTAGGAACTATTTAACTTATCTGGAGCATAGGTCTATCTGACACTAGGAACTATTTAACTTATCTGGAGCATAGGTCTATCTGACACTAGGAACTATTTAACTTATCTGGAGCATACGGTCTATCTGACACTAGGAACTATTTAACTTATCTGGAGCATAAGGTCTATCTGACACTAGGAACTATTTAACTTATCTGGAGCATACGGTCTATCTGACACTAGGAACTATTTAACTTATCTGGAGCATAAGGTCTATCTGACACTAGGAACTATTTAACTTATCTGGAGCATAGGTCTATCTGACACTAGGAACTATTTAACTTATCTGGAGCATAAGGTCTATCTAACACTAGGAACTATTTAACGTATCCTTGCTAGCAATATGGGACAGGGGACATAGTAGTTCACCTAATTATGTGTGTATGTGCTTTATTTGTGTGCTTGAAGAATTGAAACGCTTGATGTACTCTAGATGTGTGTATACACTGGTCACTGAGGAACCTAGAACAGCTGTTCAGTCCTTTGTCCACTTGTCTTGTCCACTTGTCTAGCTTGCCTATTGGCTTGATGTCCATTGTGGTGTGGTGTGGTGTGGACACAGAGCACCAACACAACTCACCTGCCCTACACATTGTGGTGTGGTGTGGTGTGGTGTAGACACAGAGCACCAACACCACTCACCTGGCCTACACGGTGTGGTGTGGTGTGGTGTGGACACAGAGCACCAACACCACTCACCTGCCCAACACATTGTGGTGTGGTGTGGTGTGGTGTGGACACAGAGCACCAACACCACTCACATGGCCTACATGTTTAAATCACACCATAACACAGTTACTTTATTCTCAAGTTCAAGCGCCTGAAGTGTTTCTGTTAGGAGGGAACTAATTAATTAGTTTTTAACTTGACCTTTTCTACCAGGTCATTGTCTGCCAAATTTCTGGCTTGAAAGATTCGTATGTATTCAAGATGTTTGATTGTGTTGAACATTAATGCACTGAATTATGCTTGCTGGTGCTACCTGTTTGTTGCTTGATTTGTGGATCTCTACTGGTGGATCTCTACTGGTGGATCTCTACTGGTGGATCTCTACTGGTGGATCTACTGGTGGATTTAATTACGCCACACACAGGTCTTTTTTGTATAATGTTTTGTCATTAATTAAGCTGAAATTATCATTAGACCTAGATAATCACAGATGTCAATTTTGGTGTCAGACATCAGTAAATGTCATGTCTAGTGTCTGACAGCAAATGACATGTCAATCACTAGAACTGTCATAAAAAGTGTCATCAATAAAGTGGATGTTTGCTTTTAAAGTTTTCTGATAGGGCGTTGTGCAATGCATTTCATGGCATGGTTTAATTTCTTCAGTCACTGTAGTTTTCTGGATGTTTTTAAAAAGTGAATTGAAATTTGAGCTAATTGCTGACTGGTTTCTCCTGGTAATTGGATTTGGGCTTCAACCTTTTTTTTTTTAAAATTGTGTACAGTAATTTATGTAGAACTACATTGTTTACAGTTATTGATTTTATGGAATGTTAAACACTTTAAGTAAGCTTAGCCTTTATTTATTTAAAACTCTGGGCTGTAGAGATCACTCCTAGATCACAATTTTCTGGTCAGGATCTGTAGGTTTATCAGACCACCTACAATGACATTATCTACCTTGTCCTAAAATAGTAACTTGATTTTCTTCCCCTTTTCAATCTGTGAAGGTGCTTTATATTTGTAGTACTTCCTCTTTGGGATTTTATATGGTAATATATTTGTCATTATTAGTGTTGCAAATAAATTTTTGAAACACAATTATTTGTATTGTCATTTTATTTCAACATTATTTTTTAGCTTTCTTGTTTCAAAATGACAAGAACCAGAAGGGGACATAACTCTTAAAACAATTTATCCCAGTTGTCTATCATATATTGTTAGATGCTAACAAATGGTTTCTCAATGGAGGCGAGCGAGTTGACGAGATTCCTTTCATAATGTTGTTGACATGGAATAAAAACGTCCTTTTTAGATTTAGACCGTAAAAAAAAATAAAAAATAAAAACTTAAGCCTAAAATTAATTTAGAAATTTTATATTTTTAGAATAAATGCTGTAAAAGTTGCAAATCCAGAGAACTTGAAAATAATTTGTTGAGTTTAAGGCTACATTTCTATTTATTTTCATCAAGCCTAAGTTATAACCGGATGTTTCACTTTCGTAAGACAAATATTGATTGGCTGTACAGTAACTTAGTGATCGATAACTATTTGTTTACAAAACTTTGCAGATCAAGTTTTTAAATAACAATGCAAATTTAAAACCCCATGACCTAGTTTTCTATTTTTAGCTTACAATGTGTACAATAAAATCAATGGCGGCCTATCGAATAACAGGATGCCATTGTTTATGTCGCCATTACACGTGAAAACCAAATTGTTTTTGCTTTTTTTTTTAATTTTTATTTAGTTACCGAAAATATTATAAACATCAAATACATCCAATCTTTAGTAAAGTCCGAAAAAAACCAGACATACAGGATTTTATAGCCATATTAATTGTAACTACGCTGTGCAAGATTTTTAAATTAATTTATACACCTCTCAAATACCTTTGAGACTTTTCTCGCTGGTGTCCATTGAGTGTTGAGGAAATGCATGTTAAAGACGTCATACAGGATGGGATTGTTTACATTCACAACAATAATTACAGATCAGGATCTAGTGTGGAGCAAACTTCATTCATTGTTTGAGTACTAGCTGTAGAAAAATGTGAGGTGTTGTTCCGTAAATAAACCTGGCTATTTGGTTTAGTAAAGATGGTCTCCCTTGATTCAATTGTAAGGGCCCCAATTACATCGTGCCGCATGGGTTTTAGTGATGGCCATGTTTGTTTTTTAATTCTAAAATAAATTACTTTAAAACATATTTGGCCAATATTGCTCAAATGAGTTTGGCACTTATTTTTAAAGGTCTAAACAAAATTCGAGCCGTCTACAGTCCAAAACTTGCACTTTATATTTATAGATGTACACCCAGTTGGTTGAGTAGTGAGAGGGGCCAGATCATTATTTTTTAAATGGACCAAAAACTATTTTTGACCATTTCTTATTCCGAGTTGTCTTACACTACAAGAAAAAAAAAACAAAGCCGAGGAAACAAAATCAATGTTTTAAAAATGTATGCCATTAAATGTGTGAATACGGAGTACTTGAATGTTTTTATTTTTCTGTGCGGACATATGGTCACAATCAAGCTGAGAGTAAGGTAAGTTGAGAAACTGGACAAATTCTCGAACTCGTTGAATAGATGCTCACCTGCACCTTATGGTTGGGGGTATATGTTTTTTCTTACTAGTGACGTGGACATTGTCATGGGGAAATATCAATCATATATATATATATATATATATATATATATATATATATATATATATATATATACATGTGTGTATGTATTTTTCATAGTATGTTAAATGACGCAAAAATCGGTTTATGAAAAAAGTGTTTAAAATTTTGAAATAGTACAAATTTGAAGGAGACGATTGCATCTACACCCACAGGTGTAACCTCAGGTGAGACAAGTCGATTGGGGAATCCATGTGGGGAGGGGGGGTCATACAGTGAGTGGATTCAAACAGCCAAAATTCAATGGCGTCAATGTTGGGGGAACCTTTACTCTGTGAGCTCAGTGGTATGACGTTTTTTTGGGGCGGGACTATGACTAAAGGCGGGAGAGTCTAAAGGTCAGAGGTCATTGTATGAACATCCGAACGTAGACGTGTGAGACTTTCTTTTTCGAGTGACACTCAACCTCAGCTGTCTCAGTATTCGTTGCTATTTTAAGCACCATAAAAATAGCTGCAGGGTTTTCCGATGTGTGTATAGCTCGTTTCATCACAAAAGTCTTGGTTTTCTAAAATGAGATCGTAAATTAATAAAATAAGGGATCGTGTAGCTGTACTATAAGTATAAGTGATCGTATTTCTTCATCTGAAAGTCACTTCCGGCTCTGCTCCAAACATTCCCCACGGTCCACCTCACCTGCACCCACCATCCCCCACCTCACCTGCCCCTCAGAACAAGCGGACAAAGGAAAGCGCCGACGACTATCTTTAGATATTTGTATGTCTTTTCACTCAAGTTCAATATTTTTAAGGACTTAACATGTAAACTAAAAGTTTAAACTTCAAGCTTTTCTTGATAAAATTTGAAGAAAAAAAAGTCCACACAAAAAAACTGTCAAATACCCGATATAATAAGCCATAACGCGAGATTTTGTCTGGTTACGTTACGGTACGCTGAATTATAACCAATCAAATCACGCTATTTTAATGGGTCTACTCAGTTCAAAGTCACATTACCAGCGGGGAATTCCCTTTTTGGCCCAGTTTGTTTATGTTTTTGTTCCGCGTTGTGCGCCTGGCCTGGGAAGGTAAAGTTTTGAAAAGGGAAGTCCGCGCAACCCAGCTAGCAAATCCAATCATTCAGAGATGCTGTTCTTGCTCCAGTTTGCCGTGATGCTATTCTTAGGGCCATTGCGAGGAAATGCGTATGATAGTATTTGCTAATTTTGAAACAAAGGACTGCCCGAAATGTGTGATACGCATGTTGATACACAAGGGACCAAACAAGGTTAGAATATCTTTTTGTCTTCACCCCATCCCTTCACCCCACCCCTTCACCCCACCCCTTCACCCCACCCCTTCACTCCACCCCTTCACACCATTCCATTACTGCCCATCTACTCCCCCGAATTTCTTCCTCTACACTGCCCATCTGCCCCCTCACCCCGTTACATTTCTGCCCCACCACTGCCCTAGGCTTGCCTACGCTTCATGCTGGAGATTCATGGCATTTCTACAAGTATGAGCTCCCTGCGACTTGCTTGGTGACATGTCTAGGTCGCTACTTCTGGGAGAGTTGTGGTTTAAAGGTCAGTGCGAGACCTTGAACTTGGATAAACAAAAAATAGCACCTTTTTATGTAAGTGACAAGCGTTTATATTTCCATTCGCTGGGAACATGGGCCATAACTCTACACAGTGTGGGAACATGGGCCATAACTCTACACAATGTGGGAGCATGGGCCATAACTCAACACAATGTGGGAGCATGGGCCATAACTCTACACAATGTGGGAGCATGGGCCATAACTCTACACAATGTGGGAACATGTGCCATAACTCTACACAATGTGGGAACATGGGCCATAACTCTAAACAACATGTGCCATAACTCTACACAGTTGTTGATAATGACGACTCAGAAATACTGGTTTGATAGAAGATTGAGAGATCTGTTTATTTTTTTTTTCAAAGAACAGGAATTGTGATGTGATGAGGCTTGATGCGTTGTTTTATCCATAGCGCGTTCCAGGGTCAACCCCCCCCCCCAACCACACCCCCAGCTGTGACGTCAAACGTCGACCCACACATGTCACATATTACAGGCTCAAAACGGATTTTTCTGTGTTCTACTCTACAGATGAATTCTTTTCTCTACAGTTCTGCCCCATAGAAGGGTTTGGTAAAGTCACATGGTATTCCCGATATGTTCTGACACTGGTAGCAACAGTATGATGATATAGCCCCCCCCCCCCCCCCCCGAAAGAAATAAAAATAATTAAATTTATACAGAAACTATATAGTTTGACCAGTGTCCGACCCAAAGAAATTTAAAGTTTACAGAGTATTAAAGTATTATAAGAGTCGAACTGGTTTAAGTTAGTTCATCATTGCCACGTTCCCATTACAGTATATAAATATAAATTAATCGACATGTGTATATCAGCAAATATTTTTGTAAGTGCATCGAAGTAAATCCCATCACTAACGATATTAGTTTAAATATTAAACGGCTACATTTTTCCCTATACTAGCTGTAACTGGTCTGATGATGTAGCTAGACTGGTCATACAGGCTAATAGATTCTAGAGCTACATCATGTTTACAAATACTTACAGAACTACCGCAACTGACGTGGTATCGCCATTTTAAAAAACAAACATCGAACTTGTACGTCGTAGTAAATAGCTCGCGTACCTTTCATTTGAGCTGGGTTAGACCTATTGAAAATTTTCCTTGCAATCTGGAATCATCCAATTCTAAAATAAAATTGTGTATTTTGTGTAGTTCGTGTTTTAAAAGTAAGTTGTGGTCTTTAAAATTAGTAGCACAACCATCGCAAATGATCTGTCATTGAAGTGTTGGCTGACATAGAACTACCGGGAATTCCCACAGGGAATCCCCTCAACAGGGTTATTCCAACGGATACCTACGTCTGCTGTTTGGGGATCGCTGTATCAGTTGAAAAAAATTTCTAAAGTGAACAAAGTTTTGGGAGGGGATAACAAATTATTTTTCGTTTTTCTTTTCGAACATTTAGGGAAAAAGTTGTATTTTATCAAGCGACAAACATTAAAGACTTTTATTTGAGTTTTTCGCATTTTCTTTACGGATTTCTTGTTAATAGAAGGTAACAACGCAACAGTTAAAAACAGATGCTTATAAATCATTGACTATTACTACTATTTTCGTTCTTTTAAATATAAAAGCAGTCGATATATCTGGGGACATATCATAAGATTGCCGGCGCTTACCTACAAAAAAAGGTAACTTTTATTAGCAAAAGACGTGAAAGATACGTTATTTTAGTAGCTTAGATATGTGTAGGATCGGCCGATCATAAATCAATTGGTCAAAAGTTCGATACATATTTTGTTGAGTTGTTTCTCACTGTTACAGCAGGGGAATTAATTTTAAATATGACGAAATCTAAAACGCAATACAGAGTCACGTGTTACCCGAAAGAACGTATTTTCTAAATCCGTGTTAAACATTTTTGTTGAAATCGTTGTTTTTCATTAAGGCGGTAAGACTAGATTTCTCAGTGTTTTTATTTTTATTTATTACGATCGGTTCTACATTTATTGTATTATGTAACCAAACAATCTGTTAATTTAAACTTAATTTGTTTGTTTGTGGATATGTGGCAAATCTCAATTTTGACCCACTTCTAATGCAGCGATTTCGTTCACTTTCCAGTCAAGTTTGTCTCTGATGATAATGCAAGAATATTTAATTTAATTAGATATGAAATTAGTAATTTACAAAATTATATAAAAATCACTGCTTGTACATTCAACAGTTGAAGGGAGATAACAAAATAATTTAATCTCAAATGATAACTCAATTATCCTGTTTACAACAGTGAATCGTTTGTCATGGACGATGGTTTCCACGGTCGTTAAGAAGGGGCAGCTGTCTTTTAGAGATACGTAATACTGATAGGTTTTAAATCGAATACTTTTAGTTGAATATGGTGTCGATCTCATTAAGAGTAAATTGCTAAATAAACCTTGAGTGATCTCCCCTAAAATTTCTCGAATATTCTAACATAACACTACGGTGGATGACAACTCGAGATATAGACACTATTTTTAATCCATTTTTATTTACTTAAATTTTTAAAATAGAATATAAATCGGAAATAGAGTAATTTCATATATAAGTATGATATCAAATGTGTAGTTCTGTATCAACTTATCAGCAATTTAAATGCACCGAAAATGAAAAGAAACATTAAAATAAAACTTCCTTTCTTTAACAAAAGCATCAGTCGCGTTTAAAATCTCTTAGTCATTTTATTAAGGAAAGCAAGTTCTATTTCTTAATTTTATTAGTACATTTAAAAGCTTACTTTTATAAAGAGTTTTATTTTTATTTAAACGTGCTACCAATGTTCGCCATCCCATCCTCAGATATCCATGAATGCGCTCCCCGGCCAACTACCCCTGATGTTGACCTACGACCCCCCCCCCCCCCCTCCCCCTCCCCAATGCCTTTCAGTACTTAACCTTCAGCATTTCTGCAATAAACTTTGGCCATCGTGTCCCGCTATCTAATTGGTGCCACTGTGTGTAGTTCGTCTCCCACCCTAGTAGTCTTGTTTCCATTCATATAGACATAAGCCTACGCTTAGTATTGTTACCTATTGTCTTGTTTCCATTCATATAGACATAAGCCTACGCTTAGTATTGTTACCTATTGTCTTGTTTCCATTCATATAGACATAAGCCTACGCTTAGTATTGTTACCATTGTCTTGTTTCCATTCATATAGACATAAGCCTACGCTTAGTATTGTTACCTATAGTCTTGTTTCCATTCATATAGATCTAGGCCTAGCAAGCATTGTGAGCTGTAGTCTTGTTTTCTTTCATTTAAATCTTTTTAGTTTTGTTTTCAAAGACGCGCCTTCGCTTTCAGTTTCAATTTCGATTCAAAGGAGAAAAAAAACATGGCGCCGACCAATCATATGAGACAGCGACATATTAGTATTTTAAATGTTTGGTCTGTCTCTTCTTTCGGTCGCCTTTATTCCTGTCTAGTGGGTCTGTATTGTTTCATGTGGTTGGTTGGTATTTTTCCGTGTTTAGTTGGTCTGTAATGGGGCATTTTGATTTTGTCGTGCTTTAAATCTAACTGACATGGCGACTAAATATTCTGGTCGGCATGGTGAATTTTGTTTTCGCGATTTTTTTTGCGTTATAGGCAGTCAATATAATAAGGTTATACAGTAATTATGAATAATTAGAAATAACATAAAGCGCTATGTATATATTGTAGCTACTGTGATATTCTATGTAGCTCCAATATGCTTGTTGAGTTCTATACTCGCACATGTTCGCAGTTTCATAAAGTCTGTGATTTAGTGGTTCGCATATTGATTTTATGTGTATAGTCAGTCGCCTGTCTGCAATTTGTTGTCATTTCATTAATAGCTGCTCCAATAGGCTAAATGTAAGCTCTACTTGTTGACAGCGTGTGGCTAGGCTAAATGTAAGCTCTCCTAGTTGACAGTGTGGTTAGGAGTAATGTAGACTCGACTATCTACAAGGCTGCTGTTGATTTTGGAGTTCTATCTCCTAGATGGGTTGCTGCTCTTTGCTAACGGGCCTCATCTGCCCGGGGTTCTGAACTTTTGGCGTTCATACGACCAAACCGTCCCAGTGAAATTAATGATAACCGAGGAAAGCCGATGTATCAGCATATGTCACCGCAGCATATGTCACCGCAGCATATGTCACCGCAGCATATGTCACCGCAGCATATGTCACCGCAGCATATGTCACCGCAGCATATGTCACCGCAGCATTTATTATGTCACTGCAACATATGTGATTGCAGCATATGTCACCGCAGCATTTATTATGTCACTGCAACATATGTGATTGCAGCATATGTCACCGCAGCATTTATTATGTAACCGCAACATATGTGACCTTATCATTTGACATCGACTGAATATTTTGCACGTGTCAGAAGATTCTTGAATTTTAAATGAACGGCTCACTTGGAAATTTATTATTGCCTGAGTGTGTGTCCGTGTGTGTGTTGGGGGGGGGGGGGGGTAGATCGAGTAACAATTCATTATCTGAAATTCCCACCCTCCTTTTATTTTTCCCTCAGCGGACGGCTAATTAAAAACCGCCTTATAAAAGTTCCATAACTCTTGTGTGCTAAATCTTCAGTTCTGTAGGGTTGATGTATGTTTGCTTGTAAGAGAGACGATTGAGATTTTTAAGATATCAAGTACTCACACATCGTCAACTACCAAGCAGAAACGTAGCGACCCATTCTGAATTTTGACTCATTCATTCCATTTATAGTTATTTCTGTTTGTGAAAAAGCACCCCCCACCCTCCCAAGTTGGAAAGGTTTGTGGCGCGTCTTACCAGTTGCTATCACGTAACATTTTGTATTTTGGTGCCACAAGTTGGTGCAGAAAACTGTTAAATCAGTGTGTAAATAAACAAAGTGTACATCTGGTGTTCGATTGCCGTCATTAGAAGTGTAGGCTATATCCAACATTTTTTCTAAGAAGTGTAGGCTGTATCCAACATTTTTTTCTAAGAAGTGTAGGCTATATCCAACATTTTTCTAAGAAGTGTAGGCTGTATCCAACATTTTTTTCTAAGAAGTGTAGGCTATATCCAACATTCTTCTAAGAAGTGTAGGCTGTATCCAACATTTTTTTGTAAGAAGTGTAGGCTGTATCCAACATTATGCCACATACATTTATATACGCATGTGTATATGCATTTAATTTTTTTTTCTGGATGTATTTACATTTTTTTTTAAGCTTCGCATTTTGGGCTGAATTTCGTCCTCTTTTTTTTAATGTATAGGAAAAGCGACCAAATACTTTTTTTTACAGCGTTTGAATCCGCTAGAAGCTCTTTACCTCGTATGGGTATACTAAATGTGTAATCAAATTATTATAATTTAACAAATTCCATTACAAAATATACAACATCCAATGATAAAACTGATTAAAGGGGTGGGGGGGGGGGGGGGGGAGGAGAAAGAAACTCTGCATAGTTAACAAATCAACTACTTCATCACAATCAAATGTACAGCTATTGTTCTACTGGTGTCAGCTACCCTCCTCAACACTCTTACACTAACACACACACACTTACATATACACTCTCACACGTTGGCTGTTGTATAATAATTTGCTTTAAGTGGAAAAATCATTGAATGTGTAGTAACTTATAAAATTTGGCGTCACCCCCCCCCCCACCCCACTCCAGAGGCGAATCGATGTTTCAGTTATTACAATTCTCAAGAAAATTCCTCAGGGAAATTTTGCAACGTTTGGCATGTGTCACCCCTCCCCCCCCCCCACCCTACCTCCCACCCGGTGATAGCTGTAAATTGTGCACAGATAATACTAACGATGTTCATCTATAGTCGGTTATAAATACGTCATGATGTCACCCCCACCCACCCACCCGCCGACCCTTGTCCGGATTTGTCAATTTTGCTCTTAATTATAAGACTTTAAAACTCTAATGAATCATTTTTTAAAAACTGAAACGTTTTTTAAATATATATTTTGCTATTTTTGCCTTGGTGGCACCCCCCCCCCCGCTAAATGGAGTCTCCCGTTGCGGTCCACCCCTCCCCCTCGCTACGCCTCTGATTGTAACTTTAATGTAACATAACGCTTCCGTATAATCGGGGTACATCTAGTCCAGGGCTAGTTTAGAATAATATAGGCTGTAATACAAATATTACCTGATTTATGTAGACTCTACCCATGCTTATGACTATTTTAACTGCTACCAACTATTTATTAAAAATTACATCTAGATCTACTAGATCTAGATCTATAATTCTATATCTATTCGTAAATTCGTAATACAAACAACAAATTCTACAAAGAAATGAAATTATAATAGCCACAATACGCCTAAAGTATTTTTTCTATTTCTTTTTGGCTCGTTTTGGTAAATTTGTTCTGGTATATGAAGATCGCAAATGTTGATTTTGGTTACAACATCATTTACATACAAAATCAGAGATAAAAACTAAATAAATAATAAGGGGCCTACATAATTTCCTAAGTTTTTTAATTCCCGAATTTTACAGTTTATATAAGCTAAGAAAAGGCATTTGATATTTTATACTTAAAGTAAAGTGGTAGGTCTATATACTTATATTACTAGATCTAGCACTAGATTTAGATTAGATCAGTCTCAGTCTACCTATAAAAATAGGTTTTATTTTTGTTTGTTACTGAATGTTTATTATTATTTTCAGGGCTGATAATGTGTGAGGACAAGTACCCATGTGTGTTAGTACTCAGTGATGTCTTTAAATGCTGACGAAAGTGCTTTAGGAAGTGTCAGCTCATTTTCCTCTTTAGAATTAGATGATGCTGATTTACAGAAGAAATACTTGAATGAAAAAGAGAAAAACAGAAAATTAGAAGAAAAACTTAGTGGCTACAAAACAGTTGGTAAGCTCCATTTAAAAAAAAACTTTGTTAAAAAATTATTTATTGCACATTTTAGTTGCATAATACTTACAATCAGAGAAGTTGTTTTAAATAGGCCTAATTAATTAATTAGCATAATATTAATATGATTTTAAAGTATTCTCTGATCTCCCGTTGATTAACTTAGCAGTAAGATTTTAAGTTTAGGCAGGTAGGCTTTGGTAATAAGTTTTATTTTCTAGTATAGGCCTAAAAATGTATACATATTATATATTGGTCTATGACTTTTATTTGTTAAATTTAATTCCTGCTTTGTAAGCTTGATTTTTAAAAAATTAGAAATAATTTGTTTTTAATAATTAAGATATAATTTATACACGCTTTTTTAGAAGTTAAGATCCTGCATTATAAGCATTAGATAAAAACATATTTAAAATCAACAGTGCAACAAATTCCAAAGTATGAAGAAAACATAAAGGAACTCAAAAGGCGGAATAAAGATCAACAGGACAAACTGAATGTGTATGAGAAGCTACTAAGAGAAAATAATGCTCAAGAAGAAAGCCCTAAATCACCATTGCAGGTAAGTTGAACAAATGGAGCTGTCTCTTCATTACATACTGTTTTGTCATAAGACGTTTTGTTGAAGTTTTCTTTGCTGATAACTGACTCATTACATAACTGACTCATTACATAACTGAACCAATTACATAACGGACTCATTACATAACTGACTCATTACATAACTGACTCATTAAATAACAAACTCATTACATAACTGACTCATTACATAATTGACTCATTACTATTTATTAAAATTAATGATATAATGAGGTGAGAAATTAAAAAAAAAACACCAACATTATTATTTGAGTTTCAAAATTAACTGCCAAACAAAATTTCTATTTTCCTCACAAAAAATATATACATTTCTAAATTTAATCTAAGATTGACATATTATCATGTTTGACCAAATGTATTGATGTGTAATTTCAGGATGCTCAAGGTATAACAGAGCTCGGAGAACCTCACTCACCCGGCAGATCAGGCACCACCACACGCAGTCCATCTTTTGTCATTCTAAGTTGCCAGAAAACAGAGTCAGACCCCCTGTCAAAGAAGATCCCTGACAGCTCTAGACAGGCAACACTCAGCTCATCCAACCCAACTTCACCCCCACCTCTGGTTTACCCAACAACACCATTGTCCACAACACATGAACCTGTTTATATTCAAGGGAAGCCACTCCAGACTAACCAAAATTATGGTCACAAAAATATTTCCCAGGCTGTAGTAAGAAGTCCATTCCCCCAATTGAATAGGGAACCTGTTCAGATGTCATTCTCTGAAGTCCCTCCATCCACACAGTCCCACAACTACAAGGCTAGTGCATCAGTCGACCCCAGCAGGCTCTTTAACTGGGAAGGGGTAGGTAACTCTGCCTCCCCTTTTGTTTCATCCCAAGGATCCTCCACATTTGCCTCCCAGCCAGAAAACTCCCAGAGGAAAGATGTCCCAACCTTGTGCTACCCCCACCCCAGCACCAGAAGCTTTCTACCTGTGGAGTCCTATGGAATAGGTGCACGTCCTAAAGAATGGCAACCTTTAATGACGCATGTCCCAAAACAGCCAACAAGGTATGAAGACTCGCTACTGAGAACTGAAGAAAAAGTGTATCCACCACATACGAATCAACATTTCCAAGTGCCTGAACCAAATAAACCTGGCTCCGTTGTTGGTGGTGCCCCAGCTGAGAGGTCAAGCACCTTGAATAATTTAAGTGGAGACAGCAAAAACTTTTTAGGAATGGCAGAATCACAAAAAGACTTACTTAACATGGTAACTTTGCTTTTATACCCCTTGTTTTGCTAATTATAATGATAGATTATGTGTAGCATACATTATGTTATAACTCACTTTCACTAAAGTATGTCATAGGCACACGTGTGATATTTGAGCTCCCTGCTGCAGTTGTGCTTACTTTTGCTAAATTTGGTGTGACCTTAATTTTGTGTGACCTCAATTTGGTGTGACCTTAATTTATAAAGCAGAATCCTTGCTGTACAAATCTTTATTAGCGACTATCCCCCCCCCCTCCCTTCCCTCTGTTTACAATGTTTCATGTATCATATATTTTAAATCATAACTCACACTGCCTAAATTAAGAAGCCTTGCTTGCCTCAAACAAAAAGTTAGGGATGATCAAATGTTAATAGTAGATCATGTGATAGGTACTTTAAAACTAAGCACCATTAGATTGACCTTTTGAATGAACTTGACCTCTTTCCTTGAACCTGTGAAGAGTGGACCAACAACTGACCTGATGAAGTTTGGCAGCTTTACCTTCCAGCAGAATATCCCAACCCCTGCCAATGTCAGTAGCCAGGACAAGAGTGTGACAGTGAGTTTTTTTAATTTGTCTTTACAACTACATTTTGTTACAGCACCATACAACACTAGAGTTCTAGAACTAGAACCATTTAAAACCCATTGTCTCAACCATTTCTCATGTTTTTGTCTCTAGATCTGAGAAATAAAAAATAATGTTCGTGGTCAGATGTTCATATTGTTGTTGTTGTGTTTCTCCAGCTTCTGTCAGTGTTGCTAAAAACATCACTCGTGTTACTTTGTTAAATTTGCTTTGATTTGTAAAGGAAATATTTTCAAACAAACATCTTTAAAATCGGCAAATTTTTTTTTGCTAAGATCTAATAGTAACTTTCAATATGATTTTAAAACAAGTTCATTGATTGTGTGAATTTATTGATGTAGTCACTACCTTTATCTCATGTGGTCACTATCTTGTTGGATGTGGTCACTACCTTGTCTGAAGTGGTCACTACCTGTCTGAAATGACCTACTGACCTAGTTAAGTGACCTACTGGCCTAGTTAAGTGACCCACTGACCTAGTTAAGTGACCTACTAACCTAGTTAAGTGACATGCCTGAATGCTCCCCTGTTTGTCCAGTTCCCCAGTGATGACCAGTCCCAGTTGGCCGCTCAAGCAGAAAGTATGGCCAGCATGGTCAAGTCCAGTGACTCTGTGTCAGGCATCAGCGAGCAGCTGGCCATGTTTGCTAAAGAGTTTGAGAAGATGGCCAAGAAACTCCGAGAGAATGAGGTCAGTTGGTTTTTTATTGTCCAGTTGTTGCTGCAATTGTTTTAAACTACACATTACCGTCGGTCCAGTTGTTGCTATAAAAATTTAAACTACACATTACCATAATAAAACTAGTTGTTCCAAGTTTTTAAAAGTCAGACCTTATTTAAGTCAGAACTTAACTTTAAGTCAGAACTTACTTTAAGTCCTGTTGTTTTTTATGTAGTGGACGAAATGTAAATATTTTGAAACTCTCTACAAGACATGCAAGGTTAAAGTTAACAAGAATAGTAAAGGGACATAACTATGAAAATGTTAATTGATCTACAAGATTGTGGTCCTTGTTGGCCTCAGTTACAAAAATCTTTTGTGTATATCTGAAATTGATTAGATTTAATCTTGAAAAAGTGAAATGTTAACAAATTGAAGTTTAAATTTCCTGTTTGATAGCCACCAGAATCATTCTTTGTTAATAAAACAACCAATGTCTAAAACAAGCAAAGATGAACTTGTCAGTGTTATTGTAGGTGTTGATTCAAAGATGAACTTGTCAATGTTATTGTAGGTGTTGATTCAAAGATAAACTTGTCAATGTTATTGTAGGTGTTGATTCAACGACAGCAAGTACAGATACAAAGCTTGTCAAAAACTGGCAATGAAACAGCACTGAGGTAAGCAAAGATCTTTATCTTTTGTCTTATCTGCTTAAGGCTCTTTATTTCCTTAAGGCCCTTGGTTTTGCTTAAGGCCCTTGATTTCACTGATAGTGTAACCACCTGCAATCACCTGAACTAAAGCATAATGTTTGTGTAATGGTGAGGCTTAGAGAGGCTCAGTTAGAATATTACTTCTGCCAGGAACAAGATTAAGTGTTTTAAATTTTTTGCTCCAAACATAGCTGGTGTGTGTAACTAGCCCTGGTTTCCTATAGCAACGTCTTCAGTTTTACTTGAATCTCAATTATTTGTTCATGTCTCCTACTCACTTCCTGATATACATACTTTAGTCTGGGGCAGGGGGACATATGTGGTACCATGATTTCTGTAACTGATGCAACTCTGCAGGGCTGAAGTCCAATCTCTGAGAGAGGAGAATGAAATGCTGCATGCGTTTTTAACTGCAGAGAGACAGGGTCATGGTTCTCACATTCTGGAGCCTGGCTGGGCAGTGGTGGCTAATCAGGTAAATCTGGACCAGTCCTACAATACATCTGTACCAGTCCCACTAAACATCAGGACCAGTCCTATAAGAATACATACAACGTCTTGAACAAACAATATTTAGACTTGACTACATTCACAACCTCATCCTAACACCACAAGATACAAGACTATCTAACCTTCTTCCCTGGCAACAACAAACCTACACTGAAATGTCACATGTACTGCAGCACACAGCCAAGATCTTTTATTTATACAAAATCCTTTCACAACACACATACTCTCATATCCTAGCACACACATCATGACAATAACAATCAACACCAATCATTTATTAGCAGGCCAGTGAAGCCAATCTCCCCGCTGACCATCCTGTCATGAAGAAACTGGACACACTTGAGAAAATTAATGCCAAGGTAAGGTCTGGAACTTGTTTGTGCACAGCTGGTTGCCGTCATCTTTAGTTTTGTTTGAGTTGCCTGTCTATACTTGTGGCCTGTCTATACTTGTAGCCTGTCTCTACTTGTAGCCTGTCTATACTTGTAGCCTGTCTATACCTGTAGCCTGTCTATACTTGTAGCCTGTCTATACTTGTAGCCTGTCTATACTTGTAGCCTGTCTATACTTGTAGCCTGTCTATACTTGTAGCCTGTGTATACTTGTAGCCTGTCTATACTTGTAGCCTGTCTATACTTGTAGCCTGTCTATACTTGTAGCCTGTCTATACTTGTAGCCTGTCTATACTTGTAGCCTGTCTATACTTGTGGCCTGTCTATACTTGTAGCCTGTCTATACTTGTGGCCTGTCTATACTTGTGGCCTGTCTATACTTGTGGCCTGTCTATACTTGTAGTCTGTCTCTACTTGTAGCCTGTCTATACTTGTGGCCTGCCTATACTTGTAGCCTGTCTATACTTGTGGCCTGTCTATACTTGTAGCCTGTCTATACTTGTGGCCTGTCTATACTTGTAGCCTGTGTATACTTGTAGCCTGTCTATACTTGTAGCCTGTCTATACTTGTAGCCTGTCTATACTTGTAGCCTGTCTATACTTGTAGCCTGTCTATACTTGTAGCCTGTCTATACTTGCCAGTCTATACTTGTAGCCTGTCTATACTTGTAGCCTGTCTATACTTGTAGCCTGTGTATACTTGTAGCCTGTCTATACTTGTAGCCTGTCTATACTTGTAGCCTGTCTATACTTGTAGCCTGTCTATACTTGTTGCCTGTCTATACTTGTAGCCTGACTATACTTGTAGCCTGTCTCTACTTGTAGCCTGTCTATACTTGTAGCCTGTCTATACTAGCCTGTCTATACTTGTAGCCTGTCTATACTTGTAGCCTGTCTATACTTGTGGCCTGTCTATACTTGTAGCCTGTCTATACTTGTAGCCTGTCTATACTTGTAGCCTGTCTATACTTGTAGCCTGTCTATACTTGTAGCCTGTCTATACTTGTTGCCTGTCTATACTTGTAGCCTGACTATACTTGTAGCCTGTCTCTACTTGTAGCCTGTCTATACTTGTGGCCTGTCTATACTTGTAGCCTGTCTATACTTGTGGCCTGTCTCTACTTGTAGCCTGTCTATACTTGTGGCCTGTCTATACTTGTAGCCTGTCTATACTTGTGGCCTGTCTCTACTTGTAGCCTGTCTATACTTGTGGCCTGTCTCTACTTGTAGCCTGTCTATACTTGTGGCCTGTCTATACTTGTGGCCTGTCTATACTTGTAGCCTGTCTATACTTGTGGCCTGTCTCTACTTGTAGCCTGTCTATACTTGTGGCCTGTCTATACTTGTAGCCTGTCTATACTTGTGGCCTGTCTATACTTGTGGCCTGTCTCTACTTGTAGCCTGTCTATACTTGTGGCCTGTCTATACTTGTGGCCTGTCTATACTTGTAGCCTGTCTATACTTGTGGCCTGTCTATACTTGTGGCCTGTCTATACTTGTGGCCTGTCTATACTTGTAGCCTGTCTATACTTGTGGCCTGTCTATACTTGTGGCCTGTCTATACTTGTGGCCTGTCTATACTTGTAGTCTGTCTCTACTTGTAGCCTGTCTATACTTGTGGCCTGTCTATACTTGTGGCCTGTCTATACTTGTGGCCTGTCTATACTTGTGGCCTGTCTATACTTGTGGCCTGTCTATACTTGTGGCCTGTCTATACTTGTAGCCTGTCTCTACTTGTAGCCTGTCTATACTTGTGGCCTGTCTATACTTGTGGCCTGTCTATACTTGTAGCCTGTCTCTACTTGTAGCCAGTCTATACTTGTAGCCTGTCAGTACTTGTGGCCTGTCTATACTTGTAGCCTGTCTATACTTGTAGCCTGTCTATACTTGTAGCCTGTCTATACTTGTAGCCTGTCTATACTTGTAGCCTGTCTATACTTGTAGCCTGTCTATACTTGTGGCCTGTCTATACTTGTGGCCTGTCTATACTTGTGGCCTGTCTATACTTGTGGCCTGTCTATAGTTGTAGCCAGTCTATACTTGTAGCCTGTCTCTACTTGTAGCCAGTCTCTACTTGTAGCCAGTCTATACTTGTAGCCTGTCTCTACTTGTAGCCTGTCTCTACTTGTAGCCTGTCTCTACTTGTAGCCAGTCTATACTTGTGGCCTGTCTATACTTGTGGCCTGTCTATACTTGTAGCCTGTCTATACTTGTAGCCTGTCTATACTTGTAGCCTGTCTATACTTGTAGCCTGTCTATACTTGTGGCCTGCCTATACTTGTAGCCTGTCTATACTTGTGGCCTGTCTATACTTGTAGCCTGTCTATACTTGTAGCCAGTCTATACTTGTAGCCTGTCTCTACTTGTAGCCAGTCTATACTTGTAGCCTGTCTCTACTTGTAGCCTGTCTCTACTTGTAGCCTGTCTCTACTTGTAGCCAGTCTATACTTGTAGCCTGTCTCTACTTGTAGCCTGTATACTTAGCTGTCTATACTTGTAGCCTGTCTATACTTGTCGCCTGTCTATACTTGTAGCCTGTCTCTACTTGTAGCCTGTCTATACTTGTGGCCTGTCTATACTTGTAGCCTGTCTATACTTGTAGCCTGTCTCTACTTGTAGCCAGTCTATACTTGTAGCCTGTCTCTACTTGTAGCCTGTCTCTACTTGTAGCCAGTCTATACTTGTAGCCTGTCTCTACTTGTAGCCTGTATACTTAGCTGTCTATACTTGTAGCCTGTCTATACTTGTAGCCTGTCAGTACTTGTGGCCTGTCTATACTTGTAGCCTGTCTATACTTGTAGCCTGTCTATACTTGTAGCCTGTCTATACTTGTGGCCTGTCTATACTTGTAGCCTGTCTATACTTGTAGCCTGTCAGTACTTGTGGCCTGTCTATACTTGTAGCCTGTCTATACTTGTGGTTGTAGCCTGTCTATACTTGTAGCCTGTCTATACTTGTAGCCTGTCTATACTTGTAGCCTGTCTATACTTGTAGCCTGTCTATACTTGTAGCCTGTCTGTACTTGTAGCCTGTCTATACTTGTAGCCTGTCTATACTTGTAGCCTGTCTATACTAGCCTGTCTATACTTGTAGCCTGTCTATACTTGTAGCCTGTCTATACTTGTAGCCTGTCTATACTTGTAGCCTGTCTATACTTGTAGCCTGTCTATACTTGTAGCCTGTCTATACTTGTAGCCTGTCTATACTTGTGGCCTGTCTATACTTGTAGCCTGTCTATACTTGTGGCCAGTCTATACTTGTAGCCTGTCTATACTTGCCTGTCTATACTTGTAGCCTGTCTATACTTGTAGCCTGTCTATACTTGTGGCCTGTCTATACTTGTAGCCTGTTTAATTGTTTAACCCTGAATCCCCCCGCCACCCCAGCTGTTCATGGCCAACAAAGACTGGCACAGTAAATGGGAAATCTTGCGGCGCCAAAACCAGGAGAGGAACGACGAGCTGGAGGCAACCATTCAGAAGGTCACTCAGGAGAAACAGAAACTACAGGAAGACTTTGAGAACTTGGAGAAACAGCTGCAGGACGCAATGGTAGGTCACTAGATTTAGTGTGGACACAATGGTAGGTCACTAGATTTAGTGTGGACACAATGGTAGGTCACTAGATTTAGTGGACACAATGGTAGGTCACTAGATTTAGTGGACACAATGGTAGGTCACTAGATTTAGTGTGGACACAATGGTAGGTCACTAGATTTAGTGGACACAATGGTAGGTCACTAGATTTAGTGTGGACACAATGGTAGGTCACTAGATTTAGTGTGGACACAATGGTATGTCACTAGATTTAGTGGACACAATGGTAGGTCACTAGATTTAGTGTGGACACAATGGTAGGTCACTAGATTTAGTGGACACAATGGTAGGTCACTAGATTTAGTGTGGACACAATGGTAGGTCACTAGATTTAGTGTGGACACAATGGTAGGTCACTAGATTTAGTGGACACAATGGTAGGTCACTAGATTTAGTGTGGACACAATGGTAGGTCACTAGATTTAGTGTGGACACAATGGTATGTCACTAGATTTAGTGGACACAATGGTAGGTCACTAGATTTAGTGTGGACACAATGGTAGGTCACTAGATTTAGTGGACACAATGGTAGGTCACTAGATTTAGTGTGGACACAATGGTAGGTCACTAGATTTAGTGTGGACACAATGGTAGGTCACTAGATTTAGTGGACACAATGGTAGGTCACTAGATTTAGTGTGGACACAATGGTAGGTCACTAGATTTAGTGTGGACACAATGGTAGATGTCATGTCCTACTTTGTGTGGACACAATGGTAGGTCACTAGATTTAGTGTGGACACAATGGTAGGTCACTAGATTTAGTGGACACAATGGTAGGTCACTAGATTTAGTGTGGACACAATGGTAGGTCACTAGATTTAGTGTGGACACAATGGTAGATGTCATGTCCTACTTTGTGTGGACACAATGGTAGGTCACTAGATTTAGTGTGGACACAATGGTAGGTCACTAGATTTAGTGTGGACACAATGGTAGATGTCATGTCCTACTTTGTATGGACACAATGGTAGGTCACTAGATTTAGTGGACACAATGGTAGATGTCATGTCCTACTTTGTGTGGACACAATGGTAGGTCACTAGATTTAGTGGACACAATGGTAGATGTCATGTCCTACTTTGTGTGGTAGGTGTCGTGTCATGTGACCTTTTGAAAACTTAACTGTTTTCATTTGATGGATGAACTGATTATTTTCATCTTGAACAGGCCTACAAACAGGAAAGTGGTCAGAAGATTTTTGATTTAGAATCCGAGAAGAAACAGCTGGAGAGGTTTGTTGAGTCCCTGAAGTCTGACGTCCAGCTGCTGACCAATGACAAGAGGAAGCTGTTTGCAGACTTGAACTCACTCAAGGTGAGCTCAGTGATCTCTTGTCTTTCTGTGTGAGCAGTTTGTGAGCAGTTTGGCTGGGCTGTGTGAGCAGTTTGGCTGGGCTGTGTGAGCAGTTTGGCTGGGCTGTGTTCTGCCATTCTACTTTTTCTTAGCCTATTTCACCCCTGTTTGTCCTTTCTCTGTCTTTGACGACTGAGTCACTACCACCTGGATGCTTCACCATCTTTTTTAAACACCATCTTCTTTACTACCTGTGTCTTCACCTGTTACCTAACCGCCTAGATCTTTACAACCCTTGATCTTGACCACAATACCACACCCATAAAAGTTTGACTGCTAAATCACCAAAATTTAGATTTGAAAACTTAAAAAAAAATACCACGTCAACAAAATATGCTATTTAAAAATGACATGTTTGTGAAAAATGAATCCACTCCAACTTTGTTCCTCCAGAACACCAGCAAGACAAAAGCTCAAGAAGAGAAAGGCCTGGACACTGAGATTGGACTCCTCAAACAACAGGTAAACATGTCCGCCTGTTCTCATGGCACTGACCGGGTTCCTAGAAAAATGCAAAACAATCTAAAGATACTAATACACTTTAATGTTCTCTTATTTCGTGGAAATATGTACATGTGATCATTCTTTGTTAATATCTGTAAATGATTGATTTATGAAAACAAAATGCCCTTGCACACTTTTTGGTGTGCAGTTTTTTGTTGCGCATTTTTGTGGTTCCCTTTAGTATGATATTAGTGTGGTAGCTATTTTCTTATCACTAAACTTTCTGATTTTTAAGCTATTATTTTATGTTTGCCCTATATATAGCTGACCCTGTTTGTTCTATATTTAGCTGACCCTGTTTGTTCTATATATAGCTGACACTATTTGTTCTATCTTTAGCTGACCCTGTTTGTTCTATATTTAGCTGACCCTGTTTGTTCTATATTTAGCTGACCCTGTTTGTTCTATATTTAGCTGACCATGTTTGTTCTATATTTAGCTGACCCTGTTTGCCGAAGATTTTGAAAAAGAACGCCAGGACCGGGCAACTGCAGAAAACAAACTGGAGAAATACAGGAAAGAAAAAGATCACATTAAACAAAGTTTGGAGAACAAACTAAAAAAACTTAACTCTCAGGTACAAACTCAAAAAACTTAACTCTCAGGTACAAACTAAAAAACTTAACTCTCAGGTACAAACTAAAAAAACTTAACTCTCAAGTACAAACTAAAAAAACTTAACTCCCAGGTACAAACTAAAAAAACTTAACCCTCAGGTACACAAAGTGAGATTATTTTTTCCAGCCAGCATTACTTTCTTTCTTCTTCTCTCTACTATCTTTACAACTTTTGCTTTCAATAAAAAATGAAAGCAAATATTCTGTCAATGTTGTCCACTGTGAGTGTGATGTGTTCCAGTTGAAGACACTTGAGGGCGAGGTCAGGATGAAATCTAGACAGAATGTGGAGCTCCAGTACCAAGTTGATGACCTCAAACTTCAGGTAAGGAAAGCTGGACCAGAAACATGGACACATCCATGGTTCACTGATCACAAACCTCAGCTAAAGCTGGACCAGAAACATGCACACATCCATGGTTCACTGATCACAAACCTCAGCTAAAGCTGGACCAGAAACATGCACACATCCATGGTTCACTGATCACAATCCTCAGTTAAAGCTGGACCAGAAACATGGACACATCCATGGTTCACTGATCACAATCCTCAGCTAAAGCTGGACCAGAAACATGGACACATCCATGGTTAACTGACCACAATCCTCAGCTAAAGCTGGACCAGAAACATGGACACATCCATGGTTCACTGATCACAATTCTCAGCTAAAGCTGGACCAGAAACATGGACACATCCATGGTTCACTGATCACAATCCTCAGCTAAAGCTGGAGCAGAAACATGGACACATCCATGGTTCACTGATCACAATCCTCAGCTAAAGCTGGAGCAGAAACATGGACACATCCATGGTTCACTGATCACAATCCTCAGCTTTAGACTTTAGAAAAGTTTGAAGTCCTCCAATAGCTTTTGTTTTATCTGTCTTGACCATTCTAGTTTAATCATTTCAGCTTCAAAGTGAGCAAAGAAAGGCAGCCTTAGCAGCGCAGCAACCTTTGAGCTACCACCCACCCACATCCACCTACCACGGGCCCAGCACCCACCTGTTCTACACCAGTGGTGGGGAGAGATACAACTCCGAACCTTCACAGATCAGTCGAAGTAAAAAAATTTAATTAGTCATTAATGAATCTTACCACTCTGAACTATCACAGATAAGTCAAAGTAAAAATTTAACTAGCCTCTGATAAATCTGAGCTAAAAATAATTCTCTACTTGCTAATAAATTTTCCCTTCCTTCAACTCCCTGAACAAATGCCTGTCTCTTCTCCTGCAGCCGTGCGACCCACTTCACCCTCTACAAGCAGACCCGTGGTGCCAGCGCGCCAGTTGTCCCCTGAACACCTGGCGGGGGCGTGGAAGTGTAAGGACTGCACCTACATCAACTACCCCAACAGGACGGTCTGTGATATCTGTGGATACATCAATGCTGGCAGTAAGTTTTGAGTTTTGTGGATACATCAATGCTGGCAGTAAGTTTTGAGTTTTGTGGATACATCAATGCTGGCAGTAAGTCTTGAGTTTTGTGGATACATCAATGCTGGCAGTAAGTTTTGTGGATACATCAATGCTGGCAGTAAGTTTTGTGGATACATCAATGCTGGCAGTAAGTCTTGAGTTTTGTGGATACATCAATGCTGGCAGTAAGTTTTGTGGATACATCAATGCTGGCAGTAAGTGTTGTGTTTTGTGGATACATCAATGCTGGCAGTAAGTTTTGTGGATACATCAATGCTGGCAGTAAGTTTTGTGGATACATCAATGCTGGCAGTAAGTTTTGTAGATACATCAATGCTGGCAGTAAGTGTTGAGTTTTGTGGATACATCAATGCTGGCAGTAAGTTTTGTGGATACATCAATGCTGGCAGTAAGTCTTGAGTTTTGTGGATACATCAATGCTGGCAGTAAGTTTTGTGGATACATCAATGCTGGCAGTAAGTGTTGTGTTTTGTGGATACATCAATGCTGGCAGTAAGTTTTGTGGATACATCAATGCTGGCAGTAAGTGTTGTGTTTTGTGGATACATCAATGCTGGCAGTAAGTTTTGTAGATACATCAATGCTGGCAGTAAGTGTTGAGTTTTGTGGATACATCAATGCTGGCAGTAAGTTTTGTGGATACATCAATGCTGGCAGTAAGTCTTGAGTTGTAAGGACTTGATCCAAAAACCCAAGTTGGAACTGACAAAATGGACAATTCTATTTTGTACCACTTTAGCACTTGTACCACTAGTACACTTGGCCAAGATTAGGCTTGTTGTTTCACAAATGTTTTGTTTCTCTTATAGTCAAAGATTGTTTTTGTTGTAAATTATTTAGTGTCTTATTTATCTGAAAAAAGCTGTTTATGTAAATTTTAAAACTAATTTGCCTATGGAACTATTTCAGATGGTGAATTGGCTTCAAATTTTGAAACTGGTGGACAGGTCTGTTCAACTCATGTTTTCTATGTTCATAGCCTGTTCAACGCATGTATTCTGTATACATAGTCTGTTTAACTCATGATTTCTATGTTCATTTACTCTAAGCATTCTTGTTTTGATTGTGTATGTATTCACACCTAGCATATAGTCTCTGTATGTCAGTTAAGTTTGTGTGTACATTTGACCAAACCATACAAGCTGTGAATAACCTGAAGTTTAAAATGTTTTACCTTCAGGAGCTACACTCCAGGGGAGACAGGCTGCACGCTGGGTTTGATGTGGAAGATGTCGTCGCTGACTGTGGTGAACCCAACACACCACTGGAGAAATAAAAAAAACTGATGGTCTCATCTGATGTCATCTGTCTGATGGTCTCATCTGATGTCATGTCATATGTCAAATGGTCTCATCTGATGTCTCATCATCTGTCTGATGGTCTTATCTGATGTCATGTCATCTCTGTATGCTAAAACATGCAGCTCTAGGTGACATGTGACATGCAGCTCTAGGTGACATGTGACATTCAGCTGTAGCTGACATGTGACATGCAGCCAATGAAAGCGTTGAGCAGCATCAGTAAACAAGATTTTCTCTACTGACCTTCTGTTAGGAAATTTTTTTAATCAGCCCAATAATTAGACAAAAACTGTATGGAGAAAATAGTTGTACAACTGCTCCACTGGGTGGAAAACATAGTTGTACAACTGCTACACAATGAAGAAAATAGTTGTACAACTGCTCCACTGGATGGAGAAAATAGTTGTACAACTGTTGCATTGGATGTGGCCACCATGATTGAAAACAATCCAGATCTCTGCTTGATTGTGCTTGTACCAATGGCTGTGAACTAGACACCATTTATTGTATTGACTCTGCCAGCTAGGATATGTGTCAGCCATAAGTGCATCATTCTTTAAAAACTTATTCTTAATGTACCCGGAAATAATTCATTGGGAATTTACTATAAGGATACAAACATTTGGCTGAATAAAATTTCCTCGCCAAGATTTTAAGACAGCAAACATAAATAACAATTGCAACTGTTTTTGGTGATCAACCTATACCCTACAAGTTGGGGACAGAGAAATATTATATCAGACATTGGTATTGTTTTATTTACTGAAAATTGTTAATGATTAACAAAGAAAATTTATCATGAATGACTATCAGCTCCTAATTTTAAAATTAGATATAACTTTCACAAGAAAATTTTAAAATGTTAACTATACCATTTGGAGCATCAGATTATTTAAATATTTGATTGTTTGATTTTTTTTTCTGATTTTTAAAAAAAAAGTTAACATATGATTGTGGTCTATTGTTAAAAAAAAAACTTTACTAGAAAAAATGAGTTATAAAAAGTGTGTATGCATTTGTTTTGAATAGAAAGTAGGTAAGGTATAAAAAAATAGGTATTTGTTTGAAACTGAAAGAGCTTATCACTAACAATTACTCAGGTTAAATTTTTTACTTTCTATACACATTTTTAGAAATTTGAAACTTTTATGCTTGTGATAACATTTTAGTCTATTTTATTTTGCTACACTTTAATTATTGTATTTATTTCAAAACAAAAAGCACTTTGTGTGTGTTGTTTTGCCTCATATATCAAGATTCTGTGTAACTGAAAGTTTGGCAGCTTGGTGTAATTTTTGTGATTTATTTCGTTTGTTTTTCCTGTTCCAGTTTTGTTTGTTGTTTGTAGTTTGTGTTTTAACATGCTCCATAGGAACAGCTGACTGGACATTTTCTCCCTAAAGACTGTATAAACAGGCATGGATTTCTTAACTTTTTATGTCAGATCAATTCTAAATTGCACTAATTTATTTTTTTTATCTAATGATTACTACTTAAAAAATTGAAACAATTTTACAATAAGTCTAATATTTACAATTTTTCATATAAAAAGAAAAGATTTAAGATTTATGGCCATAAATGGAGAGTGATTTCAACTTATCTGTTTCTATGGGTATGCATCTTCCCATTGAGGAGTGGGAACACTTAAGAGCTGAACGGGCTCAGAGACATTGGGTTTTTAAAGTACTGGCATGGGAAGTATTTGAACCGTGATCCTCAAGGCTAGAGACCAAAACAGCAGGATTCAGCTGTTCCTAATGATTGGTTATAATGGCACCAACAAAACTTGACAGCAGGATTCATCTGTCCGCAATGGTTGGTTATACTGGCACCAACAAAACTAGACAGCAGGATTCAGCTGTCTGCAATGGTTGGTTATACTGCCACCAACATGTTGGCTCAACAGCTTCTCTACAAAACATTTGATCAACAAACCAGGCAAATTTTAAATTAACATTTGATCAACAAACCAGGCCAATTTTAAATTAACATTTGATCAACAAACCAGGCAAATTTTAAATTAACATTTGATCAACAAACCAGGCAAATTTTAAATTAACATTTGATCAACAAACCAGGCAAATTTTAAATTAACATTTGATCAACAAACCAGGCAAATTTTAAATTAACATTTGATCAACAAACCAGGCAAATTTTAAATTAACATTTGATCAACAAACCAGGCAAATTTTAAATTAACATTTGATCAACAAACCAGGCAAATTTTAAAATGTCAACATGAATTGTGCTCTGAGATGTGCTTATAAAATAAGTTTTGATACCTTCAGCTGTGCTGGGTTGTTCCATGTTTGACTTTACCTCCAGCTTTGTTGGGCTGTTCCATGTTTGACTTTACCCCCAGCTTTGTTGGGCTGTTCCATGTTTGACTTTACCTCCAGCTTTGTTGGGCTGTTCCATGTTTGTACCTCCAGCTTTGTTGGGCTGTTCCATGTTTGACTTTACCTCCAGCTTTGTTGGGCTGTTCCATGTTTGTACCTCCAGCTTTGTTGGGCTGTTCCATGTTTGACTTTACCTCCAGCTTTGTTGGGCTGTTCCATGTTTGTACCTCCAGCTTTGTTGGGCTGTTCCATGTTTGACTTTACCCCCAGCTTTGTTGGGCTGTTCCATGTTTGACTTTACCCCCAGCTTCGTTGGGCTGTTCCATGTTTGACTTTACCCCCAGCTTTGTTGGGCTGTTCCATGTTTGACTTTACCCCCAGCTTCGTTGGGCTGTTCCATGTTTGACTTTACCCCCAGCTTCGTTGGGCTGTTCCATGTTTGCCTAAAACTATTTTGTACATAGACTTGACATACTTGTTACTTGTTGTTGGTTGAGCTGATAAAGCAAGGCTAGTGACAAGTTGGTCCATGTTAGAGGGAACACCTCCTCACCTGGATACATGGTGTCATCTGTCTGACATGGCAGTCCATGTCACATAGCAGTCCAATGACTTGCATGTCAGTCTAGTGGCAGTGTGACATCAGTGCCATGCCACTATCTGGAAGCTTATGCTTTACACCAGAAATTATGACATACTTTACACTTCATAGTGTATAATTTGTCATTTGCTGGTATTTATATAAACCTGATTATTTTGAAAGTGCTCACTTTAAAATTTGTCGAGTTCTTCAGCAATACTCTTGTAGTTTTATTTATGTTTATAAAGCTACAAATCTTGCAGTACGTTGGCAGTGTTGTCCAACATAGTTGAAAGGTGAGCACACATGCGTGCAAGAAAAGTCAAACAATTTGTTTCAAACAATTTTTTATAGCCTCATCTCAGTCAATTGACACAGTCAACTTGACACATGTACAAATGTATGAATTTGTTTAGAAACTTGTTCAGCACATATTTTGTTGGCAGTATAAGCAATTTTTTTTAAACACCCAAAGCTGCAATTTAAATTAAATCTTTAATTAATAAAAATATTTCTAAACATAACTGAAGTCTGTTAAGACTGTTATCACTTTGGTTATTTTTCTAAAAGTTGGAAGCTCTTGTATGCAGCTGGTTTTGGAAACGTTAAACAAAAATTATTTTTCACCCTTCTGAATTCTATTTAAACACTAAAACAACCAAAACTGAACATTCAGAAAAATTTTAAATTTGCAATTTATTTTTCTTTATATTTTTTTCAGAGAACTCTTGGTATGGGTAACTTTAGTTTTGAAATTTCCATGATATATTTTTAAATATTGTAGACATCATGACAGTAATGTATTATTTTAAAATTAGTGCACTCCAAAAACTATTTGTTAATAACAGAGTAATGTATTACCTCCCCTAGCTAAATTAGATTTGGACCAATGTTTTGATATGACTTGTTTGTTGTGATTTCACAAACATTTCAAACTATTTTTAATGATGACATATGGCAATACAAAATCACCTTTAATTTATAAAATATGAAATAACCTTTTGTCATGTTAGAAATATAAGAAATACGCCGTTTGTTTTAAAAAAGAAAATCTAAGAAAAAAATTGGGAACTTGACCAAAAACTTGGTCAGAAAAACAAAGAAATAAAAACAGGCAGTTTGACTGGAGATAAAAGATTCCCTCCTGTTCAAACTGTTCTCAGCCTGTTTTATTTCTTTGGTTTTAGGATCAAGTCTTTATATAGTTCATATGTTTTAATTATGTCTTTTAAATATGTTTTTACCTGTTAATTCTTTCCCTTTTTGTTACACCTAAGTTTCCATTTTTGTGTTTTTACAGTTTTCTAGTTTGCCTTTTTTGCCTACAAATTTTTCTCTCAAATTTTTCCCATCCAATAATTTATGTCAACACAACAAAGGTCAGATCTGTTTAAAAGATTCCATCTAAAACATTGTTTACATTCTGTATAATAAAAACCCAAGAGCTGGTATATTTGGATGAAACAAATCACAAAATTGTACAGTTGAGAGGACATTTGATTGTTGAGCTGTAAATAAACCAACAACAGCACCATTCTAGGTGAATTAACCAACAACAGCACTTATAAACATTCTAGATGAATTAACCAACTACAGCACTTATAAACATTCTAGTTGTATTAACCAACTACAGCACTTATAAACATTCTAGCTGTATTAACCAACAACAGTACTCATTCCGAAATATTTGTTTCCACCCTGAATGATGTCACAACCAGGCGGTGGTTGTGAAGGTGGTTGCAGAACAACCACCTGGACAACCATTTCACCATTTTTCTTTCAGAAGACCCAGAACGAGTCTTTTTGACCAGGAAAATGGTTAATGGTTGAGATGGTTGCTGTGAGACAACCACCCTCACATCACCAACCCCTGACCTTACTTTGACATGACAGTAAAAATTGTGCAGAAAAAATATTTTTAGAAGCAAGTGTTGGGCTGTATAATGAGTATGTTCACAAAAGCAAACAGCACAGATCAGTTAATTGTTGGATACACCAACTAGTAGTCCTACCATTGGTTCTGTTACTGTAAACTTCTAGTTGGCCTACCATTGGATCTGTTACTGTAAACTTCTAGTTGGCCTACCATTGGATCTGTTACTGTAAACTTATTCAATTTCACCCCATATAAATGATGGAATCCTCAAACTGTTCCGCCACTTACTAAACTAGTAGAATAAAATCTTCAACAAAAATTTGTTTTATTGCTGTGTGTTGAGGCACTACTTTTGACTTGCTTCTTTTTGTTTGTTTTTATCTTACTAATCCAATCCTTCATATTGCAACTTCAATGTTTAACTATTAACCCTTTATGTACAATATGTTTACAAATTAACTTTTTAGTTACAGAATTTACCATTGTTTTATATTTATTATTGTTATGTTTAATTTAATAAAAAAATATTTTCCAAACAAAAAAAACCCCACAATAACAATTTAAATAAATAAATTATGTATTATTTTTAAAAATTTTTTCTTCTCTGTACATTTACAATGCTTTTTTAGTAAAAAGAAAAAAAAACATGTAATTTTTTGTTATTATTTAGGTGTGTATTTTAAATTAAATTTTGATTATTTTATTGATATTTTGTTTGTTTTATCTAAACATTTATTGTGGGAGAACAAAAACGGTACAATCTTGTATTGTTTGTGTAAACAGAAACATTGCACCAGATCGTATTTTATATATCAATACAGATATTGAAACATGATTTAAAAAAAAAAAAACACAATGTGTACTGAAAACGTATCAATTATGGGATATTACACCTTTGACTAGGAGCTATTAATTATTTTTCAACAGCTCGTTTATTATAAAATTTTTATTTTTTTGGTGTATTGCACATCTGCTTGCTCTTTATATTATCATTACCTCCCCTTTATAACGTATAATATATTATCTAGGTACAAGCCTTTTAAAAATGTCATATATCGACCAATTAAACAAGTTTTTAAAAAAAATTTTAAGTGTTTTAGTATACGCGGAAACTGGGAATATTGATCTGATATTTCACACAGATCAGACACTACTTAATACAGACAACTAATAAACTCTTTGATTCAGTGGTGACCTGAACATTGACTGTAACCGGATGTTGTAACATCCCATTTAATGAAAACTCTAATCCTTCAGTCGTAGTCACTAATTATCCAGGTTTTTTTTTCTACGTTTAAATCATTTTCAAACAGGAGAAACTAATGTTCCAACTCAAAAAATTTCTATTACGTTACATGTGTAATACATAAACTTGATGTTTAATTTTTTTCTTATAAGTTATTCTTTGCTTTTAATTAATGAATAAACTTTTAACTCCAAATATTGTGTTTGTGTTGTCATGGTAACTTTTAACTGCAAATGTTGTGTTTGTGATGTATGGAAGCAGGTTCTCACATAATCAGGACTAGACAGATAAATCCCTACCTGCGTTGACACCTGTATGTGTCAGATGATAAATCACGTGATATCTGACACTGAAAGGTGCATGAACCAACGCCCATCCATCTTCCCCCCTCCCAATCCCAACCTGACAATTAAGACTTACGCAACACCTGACATGTTACCCCAACACCTAACATGTTACCCCAAATATGTTACCCCAACACCTGACATGTTACCCCAAATATGTTACCCCAACACCTGACATGTTACCCCAACACCTAACATGTTACCCCAACACATGTTACCCCAACACATGTTAACTCAACACCTGAAATGTTACCCCAACACCTAACATGTTACCCCAACACATGTTACCCCAACACATGTTACCCCAACACATGTTACCCCAACACCTGACATGTTACCCCAACACATGTTACCCCAACACTTGACATGTTACCCCAACACCTGACATGTTACCCCAACACATGTTACCCCAACACATGTTACCCCAACACCTAACATGTTACCCCAACACCTGACATGTTACCCCAACACCTAACATGTTACCCCAACACCTGACATGTTACCCCAACACCTAACATGTTACCCCAACACCTAACATATTACCCAACACCTAACATGTTACCCCACCTGCCATGTTACCCCAACACCTAACATGTTACCCCAACACATGCTACCCCAACACCTAACATGTTACCCCAACACCTAACATGTTACCCCAACACATGTTACCCCAACACCTAACATGTTACCCCCAACACCTAACATGTTACCCCAACACCTAACATATTACCCAACACCTAACATGTTACCCCACCTGCCATGTTACCCCAACACCTAACATGTTACCCCAACACATGCTACCCCAACACCTAACATGTTACCCCACCTGCCATGTTACCCCAACACCTAACATGTTACCCCAACACATGTTAACTCAACACCTGACATGTTACCCCAAATATGTTACCCTAACACCTGATATGTTACCCCAACACCTGACATGTTACGCTAACACATGTTACCTCAACACCTGAAAACACATTCATCTCGATTTTTTTTTCGTGTCACCCTTCAGCTACAGACGACAATATGTTATATTTGGGTGCCGCCCCCATCCAGGGTATGGCCTGTGTCTAATGTGTGCAAATTTAAGCATAATACTTTTTTTTTCTGCAAAAGGCAAACTTTAACATCAAAATAAGCTACGTTTATTGGCCCGAACCCCCTCCCACCCGCCCCCCCCCCCACACACACACACCAAGAGAGGTGAAAGGTATGAGAAAATGCGGCAGTTCTGGTTGGGATTTGTTTTTACACCTTTAATAACTTTACAAAATTCAAACACAAAATTGTTCAGGTAGATAATTTATTTCATTAAAAAAAATAATACACATTATTTACAATATAACAGAAAATCACGACTTGAAATGTAATAAACATTTTTTTCAAATATTAACAGTGAATATAAGTGAATAAGCTAAATACAATTACCAAGAGAGTTTCAAATTTGTAATTCAAGTATGTAATATTGGAGGTGTCCAGATTTTTATGCCAAAAGAAACCAAGTGACCAAGTGACCAAGTGACCAAGTGACCAATATTCTAATTACTCTGCTTCAAAAACACGAAGTGCCTAACCATTAGTTATGAACAACTAAATCTAGGTCATATCAATGGTCCACAATAATGTGGTCGTGCATTAGCAGGTCATATTAATTTATTTTTTGTTCCAAAATAATTTGGTCGCGTATCGTCTGGACGACGCAGTATTCTCGCAACAACAGAACCAGACGCGGTCATCTGGCTGGAAAGTTACTGACTGTTGGATTCACATTTTTATTAACATTTTAATCAACATTTTATTAACATTTTATCACATACATTATTTACAATTAGCTGGCGATTTAAAATATTGTCGAGGTACGGTATTTGTGGAATCGATTCGACGTCTGGTAATCGATTCGAGTGGTATCGCTTGTAGATATTGTTTATCACGATTTTAATATTTTCAAACTAATTTCAAATTATGGATCTAGTTTCTAAGTCTGTCTTTTATTTTAGATTGTGATCGATTATTTCTTGTACTCGATTTGATTACCAACTATCTACCTCAGAAATGCACATTTTCATAACGTCAGTATAAAGTTGTCGTAATTCATAAACAGAAAAAGTAATAATCGTTTCACCAAATATAATGTCAGAACTAATTTGATTTAACAGGATTTATCATTTGAAAAACAAACAACAATTTAAAAAACAAACTGTTGATGTTAACATTTAAAATTGGATGAGCATTAGTGTCTATTGATGACGTAGTATCGTTAATGAAACGATACTTCAGTGCGAATATGACTGTGGATACAGTCGTAAGTTTTAATCGTAAAATAATTATTTCGATTTTTTACTTTAGGTACTGGGACGGAATATTAAGCAATTCATAATTAATTAATTAATTAATTAATTATGCGAGACAACACAGGCACAGTTGCATAGATTATCATCTTTAGTTAGTTGCCTTTTAAAATATCATTAATTTTATTCGATCGAAGATTCCAGTTTTTAAAAAATGTCTAAAGTTGGCCAAACTTTACCTGCAGCCACATTCCTCGGCTATCATGTCTTCATGGTGCCTGACCACGATCTCGTTATACTCAAAGTACATCATGCTGAGCGGACTCAGCTTGGTCGGTACACAGCACGGTACGGGCGCTATGTTGGGCTTCTTCATGCGCATCAGCGCCTGCAGCATGGCGTGGTTCGTCGACTTGTGTTTGGGGTCCACGGGAGACGGACAAGTCCCGAAACAAAATCGGGCGTTAAATTTTTTGGGGTGAATTATCCACTGACCCCACCCTATGGTGTTGAAGTCGACGTCAAAGTTATGTAACTGGCAGTTTTCTTTTTTCCCTGGACGCGACCAGCGCCTGCGCGGTGAACTTTGACCTGCTAGCGGTGTAGCGGGAGATTTGGTCGCCGATCTTTTTTTCCTCGCTTTGGTGGAAAAATGCGCAGATAAATTGTCTTTTCTACCATCTTTCTCCGTGAAGCTGGAGTACATATGTGCGAGAAACTCGCTGTCCTCCAGATACAGAACGATGATGGCACGGTCCGGGCCCGCATTGAGCGACATCAACCTCTCAAGTCGGCTGCTCACCCGAAAGCTGAGGCTGATGTTCCCGTGCTGGCTACTCACCCACGGGTGAACGAGTCGAGTCACGTCCAAAATGTCGTACTGACTCTGTCTAACGCAGCGCTCCCGGACCACGACTTTCTGCAGCAGCTTGCCGTTCTGTCTGACGCTGACGCGGAGCTTCATCTCGCGCGGCCTGACGCTGGTTTGGTCGTGCCTGACGCTGGTTTGGTCGTGCCTGAAGAAGCGAATCTCCGCCGTCCTGAGCTTCTCTTGTAACGGCAGGGAGGGGATCTGGAACTCTGCCACGGGCTTGCCTTTCTTCTTGGTCCAGGAATCTGAGTGGTCAAAACAGTTTTCATTAGGTCAGTCCAAACCTTGTTATAGAATAGTTTTCATTAGGTCAGTCCAAACCTTGTTATAGAATAGTTTTCATTAGGTCAGTCCAAACCTTGTTATAGAATAGTTTTAATTAGGTCAGTCCAAACGTTGTTATAGAATAGTTTTAATTAGGTCAGTCCAAACTTTGTTATAGAATAGTTTTAATTAGGTCAGTCCAAACCTTGTTACTAGAATAGTTTTCATTAGGTCAGTCCAAACCTTGTTACTAGAATAGTTTTCATTAGGTCAGTCCAAACGTTGTTACTAGAATAGTTTTCATTAGGTCAGTCCAAACTTTGTTACTAGAATAGTTTTCATTAGGTCAGTCCAAACGTTGTTACTAGAATAGTTTTCATTAGGTCAGTCCAAACCTTGTTATAGAATAGTTTTTTTTAAGCGGGAATTTTATCTGGATCTTTTAAAACTTTCTGTAACCGTTAGAGTGGACCCCTCCCCCCCCCCCCACACACCCGGGTCCCAGCTTCCCACACATACGGGTCCCAGCTTCCCACACATACGGGTCCCAGCCTCCCACACATACGGGTCCCAGCGTCTAATGGACCGGCCAGTGTAAACGGTGCTCACTTTTTAAATTGGATGCACATTCAATGTAAATTGTAGGCTTTTTAAAGCTGAAATAACAAGTTAGCTTGATGAATCAGTCTCTCTCTTTTTACTCTCTCGATTACAGAGTAGAGAGAAAGTTTTGTAATCGTGTAGAGAAAGTATTGTAATCGTGTAGAGAAAGTTTTGTAATCGTGTAGAGAAAGTATTGTAATCGTCTAGAGAAAGTATTGTAATCGTGTAGAGAAAGTATTGTAATATGGAAGAAGAAGTATTGTAATCGTGTACACAAATTGAATGAGATTTTGACATTTTCGACGTTAACGCCACCCCACTTTATCGTGTACGGAATATAAAAGATGTATTGTAATCGCGCGACCGTCTCAAGTGTGATTTTTTGACAAAGTTTGACGTTTTAGAACATTCCGGGACAAGAAAAAAAATACTTTTTTTTCCAATCCTGCCCGTCAGTGTGTGTATATGTCTGTGTGATATGTCTGTGTGTATATCTGTATGTATATCTGTGTGTGTGTGTATATGTCTGTGTGTATATTTGTGTGTATATGTCTGTATGTATATGTCTGTGTGTATATGTCTGTATGTATATGAATGTGTGTATATGTCTGTATATGTCTGTGTGTATATCTGTGTGTGTATATGTCTGTGTGTATATGTCTGTGTGTATGTGTCTGTGTATATATGTCTGTGTGTATTTGTCTGTGTATATGTGTCTGTGTGTATGTATGTGTGTGTATATGTCTGTGTGTATATCTGTGTATGTATATCTGTGTGTGTATGTCTGTGTGTATATGTCTGTGTGTGTATATGTCTGTATATGTCTGTGTGTGTATATCTGTGTGTATGTGTCTGTGCGTATATGTCTGTGTGTATGTATGTCTGTGTGTATATGTCTGTGTGTATATGAATGTGTGTGTATTTATATGTGTATATGTCTGTGTGTATTTGTCTGTGTGTATGTATGTGTGTGTGTATATGTCTGTGTGTATATCTGTGTATGTATATCTGTGTGTGTATGTCTGTGTGTATGTCTGGGTGTATGTCTGTTTTGTGTATGTCTGTGTGTGTATGTCTGTTTGTCTATGTCTGTGTGTATATGTCTGTGTATATGTCTGTGTGTATGTATGTGTTTGTATGTATGTGTATATATGTCTGTGTGTATGTCTGTGTGTATGTCTGTTTGTGTATGTCTGTGTGTATGTCTGTGTGTGTGTGTGTATATATGCGAAGGTTTCTATCGATGTTTGAAAGATTTCTGTTAAACACAAACACCAGTTGTCCCAAACACCAAACACTATTTGCCCCAAACACAAATTGCCCCAAACACCAAACACCATTTTCCCCAAACACCAAACTCTCAAGACAACGACTGTGCCAGGTTTTCACCTATTAATGTTGGAGAAATTTGATGAAGAGCGGGTTTTGTCCGCGGGATTAGCGCAGGAATTTTATACTGTTGACCGAGGATTAGTTGAACACTCCAGATTTTTTCCCGGTCAATCTTTTATATGGAAACCACATTACGCTAAAAATAGCTTCGGGAATTCGCAGTCATTTAGCTGAGCTCAACTGATACATCGCCTGTTGTATTTCACAACTGCTGGGCCACTAGCGCATTAAATCTCGCACTAATCCACGATAAGGGTAGCCGGCGATGGTGGGGAAGTTAGATGGGCTTTTAACTACGGGTATCTTCTCACCGAACACCGCATGTGTGTTGGGATATTCCCGGTCTGTGTTCTCTGGCGGCCCAGATAAGGGGGATAATTCTCCTTTTGTTGACGTTCTAATGAGATTTCACAGCTCACCGTGAGACTTGGGCATAAAATAAATGTTATGATAAATATGTATTTGGCTCTGCTCAGTGCAAAGATCGAGATAAAACATGATTTAGGAATACAAAATCGTTAGAACAAGATCGATTTACTGGTGAATCAATCATTTTTAAAATGTGGTGTTCATTGAGTTGTATTAAGTATTTGGCATTGAATAATTTTTAATAGTAACATTTTAGCAATTTTTAATTTTATTTTATTCAGCTTTTTGTTACACGTCTGTTAGGGATGACGTCATGTGTTTAAGACGAAGCCTGTCGGGGGAGGGTGTGTGAGTGTGGGTGTGAGGGTGTGAAAAACATGACGTCATGTTTTTTTCTCTGAATGTGTTAAACTGGTCGAGCAACAGACGAAAATAGAATCCGGATGTCTGGTTGTCTGTGTCTAGTGTATTGGATTGTCCCCGGTCTCAGCATTGTTGATACGAAACCTGTTTTTGTCGGTCTTTAATGTGACCTTTTTAGACGCATTACAGTGTACTCATTAAAGCTTGAAAAATCGGAAATTTAATAGTTTATATATGTCCATTAAAAATCAGAAATTTGATAGTTTAGAAATGTCCATTAAAAATTATTTATTTCGTACGGAGCTTGAGGATGTCATGAAGGGGCAGTGTCACTAGTGTGGTCAGAATTGTCCCCAGCCGCCTTTACTTTCCCTAACGTGGGTTAGGTACCCGTCAGAGCTGGGTGGACTCATGGACATTCTACTGACTTGAACTCGGATTCGAACTTAATATTTTCGGATTTTCGGAGTTAGCAGTGTAGCGCTCTACCGCTATGTCACGCCGTTCCTTAATTATTTTATTTACTAGTTTAAAATTTGTTAGCAGCCAATTATTCTGTCATTGTCTGGGCCTTATGTTTTCAAGTATTGCTCAATTACTCGGTACTTTAGTTACTCGGTAGTTTAGTTACTCAGTACTTTAGTTACTCGGTACTTCAGTTACTCGGTAGTTTAATTACTCGGTACTTCAGTTACTCGGTACTTCAGTAACTCGGTACTTCAGTAACTCGGTACTTCAGTAACTCGGTACTTCAGTAACTCGGTACTTTATTTACTCGGTACTTTAGTTACTCGGTACTTCAGTAACTCGGTACTTTAGTTACTCGATACTTCAGTAACTCGGTACTTCAGTAACTCGGTACTTCAGTAACTCGGTACTTTATTTACTCGGTACTTTAGTTACTCGGTACTTCAGTAACTCGGTACTTCAGTAACTCGGTACTTTATTTACTCGGTACTTCAGTTACTCGGTACTTCAGTAACTCGGTACTTTAGTTACTCGGTACATCAGTTACTCGGTACTTTCGTTACTCGGTACTTTAGTTACTCGGTACATCAGTTACTCGGTACTTTCGTTATTCGGTACTTTCGTTACTCGGTACTTTAGTTACTCGGTACTTTAGTTACTCGGTACCTCTTGTACTCGCACGGCTATCAGCACTCAGCTTTTGAATTCGGCAGACGTCAAATTGATGACGGCAGACGTCAAATTGATGACGGCAGACGTCAAATTGATGACGGCAGACGTCAAATTGATGACGGCAGACGTCAAATTGATGACGGCAGACGTCAAATTGATGACGGCAGACGTCAAATTGATGACGGCAGACGTCAAATTGATGACGGCAGACGTCAAATTGATGACGGCAGACGTCAAATTGATGACGGCAGACGTCAAATAGATACCAGACGTGTATTTAAAATGAGATGACCTAATGAAATGTGGCAGCGTGCTAGATGTACTCACGTTTGCCGGAAAAACACCGAATCGTGTCGGTGACGGGGGTCTCCGACTGGCTGAGAAATAATTTCCGTTTGGACTGAAGTTCCTTGAAGAGGGTTAGCATGAACTGGGTGGAGGGCTTGTTGTAGTCATGCTTGCTGCGGCCGTTACGGTAGAAGTGGAACATCACCTGTTGGTAGAGTTAGGTCTTAGGTCAGGTAAGGGGATACTTGAAGGGGTTACGGTAGAAGTGGAACATCACCTGTTGGTAGAGTTAGGTCTTAGGTCAGGTGAGGGGATACTTGAAACAGGTACATGATGGGCTGACCTAATGATGGGATGACCTAATGGGCTGACCTAATGATGGGCTGACCTAATGGGCTGACCTAATGGGCTGACCTAATGGGCTGACCTAATGGGCTGACCTAATGATGGGCTGACCTAATGATGGGCTGACCTAATGGGCTGACCTAATGGGATGACCTAATGATGTGCTGACCTAATGATGTGCTGACCTAATGATGTGCTGACCTAATGGGCTGACCTAATGGTCTGACCTAATGGGCTGACCTAATGATGTGCTGACCTAATGATGGGCTGACCTAATGGGCTGACCTAATGGGATGACCTAATGATGTGCTGACCTAATGATGTGCTGACCTAATGATGGGCTGACCTAATGGGCTGACCTAATGGGCTGACCTAATGGGCTGACCTAATGGGCTGACCTAATGATGTGCTGACCTAATGATGGGCTGACCTAATGGGCTGACCTAATGGGATGACCTAATGATGTGCTGACCTAATGATGTGCTGACCTAATGATGTGCTGACCTAATGGGCTGACCTAATGGTCTGACCTAATGGGCTGACCTAATGATGTGCTGACCTAATGATGGGCTGACCTAATGGGCTGACCTAATGGGATGACCTAATGATGTGCTGACCTAATGATGTGCTGACCTAATGATGGGCTGACCTAATGGGCTGACCTAATGGGCTGACCTAATGGGCTGACCTAATGATGGGCTGACCTAATGATGTGCTGACCTAATGGGCTGACCTAATGGGCTGACCTAATGGGCTGACCTAATGGGCTGACCTAATGGGATGACCTAATGATGTGCTGACCTAATGATGTGCTGACCTAATGATGTGCTGACCTAATGGGCTGACCTAATGGTCTGACCTAATGGGCTGACCTAATGATGTGCTGACCTAATGATGGGCTGACCTAATGGGCTGACCTAATGGGATGACCTAATGATGTGCTGACCTAATGATGTGCTGACCTAATGATGGGCTGACCTAATGGGCTGACCTAATGGGCTGACCTAATGGGCTGACCTAATGATGGGCTGACCTAATGATGTGCTGACCTAATGGGCTGACCTAATGGGCTGACCTAATGGGCTGACCTAATGGTCTGACCTAATGGGATGACCTAATGATGGGATGACCTAATGATGGGCTGACCTAATGGGTTGACCTAATAGGCTGACCTAATGATAGGCTGACCTAATGGCCTGACCTAATGGGCTGACCTAATAGGCTGACCTAATGGGTTGACTAATGATGGACTGACCTAATGTGATGACCTAATGATGGGCTGACCTAATGGGTTGACCTAATAGGCTGACCTTATGATAGGCTGACCTAATGGCCTGACCTAATGGGCTGACCTAATAGGCTGACCTAATGGGTTGACTAATGATGGACTGACCTAATGGGCTGACCTAATGATGGGCTGACCTAATGATGGACTGACCTAATGATGGGCTGACCTAATGATGGGATGACCTAATGGGCTGACCTAATGGGCTGACCTAATGGGTTGACTAATGAGTTGACGGGATGAATTCACATGGTACCCGCCTCAGTATGTCTGGCCATCTAAAAGTATGTTGCAACTAACGGGCCTACATAATAGTACGTTGATCCTAATGTTCGCACCCATAGCCGAGTAATTGCCTGATTAATTAATTAGCAACCAAAACTGGGGCCAGGATTTGAAGCTTAAAACAATAAACAAGTTGCCTGTCCTAGTTAGAAATGTTTCCCTAGCTGTCGGTAGTCAAAAACATCGCTTGCATAAAAAAATTCGGTTCAACTAATCTTTCCTGGCTCAGGATTTTTAAATCGTCTTCAATTTGCGTTTTATAACAGAAAGAGTGAAAGAGATTATGAAGTCAGAATTCCGCCCAAAATATTAATTTTTTACTAAACATTTACGTCCATAAGAAAATGTGATTAAAGGGACATTTTTCTGACGAAAATCCAAAAGATAAATACTTCTTATTTTATCGATATGTTAGTAATTTTAAAATATTTGTTGTCAGTTTTGTAATACGGTATTGATCCTATACTTTAGCAATATATACCTAGCACTGTACAGTTTTTTTTTAAAATAATTCATACAGCGGTTTGGCAGATATAACGAAGTTTCAAGAAATTTTTTGAAACCTAATGTATGACTTATGACTTCATTAATGTATGACTTATGACTTCATTGCCTTACACTTATTTAATGTCATATATCCACAAGTTCTAAAACTGTCGGACTTTAACTTTTGAAACCAATCCAAACGCGAGAAACAAACATGTTCCAATTTGAAACACATGCCGACGTGAACTGCGAGAAAGATAGCCATGTAACGCCTCAGTTTTTCAAATTTAATTGGCTCGCCGTATGAACCAACGCGTGCACAACTGGCGCTAATTTAAACACAATGGCAGTTGATAATTAAAATGAGGTCAGAGTACTTTACTAGCAAGCTAAAGGTCAACAATGCAATAAGGTCACCGAGACCCACTTACCTCATCTTCCTTCACCTCCTCCGGCGGGCTGGACCAGACGACCAGATCTTTCTCTGGCACCGACGACAGGGAGGAGACGGGCGTCAGCACCTGACTGGGGTGGAAGCCCCGGGGTGTCAGCGCCTCCACCCACCCCACCCTGGCACAGAGCAGCATCAGGCAGAGAACTGAGAGGGAGTACAGGCCTGGTGTGACGCCATCATTCGCCTCCATAGCAGTCCCGGCTCTTGACACGACTGGTCTAAATATAGCCGGCCCGAGTCAACTTCCGGTGACGAGTGAAGCCGCGCAGACGACACGAGAGTGCTTGAAGCAGATGATCAACAAAGGCGTCGAACATATCACCGTTTTGAAGTTGTCCATATCACTATCAGCAGGCCGCGTTTCTGCCGCAGATCATTCCGGCTCGAGTATCGCCGGACGATAAAGAAGGCAGACGACACCAGGTTTAAGATAGCCAATCACACCCTGACTTTCTTGCTACACGGTCCTATCTTGTCCTTAAGGACATTTTCTGTGCAACACTTTTAATTAGAATGATAAATTTCAATTCACGATTGCAGCAGGAAACTTGGAATATTTAAATACACACAATCTCTACAGTGTAGGCTAGACACTTAGGTACTCAACAACAGTTAACAGAATGTCGCAGATGCTTCTTGAAACCAAAGCTAAATGATGTCAAATTGACAGTGCAGCTGTATCAGTGTGCATATGACACCCACGCCTGCTACCGTGATATCGTCTGCCACGAAGGTAGACCAACCACCTGACACAAAAAAAAATTCACGTCAAATTATTAACGGCATGAAACATGACACAGTCTCTCCAGGTATTAACAAATGTGACGCCCCTTTCAACTAACAGATTGCTAATCCAGTGGAATATAGATCTGGTCGGCTTAGTGCACTGGTTGATGTAGTGTACTTGGTGTACAACCAACAGCAGACGGCAAATAGCAGACAGCAAATAGCAGACAGCAGACAACAACCAAGACAGTGAATCAGAAGGAGTGTATGAGGGCGAACAACTGACTGTCTTATCTAGGCGAGGAATGGGGGCGGGGTGATCTAAAGACAACAATCATTGTCACGTGACAACAATCATTGTCACGTGACGGTGAGGGTGGGCAGGCCAGGCCGTCAGATTTTGTCAGGTCTAATGACACGTCGGGTGGACGGACCTCGGGACGTTGCGTGGACGGGTGGGGGTGGGGGTGGGCCCGGATCCACCCTGATGAGGGCTACCCCGCCCTAACTGGGACACTGGCGGGCGGGCCGGGTGACGGAGGGGATCGAGTTCTTGACCCAGGGGTTGGGGGGGGGGGGGGAGGTTATGTCAGGTCATTGTTGTATAGTGAAACAATTCGAACGTTGTCATGGGGGGGGGGGGGGGGGGTCATTGAAGAAAAAGTTAGTGAGAAAAGCAAAAGATCAATTGAGAGATAGTAGGCTAGGATAAATAGGAGGATGGATGGATGGATGGATGGATGGATGGATGGATGGATGGATGGATGGATGGATGGATGGATGGATGGATGGATGGATGGATGGATGGATGGATGGATGGATGGATGGATGGATGGATGGATGGATGGATGGATGGATGGATGGATGGATGGATGGATGGATGGATGGATGGATGGATGGATGGATGGATGGATGGATGGATGGATGGATGGATGGATGGATGGATGGATGGATGGATGGATGGATGGATGGATGGATGGATGGATGGATGGATGGATGGATGGATGGATGGATGGATGGATGGATGGATGGATGGATGGATGGATGGATGGATGGATGGATGGATGGATGGATGGATGGATGGATGGATGGATGGATGGATGGATGGATGGATGGATGGATGGATGGATGGATGGATGGATGGATGGATGGATGGATGGATGGATGGATGGATGGATGGATGGATGGATGGATGGATGGATGGATGGATGGATGGATGGATGGATGGATGGATGGATGGATGGATGGATGGATGGATGGATGGATGGATGGATGGATGGATGGATGGATGGATGGATGGATGGATGGATGGATGGATGGATGGATGGATGGATGGATGGATGGATGAGTGGGTGGGTGGTTGGGTGGGTGGGTGGGTGGGTGGGTGGGAGTGAGGGAGGGAGGGAGGGTGCAAGATTCGACCTACACATGAAATGGTGAACCATTGTACGACTAGGCTACCCTTAGCACTAACCAGTTTCTCTAAAATCACGGGATTTAACACAGGTTAGTGCACAACAAGCGTCTGTGTCACCAGGACAAACTCTGTATGTCACCACTAAACAGGACAAAGTCTATGTGTCACCCGAACAAAGTGTATGTATAACAAACATATCATGTACATTGTATGAAGAGCGAATGTGGATGTGGTACTAACCTGCCCAGGTAAAAAGATGGTCCAGTCACCGGAATTCCCTGACTGCTGCCCAACCTTTCACCAGAAATGAGACAGTTGTTGTATTTGTAAGTCGCAGATCTTGCTGTCGTCAGCGTCGTTTCGCCCCCTAGCAGATTAAAGATTAAAAATAACATGATGCAATGGCTGCCATATTAAGTGAAGCATGTCAGAAGACCACACACAATACACTTCCTATTTCAAAAGGCAGCACCCCATCCACACCCCCCCCCCCCAACCCAACACTCGTACACTCCCCCAGTGGCGTCGCTAGGTCGGGTGTCAAGAGGTGCGGCACCTAATGGTGTCACCCACCCCACAACGAAAACAAGTTAATAAAAAGTCTAGTGACAATTTAAGCGCAACTTCCTTAATTAATTTTTTGTGACCGAACGGAAGTATATTTTTGAAAACTTTCTTCGGCAATATTTTTCTAAATTTTGGCAGGAATCGATTGGTAAATGTTTCAAGTCGCTAAGTGGTCTGGTTGCCGAGATATGGGCCATAAACTGCATTTTTTCTATGTATTTTGGCTTTTCCGGGAAATCCAGGAAGGAATTCCGGGAATTTTTTTGGCCCACAATCATCATCGGAACTTGCTTAACAAAATTGCTTTTGGAACTAGTCCTCGATATTGCTTCGGTGAGGAGGACACACATCCATCCAGAACAAATTAATAATCGCAATTGTCAGTATGGAAATTGCGCTAAAAATTATACATATATATTTTGTGCTTATATATATATATATATATATATATATATATATATATATATATATATATATATATATATATATATATATATATATATATGTGTGTGTGTGTGTGTGTGTGTGTGTGTGTGCGCATGTGTATATGTATTTAAGTATATCTTCCTTTTTTATGTATTTAAATTTTTTTGAAGTTACGCACTTTTTGGCTGAACTTCGTGCTTTTTTTTTTAATGTATAGGAAAATAATTAACATAGCGACCAAAATACAAATACTTTTTTTACAACGTTTGAATCCGCTAGAAGCTCTTTACCTCTTATGGGTATACTAAATTTGTAATCAAATTACTATAATTTTACATATTCCATTGCATAATACACAAAATGTAAATATTAAACTGATTTAAGGCGAGAATTGTTTTAGAACCTTTTGGCAACTCTTTTCATGGCTGACGAAAAGCGCCAAAATGTGTCAATGTGACAACTTTTTATTGTCTATTGACATGTAGATTTGTAAATTTCTATGCACTTTCAACCCAATCCACTCTTTACTTTGGTGTCACCCCCTTTACCTCTCCTCAACGCAAACTTTTTTGTCGAATGGCGTCAATCTATATTAATCCACCTAGAACAGTTATAAATGCGAATGGAAAAATCATTGTTGTTGTAGTACATTATTAAATTTGGTGTCACCCTCCCCCACGCCAGAAGTCGATAGACATATCAGTTATTAGAACTCTCTACAAAACCGAAACCTTTTCTTCAGGCAAATGTTACAAAGTTAAGTTGGTGTCACCCCCCCCCCCCCCCCCCCCCCGTGATAGCTTTAAGCTGTGCACAGATAATACAAACGATGATTATCTTTAGTCCGTTATTAATACAGCTGGACGTGGCAGCGTTTTCTCTATCGAAAAAAAAATCGCAGGTTTACGTCATGGTGTCACCCCCACCCCCACCCCACCCCACCCCTCCCCCCCTTCTTGACGGGATATGTCAACATTGCTCTTAAATGACAATTTAACTCTTTTTAATCATTTATTTAACTGGAAAGATAATTTTTTCTACATATATTTTGTTTATTTTTGCCTTGGTGTCACCGCCCTAAATAGTGTCACCCGATGCGGTCCGCACCCCCTCGCGACGCCTCTGCAACCCCCCCCCCCTCACCTAACTACTAAATAGGATTGTGACTTATGAATTCAGTTTAAATTTGAAAAAAAAATCTTAAGTTTCTCTTGAGCATATAAACATCCTGGGTTCAGATACAACTGTACTGTCGTTTTTAATCTTAGAAAATTCGAATTAGAAACATGAGCAAAGATTCCCCCCTCTCCTTCCACCCCCCCCCCCCCCCCCCCCTAGGTCCTATACAATAAGCTGCGTGTTATGTAATCAAGTGGTCTGCTGGTTTGTCCTTCCTATCGGTAGCTGGTCCCATCCCCCCCCCCCCCCCCCCCCCCCCCACCGTACCCCCACAACTGTGAAAACATTTGTGTCATCACAACAGCTGGGGTCGTGAGAAGCGGCAGACAACCCCGTTTACATGTGACCCCACCACCCCGCCCCCACCCCCTCTTACGTCATCAGAGTACCGTCCCTTGTCGCTTCCTTCACAACACTGATCTATGTTTTACACGGGCCGAGTTATCTTCCCCTTGTGAGTTGTCTCCCTGAGTTGTCTCCCTGTAAACAAGAGAGCCAGGGATTACCGCCCTTACAATGGTCAGCGGTGGCCGCAGCGTGTGAAATGGCCAGTGGCCAGATCGCGTGCCCGGTTTGTTTGTGCACAGACGGTCATCGTTTGACCTCAGGTAGCCTCGTCTTGATTGCCGTGACTCGTGAGTTCAAAGGTCAGCGATACGGGAAATACAAAACCTGCTTTACAAAACCTGCTTTACAAAACCTGCTTTACAAAACCTGCTTCACAAAACCTGCTTTACAAAACCTGCTTTACAAAACCTGCTTTACAAAACCTACTTTACAAAACCTGCTTCACAAAACCTGCTTCACAAAACATGCTTCACAAAACCTGCTTCACAAAACCTGCTTTACAAAACCTGCTTTACAAAACCTGCTTTACAAAACCTGCTTTACAAAACCTGCTTTACAAAACCTGCTTCACAAAACCTGCTTTACAAAACCTGCTTTACAAAACCTACTTTACAAAACCTGCTTCACAAAACCTGCTTCACAAAACCTGCTTCACAAAACCTGCTTTACAAAACCTGCTTTACAAAACCTGCTTTACAAAACCTGCTTTACAAAACCTGCTTTACAAAACCTGCTTCACAAAACCTGCTTCACAAAACCTACTTCACAAAACCTGCTTCTTTCCGCCTAGTGGGGTATACATCTGTATCAGCACAATACAATTACTTGTGCTTAATTAGCACAATACAATTACTTGTGCTTAATTAGCACAACACAATTACTTGTGCTTAATTAGCACAATACAATTACTTTTTAATTAACTAGCACAACACAAATAATTTTGTAATTAATTTAGATCAATATCCTATGTGAGCAACCTCCAACTGAACCTAATTCTGGCACCACTCACCCCTTGGCTACTCAAGGTTGGGACAGTATGACGTCACTGAAGCGGAACGGTGCAGGCCGCGCTGTGTGGGATCTCGCCACGCTCCAGTGATTTAATGGCGGCACAAACTGAGGCCCTAATTGCAATCGTGTCCAGCGGTCCGCACGCGCCGTTTATTGACGGACGTCAAGTGGACAGAAGGCGTGACCACTTAGTCACGTGACTCCCTAGTAACCAGGCTGGACAGATCAAGTGTACCGCCTGTTATAAAGGGGTGTTCAAGTTTTAGCTGGATGTTGTATTTGGTTGGATGGTTTGGCCAACAGCACTGGTAAACAACAGCACTGGTCAACAACAGCACTGGTTAACAGCACTGGTCAACAACAGCACTGGTCAACAACAGCACTGGTCAACAACAGCACTGGTCAACAACAGCACTGGTCAACAGCACTGGTCAACAACAGTGCTGGTCAACAACAGCACTGGTCAACTACAGCACTGGTCAACAACAGCACTGGTCAACAACACTGGTCAACAACAGCACTGGTCAACAACAGCACTGGTCAACAGCACTGGTCAACAACAGCACTGGTCAACAGCACTGGTCAACAGCACTGGTCAACAACAACACTGGTCAACAACAGCACTGGTCAACTACAGCAACTGGTCAACAACAGCACTGATCAACAACAGCACTGGTCAACAACAGCACTGGTCAACAACAGCACTGGTCAACAACAGCACTGGTCAACAACAGCACTGGTCAACAACAGCACTAGTCAACAACAGCACTGGTCAACAACAGCACTGGTCAACAACAGCACTGGTCAACAACAACACTTGTCAACAGCACTGGTCAACAATGGACAACAACAGCACTGGTCAACAACAGCACTAGTCAACAACAGCACTGGTCAACAACAGCACTAGTCAACAACAGCACTGGTCAACAACAGCACTAGTCAACAACAGCACTAGTCAACAACAGCACTGGTCAACAACAACACTGGTCAACAGCACTGGTCAACAACAGCACTGGTCAACAACAGCACTGGTCAACAGCACTGGTCAACAACAATGGTCAACAACAGCACTGGTCAACAATGGTCAACAACAGCACTGGTCAACAACAGCACTAGTCAACAACAGCACTGGTCAACAACAGCACTAGTCAACAACAGCACTAGTCAACAACAGCACTGGTCAACAACAACACTGGTCAACAGCACTGGTCAACAACAGCACTGGTCAACAACAGCACTGGTCAACAGCACTGGTCAACAACAATGGTCAACAACAGCACTGGTCAACAATGGTCAACAACAGCACTGGTCAACAACAGCACTAGTCAACAACAGCACTGGTCAACAACAGCACTAATCAACAACAGCACTGGTCAACAACAACACTGGTCAACAGCACTGGTCAACAACAGCACTGGTCAACAACAGCACTGGTCAACAGCATTGGTCAACAACAATGATCAACAACAGCACTGGTCAACAATGGTCAACAACAGCACTGGTCAACAACAGCACTGGTCAACAACAGCACTAGTCAACAACAGCACTGGTCAACAACAGCACTGATCAACAACAGCACTGGTCAACAACACCGGTCAACAACAGCACTGGTCAACCAAAATATCCGTGTTTTACCTACCACATTGCTGTTTAACAATTCATGCTAATAATGCAATTATATTTTTTCCCCAACACCAAAACAAAGTAATAAAAAGAATTCCCCACCCCCCGGAAGTAATGGTTTTTTGAAGGGAAGTAATTGTGTTTTTGTAATTTATCAAGGGAAGTAATTAGTGCTAAAGGACAAAAGTAAGTAATTTTCAGACACAATTAGAATTTTTGTTAAGGGTAATACATTTTTCTTTAATTATGTTTTATGCACATGCTGCAATTAACACTATAAGTTTGAAAAATGAAAGTTGTTTTAGAAAACCTTCAAAATTATTTTTTTTAAATTATTAATTTTGATAATAAGCACTTTAGATATGTTAGACAATGGCAATCAACTTTAGTTTTTTTGTTTTTTTTTTTTTGCTTAATTCAGTTTATTACAACAGGTCCGCCCGTCCTACCGTCCACCCACCACATACTGAATTGAGCTTTATATTGTAGCGATCTGATGTGGCGAAGAAAGTGGGTGAAATATCTTGTGAGGATTGGGTGCAGTTAGAGCAACTGGAGAGATTAGTGGATTAGTGTGTTATAATGGGAGAGATTAGTGTGTCGCAATGGGAAAGATTAATATCCTGCTAACGTCTTTATCCATGCCATACAAAAAACCCCTCTCGTATAAAAGGTAAGATTGTTTATGACAGTTCACGCTGTTGTGAGGTTGGGTAAAGACAGCATTCTTTGTATATTGAAAACACGGGGGGGGGGGGGGGGGGGTGACTGCCTCCTGTGGTATTTTAAACAGAGTCCCGTGGTGGGGCGACACCCGATCCAGCATTGAGAGTGGGGTTGTGTGAGGTAGCTCCTGTCACCCCCCCCCCTCCCCCCCTTGTCATCAACTAGTCTAGGTAACGTATGTTTAGCTTATGTCTAGGTTATGATGTCTATCTAGCTAAGGTCTAGTTACCGTCTATCTAGCTAAGGTCTAGTTAGCGTCTATCTAGCTAGGGTCTAGTTAGCGTCTATCTAGCTAGGGTCTAGTTAGTGTCTATCTAGCTAGGGTCCAGGTAGCGTCTATCTAGCTAGGGTCTAGTTAGTGTCTATCTAGCTAGGGTCTAGGTAGCGTCTGTTTAGCTAAGGTCTAAGTAGCGTCTGTTTAGCTTAGGTCTAGGTAGCGTCTGTTTAGCTAAGGTCTAGGTAGCGTCTGTTTAGCTAAGGTCTAGGTAGCGTCTGTTTAGCTAAGGTCTAGTTAGCGTCTATCTAGCTAGGGTCTAGTTAGCGTCTATCTAGCTAGGGTCTAGTTAGTGTCTATCTAGCTAGGGTCCAGGTTGCGTCTATCTAGCTAGGGTCTAGTTAGTGTCTATCTAGCTAGGGTCTAGGTAGCGTCTATCTAGCTAAGGTCTAGTTAGCGTCTATATTATAGCTATGGTCTAGGTAGCGTCTGTTTAGCTAAGGTCTAGGTAGCGTCTGTTTAGCTAAGGTCTAGGTAGCGTCTGTTTAGCTAAGGTCTAGGTAGCGTCTGTTTAGCTAAGGTCTAGGTAGCGTCTGTTTAGCTAGGGTCTAGGTAGCGTCTATCTAGCTAGGGTCTAAAGTGCGAGTAGATTCAGCCCCTGGGTCAGTGGACCTTCTAACAGACGGGGACGAGCAGATCAGCTGACCCTCCCCGCCCATCTAGCAGACGGGAGCGCCCCAGGGCCGAGACGGGACGATTGCGGCCCGGGCAGGCGATCAGATCGTCTGGTGTATTGTCCAGCGATCAGCCAGCGAGCAGACTCCAGCAGGTTCCACCAGGTCACACATAACGGATGTCAGGACGAGATTTCTGCCGCCTAGGGTGTCACCTCACCCAGCAGAGGTGGCGGAGAGTCACACGTAGGGATGCACGGCCGGCCGGCCAAACTTGGGGGGATTACACTAAAGACCCGACCCCCGGGGCTAGCCAACACAGAGTTCCTGTAGTCCAAACATTTGTCAAACACGAGCAGGTATTGATTGGCCCCACCCAGCCCCACCCAAGGGACTGCGGGACAAATTAGCCAACAGAATACTTGCGTTATGGACGTTCATTTGTCGCCATTTTGGTGACGTTTTCCACAATTTTATGCCGGTCATGCCAATCATGGCAAAGATATTGGTGATAACAATTGTAATTATTTCATGAGGAGTGGGGGGGGGGGGGGTCGCTGTGTTGTATGTGTGTGTGTGTGTGGGGGGGGGGGGGGGGGGGGGGTTAGACTGGTGAGGAAGAAAATATGTTGGTTGTGGAGGTGGTTGGGGAGGTGGTTGGTTGAGAAAAAAGGGGTTGGGGATTAAAGTCATGTCCGTGTAACATTCCTCGAATGAGTGGACTTAGAGAACACGTGACTACATTTTATTCTACAAATTTGAACTCACTTTATGTTGACGTCTATTCTTAAAGCATTTATTGAAATGTTAACTAATCAGGTCGATTTGATTTGTAACATAAATTGAGAGATGTATTCTGATATTTATGAAATTTACAACAGAGATTTGATTTGCCCCTGAGTATCTGTAAAAGCTGTCACCCCCCCCCCCCCCCCCCCGCCCTAAATGCCGTCAGAGTCAGAATAGCCCCAACGAAAACCAAACCTAAAGTCACTGGACTCTCCCCCCCCCCTCCCCCTGTTGTCCATGCACCAACAACCCTCTCTACGCTTGGTCCAACATCCAACATCGCCGCCATCTTATCCAACCATCTTCAATTAAGTTCCATTCTACAGTTTCCATAAGTCATTATCTAAAAAACCATTTCCTCCCAGCGGTCACCGTAAGTTCCCCTTTGTGATCGGGATTTCCCGAATGTTTAAATATATCTCCTAGTCCACCTGCGGACAAAAGAAACGGATTTTCCCCTTCTATGACTCGACACATGGAGCTGCGCTTGTACGGAAACCACTGGATCAAATTTTTTTTTGCCCCGTTTGGAAATTGACCTGGGATGTATCGGTATCTGGATCTGGATGGTGGATCAGGATGGTGGATCTGGATGGGATCTTTAAATCAACATGGAGTCCAGGTCTGGTGGCAGCGGTCGAGCAGGGCAGGCGAGGGGAACAATGAGTCAAATAGTGGGGGGATGATGGCGGGATTTAGGGGCTTTACTGTGGTGGGGACTCGTGAGAAACACAACTGGTGTGAGGTGTGGACCTGGGTTACAACCACACCATAGCCACACCACATCACAACTACATGATACCACAGCCACACCATAGCCACACCACAGCCACACCACAGACACCACATCACAGCTACATCATACCAAGGCAACCATACAACAGCTACACCATACCACAACACACCAGGCCACAGCGACAGCAGCTGTCGCTGTTAGTGGCTAATGACATTCTAAGCTCATGTCAAATGGACACGATCGAGTTCACGATGATCCTTCCACTATTATTGTTAACGTGGGTAAAAATCGTGATTTTTTCATTTTTTTTTTTTTTTTTTTTTTTTTTTTTTTTTTTTTTTTTTTTTTAGATTTTGCCATCAAAGCAGCTGTAAAAAAAAAATCCTTGTCTAAAAATATTTTACAATATATTTAGAATCAATGTTATAATCCAGAGAACTTGAGAGTAATTTTTTTGATGAGTTTAAGGCTACATTTCTATTTATTTTCATCAAGCCAAAGTTAAAACCTAATATTCCACTTTCGTAAGACAAACATTGATTGATGTACAGGAACTCCACTTCATAAAATAAAATCGATATGTTTAAAACCACAAGAAATAGTTCTACCATTTTTGTTTACATTTGTGTTTAAAATGTAAACACATAATTTTTTTTTGTCTTTTTCATTAAAATTGTGTTTATTTACAAAAATAATAAAAACATCAAATACATCCAATCTTGTATTAAATCCACAAAATCAAACATGATTGAGTTGACGAGCTTTTTATAACCATATTTATTTTAATCACACCTTATATGATTTTAAAAATAATAAATGGGCCTTTCGAAAAATTTCGAGACGGTTCTCGGTTGTGTTCATTCTCTTTGAGAATATAGAATCATCAATCCCCCACCTCTCTCTATTATATACCCCACATCTGTATATTATATACCACACATCTGTATATTATATACCCCACCTCTCTCTATTATATACCCCACATCTGTATATTATATACCCCACATCTGTATATTATATACCCCACATCTGTATATTATATACCACAAATCTGTATATTATATACCCCACCTCTCTCTATTATATACCCCACATCTGTATATTATATACCCCACATCTGTATATTATATACCCCACATCTGTATATTATATACCCCACATCTGTATATTATATACCACAAATCTGTATATTATATACCCCACCTCTCTCTATTATATACCCCACATCTGTATATTATATACCCCACATCTGTATATTATATACCCCACATCTGTATATTATATACCCCACATCTGTATATTATATACCCCACATCTGTATATTATATACCCCACATCTGTATATTATATACCCCACATCTGTATATTATATACCCCACATCTGTATATTATATACCACAAATCTGTATATTATATACCCCACCTCTCTCTATTATATACCCCACATCTGTATATTATATACCCCACATCTGTATATTATATACCCCACATCTGTATATTATATACCCCACCTCTGTATATTATATACCCCACATCTGTATATTATATACCCCACATCTGTATATTATATACCCCACATCTGTATATTATATACCCCACATCTGTATATTATATACCCCACATCTGTATATTATATACCCCACATCTGTATATTATATACCCCACATCTGTATATTATATACCACAAATCTGTATATTATATACCCCACCTCTCTCTATTATATACCCCACATCTGTATATTATATACCCCACATCTGTATATTATATACCCCACATCTGTATATTATATACCCCACCTCTGTATATTATATACCCCACATCTGTATATTATATACCACACATCTGTATATTATATACCCCACATCTGTATATTATATACCCCACATCTGTATATTATACACCCCACATCTGTATATTATATACCGCACCTCTCTATATAATATAGGCGTAGATTTCACAAGGGTGTAGTCACAAAGTGACCTAGTCTAACTGAGCTATTTAAAAATGACCTACATAAACTGATATAATGACCCCATATATAAAAAGTTTAATTCAACCATGTTCGTTTTCTCACAGAGAAAGTGCGAAAAGTGTACACAGGGTGTACATTAGCAGCTACCGTACAACTTACCAGCCAGCTCGTGTACACTTTGTTATGTCAACACATGATTTATCTTTGTTTTCGTTACTTTATTTACAAACATATGCTTTGTTTCAATGGTCATGACATACACATAGCGATACATGGCGACACATAAAATAGTTTTACAATACAAACCAACAGCAACCAGCTAGATTATGTGTGTCATTGTAAGTTGATGTGGGTGCTTGTTTGTACTTATCTGTGTCTTTATGTAGGTTCATGATTGTTGTGTATGAGTGTGTATGTGTTTGTTTGTCTGTTTGTGTGTGTGAAAAATCTACTTTGGTTTTCGAAAGTTGACAAAAGCTGTTTAAGTTGCAACAGGTGTGTGTCAGGTACAGGTGTGTGTCAGGTACAGGTGTGTGTCAGGTACAGGTGTGTCAGGTACAGGTGTGTGTCAGGTACAGGTGTGTGTCAGGTACATGTGTGTGTCAGGTACAGGTGTGTGTCAGGTACAGGTGTGTGTCAGGTACAGGTGTGTGTCAGGTACAGGTGTGTCAGGTACAGGTGTGTGTCAGGTACAGGTGTGTCAGGTACAGGTGTGTCCGATACAGGTGTGTGTCAGGTACAGGTATGTCAGGTACAGGTGTGTCAGGTACAGGTGTGTCAGGTACAGGTGTGTCAGGTACAGGTGTGTCAGGTACAGGTGTGTCAGGTACAGGTGTGTGTCAGGTACAGGTGTGTCAGGTACAGGTGTGTGTCAGGTACAGGTGTGTGTCAGGTACAGGTGTGTGTCAGGTACAGGTGTGTGTCAGGTACATGTGTGTGTCAGGTACAGGTGTGTGTCAGGTACAGGTGTGTGTCAGGTACAGGTGTGTGTCAGGTACAGGTGTGTGTCAGGTACAGGTGTGTGTCAGGTACATGTGTGTGTCAGGTACAGGTGTGTGTCAGGTACAGGTGTGTGTCAGGTACAGGTGTGTGTCAGGTACAGGTGTGTCAGGTACAGGTGTGTGTCAGGTACAGGTGTGTGTCAGGTACAGGTGTGTGCAGGTACAGTTGTGTCAAGTACAGGTGTGTGTCAGGTACAGGTGTGTGTCAGGTACATGTGTGTCAGGTACAGGTGTGTCAGGTACAGGTGTGTCAGGTACAGGTGTGTGTCAGGTACAGGTGTGTCAGGTACAGGTGTGTGTCAGGTACAGGTGTGTGTCAGGTACAGGTGTGTGTCAGGTACAGGTGTGTGTCAGGTACAGGTGTGTGTCAGGTACAGGTGTGTGTCAGGTACAGGTGTGTGTCAGGTACAGATGTGTCAGGTACAGGTGTGTGTCAGGTACAGGTGTGTGTCAGGTACAGGTGTGTGTCAGGTACAGGTGTGTGTCAGGTACAGGTGTGTGTCAAGTACAGGTGTGTGTCAGGTACAGGTGTGTGTCAGGTACAGGTGTGTGTCAGGTACAGGTGTGTGCAGGTACAGGTGTGTGCAGGTACAGTTGTGTCAGGTACAGGTGTGTGCAGGTACAGTTGTGTCAGGTACAGGTGTGTGCAGGTACAGTTGTGTCAGGTACAGGTGTGTCAGGTACAGGTGTGTCAGGTACAGGTGTGTCAGGTACAGGTGTGTCAGGTACAGGTGTGTCAGGTACAGGTGTGTGTCTGGTGTGTCAGGTACAGGTGTGTGTCAGGTACAGGTGTGTGTCAGGTACAGGTGTGTGTCAGGTACATGTGTGTGTCAGGTACAGGCGTGTGTCAGGTACAGGTGTGTGTCTGGTGTGTCAGGTACAGGTGTGTGTCAGGTACAGGTGTGTGTCAGGTACAGGTGTGTGTCAGGTACATGTGTGTGTCAGGTACAGGCGTGTGTCAGGTACAGGTGTGTGTCAGGTAAGGTGTGTGTCAAGTAAGGTGTGTCAGGTACAGGTGTGTGTCAAATGTGTCAGGTACAGGTGTGTCAGGTACAGGTGTGTCAGGTACAGGTGTGTGTCAGGTACAGGTGTGTCAGGTACAGGTGTGTCAGGTACAGGTGTGTGTCAGGTACAGTTGTGTCAGGTACAGGTGTGTCAGGTACATGTGTGTGTCAAATGTGTCAGGTACAGGTGTGTGTCAGGTACAGTTGTGTCAGGTACAGGTGTGTCAGGTACAGGTGTGTGTCAAATGTGTCAGGTACAGGTGTGTGTCAAATGTGTCAGGTACAGGTGTGTGTCAGGTACAGTTGTGTGTCAGGTACAGGTGTGTGTCAAATGTGTCAGGTAGAGGTGTGTCAGGTACAGGTGTGTGTCAAATGTGTCAGGTACAGGTGTGTCAGGTACAGGTACAGGTGTGTGTCTGGTGTGTCAGGTACAGGTTTGTGTCAAATGTGTCAGGTACAGGTGTGTGTCAGGTGTGTGTCAGGTACAGTTGTGTGTCAGGTACAGGTGCGTCAGGTACAGCCACACTGGTGGGCGATCATGTCCTCGTGGTGCCTCACAACGATCTCATTAAGCTCGAAGTACAACATGCTCATGGGCCGCAGCTTGGAGGCCACACAGCAGGACGCGGGCGCCGAGCTGGGCCTTCTGAGCCGCATCAGCGACTTGAGCACCGCGTGGTTGCTGGGTTGGTACTGGGCGTCCAGCGGGGGTTGGCACAACCCGAAACAGAAGCGTGAGTTGAATTTCTTGGGGTGGACGATCCACTGGCCCCACCCGATGGCGTCAAAGTCGACCTCGAAGTCGTAGAGCTGGCAAGGCTTACGTTTGCCGTTACGGCGCCACTTGCCGGGGCTGACGGGGGGTTGGGGGAGCGCCCAGGGGTGGGCGTCACGTCTTGGTCGCACGTTTACAGGAGCAGGTGCAGTAGAGCCGACCAGATGAGTCAGCCCCAGGGTGTTGAGAAACTCCTTGTCCTCCAGGTACAGCGCGATCAGTGACTCCATGTTTGACGTCACGTTGTGCTGATGACGCATGACTCGGATGTACAGCGTCACGTTCCCGTGGAAGAGGTTGATCCACGGGTGGATGTGATTGGTGACGTCAAACACGTCATACCCGTGACTGGAGGGGGCGTGGTCCCGTATGACAAACTTGTGGACCAGCTTCCGGTTTTTGCGGACATTGACCTTGAGAGCGTACGTGTCTGGAATGTTCCAGGCGTCCACGGACCTCCGGAGGAAACGAATTTCCGCGTTACTCAGCGTCTCATGTTCCGGCAGGGTCGGTATTTTGTACCTCAGCACGGGCTGGCCGCCTCTAGAGGGCCGGGACACTAAAACAAAGAATTTAATTCAGTCAAAGATTTCATTACAATGGAATAAAAAAAATTGGACGAAGAAAACAAAAACGACACATATGTGAGTGTGTGCATGCGTGTGTGTGTGTGTGATGTAGCTGATAGTGTACTCACCCTGACCGCTGAAGCTGCGAATCGTGTCCGTGACCGTCTCCCTTCTGCTGCCAACCTTGACCTTGGCACCCCGCTGTAGCTGGTTGAAGAGACCGACAATGAAGGTCGTTGACGGTCGTTGGTAGGCCGCACGGCCCAGGCCGCTCCGGTACAGGCGGTATAGGATCTGGGGGTGGCAGGGGAACATGACGGTTAGGGTTAGAGGGAACTACACGGTTAGGGCAGAGGCGTAGCGACCGATTCCGGCGCCCGGGGGGGGAATATACATTTTTGCACCCCTCCCTCCCATTCTATTTATAGTTATTCCTGTCTTTGAAAAAGCGCCCCTCCCCTCCTTTGAAAAAGCGCCCCCCGCCCCAAAGTAAATAAATGAATTGGAAAGGTTTGTGGATCTTCTTACCAGTTACTATCCCATTAGATTTTCTATTTCGGTGCCACAAAATAAATACAGAAAACAGTTAAATAAATGTGAAAAGCCTTGAAGTCGTTTATTTTCGTAACTTTGACTGTATATAATTTAATACTTCAGCTTAAAATGAGCTTTTCAATTTATTTTTCGACCCCTTTTGGCGCTCCCTTAGGGTCGGCGCCCGGGGTGGCCGCCCCACCCGCCCTCCCCTAGCTACGCCACTGGGTTAGGGTTAAAAGGAACAGGGCGGTTAGGGTTAGGTTAGAAGGAACCAGACGGTTAGGCTTAGAAGGAACAGGGCGGTTAGGGTTAGTTTAGAGGGAACTAGACGGTTAGGGTTAGAGGAAACTAGACGGTTAAGGGTATCTACAGAAGTAGGTTTAGAGAATTATCGCGCAGAAGAGAAAAGATAAAACACAGCAAGTCACAACGACTTGTCAAAATATCCACTTTGCTAGGATCACTTAACAGTTTAACAAGCATGGTATCGGCAAAATATGGATCAATACAGTTTTTAGATATAAATATTAATTTTTTTTTTAAAATCCCCGTAAAAAAACAAACAAACCTAAAAACAATTTAACCGTGTCGATTATATTGAGGTCAAGCCAACAACTTTAGTGTATTCTTGTACCGCTTATAAATATGCTAAACTTTAGTGGTGTAGTTACATTTGGAGATTTATTTATTCATTTATTCGATAACAATAACAACAGTAGGCACGGAGGCCTTTTTCCACATTGGCCGTTTAAAAAAAAAAAACCACATAATAACAGCACGGGAGGAACTAGCATGCCTCTAGACAGTGGAGAAAAAAAAAAGAAAAACGAAAAGAAAAAAAAAAAGAAAATAAATAACACAAATCAAGCTTCCTTGCTTATATATTTCTGACCGGCTTTTTTTTTCTATTTTCGGCAAACATAAAATATTGGGATACAAACGTTTTAAAACACGATTATTTCAGACCCGAAATGAATTTGGACATATTTTTGTCTATTTTGTTGTTCGAGGATTGCAATAAAATATGTTTAACTACTAACTTAGGAAATAGATTAATTAAAAATTTACTGAAGCAGGATACACACACACACACACACACACACATACATACATACATACATACATACATACATATATATATATATATATATATATATATATATATATATATATATAAATATATATATATATATATATATATATATATATATATATATATATATATATATATATATATATATATATATATATATATATATATATATATATATATATATATGGGGGCCCAAAATATTTTTCTTTTTTTTTTGCGCGGGAAACTTTTCTAGTTATAAGAATATAATTGATGAATGAGAAATGTTTCAACGAGTCAGTTAAGGAAGTCATTAGATAATTGTTGTTTTAGTTTAGTTTTGAATATATTTTCAAATATAGATAGTTTAATTTTATTAGGAAGATTGTTCCACAATTATGTGCCGTTATCTGCCAACTTTAATTAGAGTAAATTAATTAGCATAAATTAACCGAAACTTGAGTAAAATTGAAAAATTAGTAGAACACACTTGCTTTTGGAAACATTTTTAGAAAAAGATTTTAATACATTTTTAGAAATAAAAAGCAAAAATAGAAAAAGTTTTGACCACAGTGATTGTACACAAGTAAGAAATGTGATTGTTAACAAAGGCAATTTTATAAATTACAGATAGGTCTATAAACAACTGAATTCTATTAAAAATTAAAGGTAATTTTTATCTATAAATTGCCAGTGATTATGGTCATTTAAGACGGTTAATTCTACTCAAAGCACTAGAAATGCTGTTTATAAATTACAGGTAATTAAAATACATTGTTAAAAAACGAGTATTTTAAAGATTCTTGATATGTAAAATACTCGGATTTAAACAAAACATTTTTTTTTAATATAATTATCTGTATTTTATAGATAAAATTAGCATGAATTAACCGTAATGTATAAATAGGATATCATGTAATTGATTGATATATTTATTAATAGCATAATCTACACCTAATTTGAAATTAATATGAGAATGTTTCAAGTCAAACTAAAGGCACAGACCTCGTTTTCCTGTAGTTCAGCTGCTGGTTGGGTTGTTGTGTGGGTGGTGTGGGTTGATGGTGGTGCCACTGGGGCAGACGGAGGGGCAGACGGAGGGGCAGATGGGGGCACCACAACCACAGCCTCGACCATGCCAGCTACTGCCACTATAACCGTCAACAACAACTTGATACAGCGTCCTAGAACTTTGAATGTGGGGCGTCCTGGTTCCATATTTGTGGGGCGTCCTGTAGTCATCCGTGTGGGGCGTCTTGGGGCTATCCGTGTGGGGCGTCTTGGGGCTATCCGTGTGGGGCGTCCTGGTTCCTTATTTGTGGGGCGTCTTAGAGCCTGTGTGGGGCGTCCTGTAGTCATATGTGTGGGGTGTAGTTCGACCATCTGTGTGGGGTGTAGTTCGACCATCTGTGTGGGGCGCCCTAGCACGCGAGTGTGTGGACGAGACCTGGTCCCATGCATGCCCTCACTAACTGGACATCGATGTGAACATTGATCAGACCTCAGAGAACGGTGTAGGGACTGGTGGGCTCAATCAAGGCAGGGGGGTGGGGTGGAGGGGAGAGGTGGGAGGGTTTTGCTTGAATTTTGGAGACAAAACATTGTTTGGGAGATTAGTAGCGAGACAAGATTAATCCCTGCCCCCACCCCCAGTAACACCCTGAGTCACACCCCAACCCCATCACTAGCAGGACTTCACTTCCTGCTTACAGCCGTCCACCATACCCCATCCCCCAAATCACCCCCTCCGACATCATCCCCCTCCCACACACACACACGCACTTTACTCTTGTAATTTTCTTACAATTAAATATCTGATTTAAAAACCACTAGGCTATGTAATTCATCCGTTGAATGCTGATTCACTGATGTAACTTTTTCAAACTTTCAAAGATCTTAATCAATCAAGATAATTAATGAGTAACTTGTAGGTACTTTTAAAATCAACCAACCAATTAAAATATTCGTTACAAACGGCTGCGGCTGACGATGGAGAGAAAAATAACCGATTCGTCGTAACCTGGTTAAGTATAGAAGGGTGAAGGTCATTGTATCACAATCTCTGACGTCATTTTGATATCGCAAACATTTGCGGTAGAAAAAAAAATTATTCTCCCCTCCCCCACCTCACACAACTTACGGCGTGAAACTGATGCCCTATGCCACTAATGCCCCAGCTACACAACTGATGCCCTATGGCACTAATGCCCCAGCTACACAACTGATGCCCTATGCCACTGTGTGTCCTTTTTCTTCTCAGTTTTTCTGATGTGACATATGACCTAACATATAATCTAACATATGAATTAATATATAACCTAACATATGACCTAACGTATGACCTAACGTATGACCTAACATATGACGTAGCATACGACTATAGTAGACTGTCATTCAATTCGGTTAAGGTATGATTTATTTATTGATTGATTGATTGATTGATTTGATTAATTAAATTAACACGACCCATCAACTCAGAAGTGCCAGCCCCCCCCCCCCCCTCCCTCACAGGGAAATGTTTTTGCCGCCACTATAGACGACATCAAGAAGATTTGCCGTCCCCACGTGAAGAATATATATCAGCATTGATCTTGCCTACATCCAGCTATGTAGGGTAGATAGTAGATTCAATCCGAGCGAGACAAAAGCACGAACTAGAAGCAACGAAACGAAATACCCACAGGAAATTGGTTCCATGTAACAGCAGAAGTTGACGGAGTAACAGTTGGTGACATCACAGTGTCACACCTATCTTTGGGACCCAATTTTCTCTGATGTGACACAAACTAATTCTGTGACAGCAGTTCTCAAACAAGACGACAGCAACATTTGAAGCCGTCTAAATATTGGTTCTTATCTCCGCTCTAAGCGTGAGAACTCGCACCCAGAGAAAAGGATTCCCCGGATGTATCAGTTCCCTCCCTTACATCAACGCTCTCCATTTTGGCGGGTGTGTACCTAACGCGACAATAGCAGGGCCAACATTTACCTAGAGTTACCTACCGTGGTTATCTTGTCATCAAGGAACGGTCACTCGATTGTTATTGCAAGGGCATTGAACTCTCGGGTAGAACACAATAGCACCAGCAGCCGAATCCCAATCTTCTGCGTGTGAAAGCAGACGAGAGTTTTAATTTTCTCTCGCCTGATGTCAGCCTCTTACGTAAGTCGAATGTGAGCGATAACTTGTTGCGGTAAAATTAAGGTAATTGGCTCAGTTAATTAAATCTTCTCAGGAAGAGTAGGACTCAAAGTGTTCATATAAGAAAAGTTAACACATTTTTAAAAATGTGTACATGTGTTTTCTGTCTGTGTCTCACGATTTTGTACACACCAACCACGGTGAAAATCACATTTATGTGGGCGATACACCGAAAATGTGTAATCACCATTATTTAAAAAACAACAAATAATTAACAAATAATTAATAACTCTCATTACATTATAAAAACTATAGACAGGATAATATAATGAGACAATTATTGTATTTAATAAATCTTGTAATTTTGAACATTTCAGATGGTTGTCTAATTTTAATGTTGATCTAGGGATCGCTCCAGCGCATGACGCGGTATTCTAAAACACCTGCGATTTTTATTTTTTAAATTAGGGTTATTAAATCTCGTTTTTTTTTCACTTTAAATTACAAATCTCATTAGCCAGGGAGAGATTTACATTTTCAAACGAAATAAATTATTGTAAAGAGGACTCCCTTTGATGGCGGCTATTTGTTCTAGGCTTCTCTTCAAGATTTTAAAATCATCATATGGCTGGGAACTAATCGATTTTGTTGATATGGCTGGGAACTAATCTACTTGCATTCATCAATACTTCCAGTGTCCGTGGCTAGCGGAGAACGCAGTTTTTCAATTGAAATGAATCAAAACTTACTAGCGTTCTGCTATGTCGCAAACTAGACTCATGGACAGCAACAATTTCAATAGAAATTAGAATGGGATTACGCTTCGACACTAGAATTAAAGGAATTAGTAGAAACTTTTGCGAGGAAGAAGGCACGAAAAATTATATTTTGATTTTGCAATCTTCTTGTAACGTTTATACAATTAATAATAAATCAATCTGTCTATTTAAATTTATTGTTTTATAATACACATTATTTAAAAATTAATTTGTGTGAAAGGGGGCGTTTTAATTAGTTTTGCCTAGGGCGCTAAATAACCGGGCGCCGACATGGACAACACAGAGTGCTAACTGGTAAAACGGAGTTCGTGTCTAAATGTCATCCGACGTTTGACAAGTTGATCTATATTTGTTCGGACAGTGATTCTAAATGCCATCCGACAAGTTGATCTATATTTGTTCGGACAGTGATTCTAATTTCATTAGACAAAAAACACAACAAAGATGTAAATATTTCAGTCTTTATTTCAATATAACATCGAAGAATTGCACATATATTTTAAGAAATAGTTTCTAGAATCTTTGATAATAATAAACAAAATAGCGCGCACAATTGGCAGATATGCGGCTAAGGGACGTATCTCAAGTTTGATCTATACGTCAGTCAAACTATCTTACAGTTAGCCACACTACCTGACTGGCAGTAAGCCACGCCCACGACTACTGATAATAAGCCACGCCTACTGTCTGTTAACCACGCCCAGCCCTATACACTAGAAGTTGCACTAAATAACAACACACAACCTACAGATCACTTACAACATCAGCCAACACAGTCAGTACAAACTCAAATGTTTGTGTACATTAGAAGAGTTCACTTCTTTCAACATGTATGTACACATGTACAAATATAAGGTACACACGTACAAAATGTAGGTACATAATGTACAAGAGACGAGTTTGGTCAACAGGAATGTAGAAATACGATTTGTTGTCTGTCACACTCTCCACGGTGACACACCTGACATTTCAGATGACACACCTGACATGACAGGTGACACCTGACATTTCAGATGACACACCTGACATGACAGGTGACACATGACATGTGACATACCTGACATTACAAGTACTAGCTAACATTTGGAGGCGATAACTGATACAATGTATAACATTTTAATTCAACCATTTGTTCTTATATTAAAAACATCAAGTAATTCTGAAAGAGAGATAACTCAAGAATAAATTAATTTTAAAATGTTTTACGCATTATTTCCCTTATATCCGAGCAAACTTAAAAAGCCAACTTTGGCGTGGTTACGCCCCATACATTGTTAAAATTTTATGGAGCAAAGGGGAAGTCAAATCTTGAGCCAAGCAAAGTTTCTATTTACAGCAATATCAGTATCAAGTATTGATGTGTGGACTTCATGCACACACCTCACACCCGTTGATAACAAACACATTTTGCTTTTGGAAGTATAAAATAAAGAATTAGATTTTTTTTTTAAATCTCAGAGAATTACAAAAATCTTTTAGCACACACTAAAATAAAATGAATGTAAAAATGTAGGAAATGAAGTAAACTGAAACAAGATTATAAATAGCAATATTTATCATAGAATTGCAACATTATTACATATAAAATATTATTACATAAAAACAAGCTTTATATCTGAAAAATGATATTTTAAAAGGAAATAAAAATGTATGTTAAATTTACTAACATAACAATAGAGTCCTTTCATATGACGTCACGTCCGTTCGTGATACCTACGCCCGCCGCCACAGTGGTGTACACAAGACGTAAACACAATCAGCTGTTCGCCAGCGCTGGACGTGTTCACCAGCGCTGGACGCGTTCACTGTATGTAAAGAACCGCACCCGCGGAAAAGGAAAAATACGTTAAAAAACTTGAACTCTTAGGAATTGAAGATCCTTATACTGTTATTGACAGTTTCGTATAAATAAATATGTGGACAAAATTTCTAAATAAAATTACTGTTAGTAATACTGTTTGCGTTTAGAGTTAAAGTAGCCGAATCTGATCAAATGCAGTTCTCGATACTTTGTTTCATGTAAGGACAGTAAAATAATAAACTTCATTTTAATTATAAAAGATAACTATTAATAAAACAAATATGCTCGACCTTCACAAATACTAATAGTAAAAGACAAAGTCAAAAGTAATATTATAGGCTAATAAGAATAACAAGATCTAATAGTAGGCTTATACCTGGCTCCGCTGGGTAGACATAGAATCTAGAATCTACTTCTTTACTTAAATTTAATTACTTTAGATCTACATTCGATTCAAAATACACCCATAATAAATCAAAAGTAGTCATAATAGGCCTAATAAAGCATTTAATTGTCTCTAAGATCTAAAATCTCGCTCTATTATCTAATCATTTTTTTAGCAAACGAAATTTTCTGAAATTGAAATAGATTATATGACTAGACTTAGATCTAGAATCTGCTACTTAAATTAAATTGTAAAAACTTTATACAAGCATGTAGTTGATATTATTGTAGTAGAAGGCTTTAATAAATTACTAAGGCCTACCTACTTTGTTGTCTTTTTACAGCAATATGTATCTGATACTGGACTGAGTTTAATTAAATTCAAATTCATATCTAGTAATTGGTCTACTAAGTTTTTGTAGCCTAGTAGTACAATCTAGATCATACCAGCCAACAACAAATAACCACATTATTATTATTAGGTTAATGATTAGGCTAATTTTTTTTTTAAATCCACTGTTTATAAAAGAAACAAATCAAGCTAGAAACATTATAAGTGAGATGGTTTAGAATAATAACAATGGACCCAGTCTACAATTGATACAATTGCAGGTCTACATAGGGCCTACAGTCTAGTAGTTTACAGTAGGCACCTAGTGTGTAGCTAGTATACTAGTGTGTAGCTGTCCAGAGTTAAGATTCTTAATGCCTTAATGCTTTCCCCTGATAAGCCGTGTGTGCTATAAATGACATAACATGACACCGAGGTGAGAAGTGTTGAGGGGAGAGCAGTGGGACTTTCCCCTTTGTTCTCCCTGCTGGGCCCTGAGGGTCAAAATTATATAAGAAATACTATCTCTGTGGGGCTGGGTATCACGGAGGTGAGACATTTTCAGGGGAGGGCAGGGCAGACTCCTCTTTGGTTTTATTGTGGGCTAGATACAGGTGGGGGCAGCCATCATGACGGTTGAACGTCAGTATTAATGTGTCTGATTACTTCCCTGCTGGATTATAAGGGTCTTAAATTGTATAACATGCTACCCAGATTGGTTATTACCCATGGATTATATTAGCCGTTGTAGTGTGGGTTTTGTAGGAGTTAAGTGGTCTCACGTTTGCTACAGTAGATAACCTCTAATATATTACTGCATTTGATCAGCTTCGTCTACTTAAACTCTAAACGCAAACGGTATTACTAACAGTATTTTTATTTAGAAATTTCAGCCACATATTTATATTATCCACGAAACTGTCAATAACTGTATAAGGATCTTCAATTCCTAAGAGTTCAAGTTTTTTAACATATTTTTCCTTTTCCGCGGGCGCGATTCTTTACATACGGTGAACACTTCCAGCGCTGGTAAACACGTCCAGCGCTGGCGAACAGCTGATTGTGTTTACGTCTGATGTACACCACTGTGGCGGCGGGCGTAGGTATCACGTGATTTAGGTCACGTGTTTGCAAGGACTCTATTCTAAAAAAAATCTGTGACATTTATTGAGTTATTTCCCTTGCCATCCTATGCAGGTTATCAAGATACACATGGAGTAGTTATCTGAATAGCTGTAAAGGCTTACACACTGTAAGCACAATCTATATATGGCTTACACAATGTAAGCAGCATCATGAGTCTCAACAATAAACATTCAGTACATGCATTCAGATGTGCACACAAACATGACAACCACACAAACATACCCACATGACAACCACACAGACATACCCACATGACAACCACACAAACATACCCACATGACAACCACACAAACATACCCACATGACAACCACACAGACATACCCACATGACAACCACACAAACATACCCACATGACAACCACACAAACATACCCACATGACAACCACACAGACATACCCACATGACAACCACACAAACATACCCACATGATAACCACACAGACATACCCACATGACAACCACACAAACATACCCACATGATAACCACACAGACATACCCACATGACAACCACACAAACATACCCACATGACAACCACACAAACATACCCACATGACAACCACACAGACATACCCACATGACAACCACACAAACATACCCACATGATAACCACACAAATATACCCACATGACAACCACACAAATATACCCACATGACAACCACACAAACATACCCACATGACAACCACACAGACATACCCACATGACAACCACACAAACATACCCACATGACAACCACACAAACATACCCACATGACAACCACACAGACATACCCACATGACAACCACACAAACATACCCACATGATAACCACACAGACATACCCACATGACAACCACACAAACATACCCACATGATAACCACACAGACATACCCACATGACAACCACACAAACATACCCACATGACAACCACACAAACATACCCACATGACAACCACACAGACATACCCACATGACAACCACACAAACATACCCACATGATAACCACACAAATATACCCACATGACAACCACACAAATATACCCACATGACAACCACACAAACATACCCACATGACAACCACACAGACATACCCACATGATAACCACACAAACATACACGACTGTATTTCCAGCAATACATTCACTTTATTAACAAATCAAATATCAACTTTAGTACCAGATTGCTAGATCTCAGTGATTGATTTGATACAAGGGCAACAACTGTGTACGACAAGGAAAGAATGTATTTGTATGTCATTCTATGCTACCTCATGTGAAAACAGTCTTGCCTTCACAAAGTTAATCACATTAATAAAACCCTGTCATACGTGGTCCAACATATGTCATACTTGGTCCAACATATGTCATACATGGTCCAACATATGGTCCAACATATGTCATATTTGGTCCAACATATGTCATACATAGTCCAACATATGTCATACATGGTCCAACATATGTCATATGTGGTCCAACATATGGTCCAACATATGTCATACTTGGTCCAAAATGTCATAATTGGTCCAACATATGGTCCAACATATGTCATACATGGTCCATCATATGTCATACAAGGTCCAACATTTGTCATACATCTTTCATGTGTCTGTCATATACAGCCCAACATCTGTCTGTCATAAATGGTCCAACATTTATCATACATAGTCCAGCATCTGTCAAACATGGTCCAACATCTGTCAGATGTCTGTCATACAAGGTCCAACATCTGTCAGATGTCTGTCATATAAGGTCCAACATCTGTCAGATGTCTGTCATGGGTGGTCCAGCATCTGTCACGATGAAGCCGAGCAGCGCGCCAGGAGCTGTGTCTGACATGCGTCACAGACTCGGACTGGCTTGGAGGAGGAGGGGAGGGGCATCTTGTTGTTGGAGCACTCGGCACAGTAGATGTCGCCACAGCTGCGGCAGTGGTGCTGGGGGGAGAAGGTAATAGGGGCTTAGTGGGCTTGGTGGGGCTGGGGGGGGGGGGGCAGACAACATGGGGCTTAGTGGGCTTGGTGGGGCTGGCAGACAACATGGGGCTTAGTGGGCTTAGGGGGGGGCAGACAACATGGGGCTTAGTGGGGCGGGGGGGGGGGGGCAGACAACATGGGGCTTAGTGGGCTTGGTGGGGCTGGCAGACAACATGGGGCTTAGTGGGCTTAGGGGGGGGCAGACAACATGGGGCTTAGTGGGGCGGGGGGGGGCAGACAACATGGGGCTTAGTGGGCTTGGTGGGGCTGGCAGACAACATGGGGCTTAGTGGGCTTAGGGGGGGGGGGCAGACAACATGGGGCTTAGTGGGCTTGGTGGGGGGCAGACAACATGGGGCTTAGTGGGCTTGGTGGGGCTGGCAGACAACATGGGGCTTAGTGGGCTTAGGGGGGGGGGCAGACAACATGGGGCTTAGTGGGCTTAGGGGGGGGGGAGAAAACATGGGGCTTAGTGGGGCGGGGGGGGGGCAGACAACATGGGGCTTAGTGGGCTTGGTGGGGCTGGCAGACAACATGGGGCTTAGTGGGGCGGGGGGGGGGGCAGACAACATGGGGCTTAGTGGGGCGGGGGGGGGGGCAGACAACATGGGGCTTAGTGGGGCGGGGGGGGGCAGACAACATGGGGCTTAGTGGGGCGGGGGGGGGGCAGACAACATGGGGCTTAGTGGGGCGGGGGGGGCAGACAACATGGGGCTTAGTGGGGCGGGGGGGGGGCAGACAACATGGGGCTTAGTGGGGCGGTGGGGGGCAGACAACATGGGGCTTAGCGGGGCGGGGGGGGGCAGACAACATGGGGCTTAGTGGGGCGGGGGGGCAGACAACATGGGGCTTAGCGGGGCGGGGGGGGGGGGCAGACAACATGGGGCTTAGTGGGGCGGGGGGGGGGGGGGGGCAGACAACATGGGGCTTAGTGGGCTTGGTGGGGCTGGCAGACAACATGGGGCTTAGTGGGCTTAGGGGGGGGGGGGCAGACAACATGGGGCTTAGCGGGGCGGGGGGGGGGGCAGACAACATGGGGCTTAGTGGGCTTGGTGGGGCTGGCAGACAACATGGGGCTTAGTGGGCTTAGGGGGGGCAGACAACATGGGGCTTAGTGGGGCGGGGGGGGGGGGCAGACAACATGGGGCTTAGCGGGGCGGGGGGGGCAGACAACATGGGGCTTAGTGGGGCGGGGGGGCAGACAACATGGGGCTTAGTGGGCTTGGTGGGGCTGGCAGACAACATGGGGCTTAGTGGGCTTAGGGGGGGGGCAGACAACATGGGGCTTAGTGGGGCGGGGGGGGGGGGCAGACAACATGGGGCTTAGCGGGGCGGGGGGGGTGGCAGACAACATGGGGCTTAGCGGGGCGGGGGGGGGGGCAGACAACATGGGGCTTAGCGGGGCGGGGGGGGGGGGGCAGACAACATGGGGCTTAGCGGGGCGGGGGGGGGGGGGCAGACAACATGGGGCTTAGCGGGGCGGGGGGGGGGCAGACAACATGGGGCTTAGTGGGCTTGGTGGGGGGCAGACAACATGGGGCTTAGTGGGGCGGGGGGGCAGACAACATGGGGCTTAGTGGGCTTGGTGGGGGGCAGACAACATGGGGCTTAGTGGGGCGGGGGGGGGGGGCAGACAACATGGGGCTTAGTGGGCTTGGGGGGGCAGACAACATGGGGCTTAGTGGGCTTGGTGGGGGGCAGACAACATGGGGCTTAGTGGGCTTGGTGGGGGGCAGACAACATGGGGCTTAGTGGGGCGGGGGGGGGGCTGGGGGGATAGACAACATGGGGCTTAGCGGGGCGGGGGGGGGGGCAGACAACATGGGGCTTAGTGGGCTTGGTGGGGGGCAGACAACATGGGGCTTAGTGGGCTTAGGGGGGGGGGCAGACAACATGGGGCTTAGTGGGGCGGGGGGGGCTGGGGGGATAGACAACATGGGGCTTAGCGGGGCGGGGGGGCAGACAACATGGGGCTTAGTGGGCTTGGTGGGGCTGGGGGGGCAGACAACATGGGGCTTAGCGGGGCGGGGGGGCAGACAACATGGGGCTTAGTGGGCTTGGTGGGGGGCAGACAACATGGGGCTTAGTGGGGCGGGGGGGGGGGGCAGACAACATGGGGCTTAGTGGGCTTGGTGGGGGGCAGACAACATGGGGCTTAGTGGGGCGGGGGGGGGGGCAGACAACATGGGGCTTAGTGGGCTTGGTGGGGGGCAGACAACATGGGGCTTAGTGGGGCGGGGGGGGGGGGCAGACAACATGGGGCTTAGTGGGCTTGGTGGGGGGCAGACAACATGGGGCTTAGCGGGCTTGGTGGGGCTGGGGGGGCAGACAACATGGGGCTTAGTGGGGCGGGGGGGCAGACAACATGGGGCTTAGTGGGGCGGGGGGGGGGCAGACAACATGGGGCTTAGTGGGGCGGGGGGGGGGGCAGACAACATGGGGCTTAGTGGGGCGGGGGGGGGCAGACAACATGGGGCTTAGTGGGGCGGGGGGGGGGCAGACAACATGGGGCTTAGTGGGCTTGGTGGGGGGGGCAGACAACATGGGACTTAGTGGGCTTGGTGGGGGGCAGACAACATGGGACTTAGTGGGCTGTTAGGTGGGCTTAGTGGGGCTGGGGGGGGGGGGGCAGACAACATGGGGCTTAGTGGGCTGTTAGGTGGGCTTAGTGGGGCTGGGGGGTAGACAACATGGGGCTCAGGGGCCTTGGATGGCTCTTGAGGCAAAGTATGTTTATGGGCTCAGTGGGCTGATGGGACGTGAGTTACTTAAGAGGCAATAACGAGGGAGATTTAATTCTAAATGGGTTTCAGCTGATTAAGGTAGGTTTATAGGTGGAGAAATCTTTTCAGTGAGCTGATCAAAACTTGTCGAAAAACTTTCAATACAAATCTTACCTTTCTCCTGGCCAATGAAAACTTTCAATACAAATCTTACCTTTCTCTTGGCCAATGAAAACTTTCAATACAAATCTTACCTTTCTCTTGGCCAATGAAAACTTTCAATACAAATCTTACCTTTCTCTTGGCCAATGAAAACTTTCAATACAAATCTTACCTTTCTTTTGGCCAATGAAAACTTTCAATACAAATCTTACCTTTCTCTTGGCCAATGAAAACTTTCAATACAAATCTTACCTTTCTCTTGGCCAATGAAAACTTTCAATACAAATCTTACCTTTCTCTTGGCCAATGAAAACTTTCAATACAAATCTTACCTTTCTTTTGGCCAATGAAAACTTTCAATACAAATCTTACCTTTCTCTTGGCCAATGAAAACTTTCAATACAAATCTTACCTTTCTCCTGGCCAATGAAAACTCCTTGCTGCACTGTTTACAATGGGTGGCCGTGACGTCACTGGCCCAGTGGGCCTCACGCTGCATGGCTGTGGCCTCTCGCAGGTCCTCAACCTTCAGCTTGGACCTGTGGGGGGGAACTGTCAATATGAGCCATGTCTACATGAGCCATGTCTACATGAGCCATGTCTACATGAGCCATGTCTACATGAGCCATGTCTACATGAGCCATGTCTACATGAGCCATGTCTACATGGGCCATGTCTACATGAGCCATGTCTATATGAGCCGTGTCTACATGAGCCATGTCTACATGAGCCATGTCTATATGAGCCGTGTCTACATGAGCCATGTCTACATGAGCCATGTCTACATGAGCCCACACATGAGCCATGTCTACATGAGCCATGTCTACATGAGCCATGTCTACATGAGCCCACACATGAGCCATGTCTACATGAGCCATGTCTACATGAGCCATGTCTACATGAGCCATGTCTACATGAGCCCACACATGAGCCATGTCTACATGAGCCATGTCTACATGAGCCATGTCTACATGAGCCATGTCTACATGAGCCATGTCTACATGAGCCATGTCTACATGAGCCATGTCTACATGAGCCATGTCTACATGAGCCATGTCTACATGAGCCATGTCTACATGAGCCCACACATGAGCCATGTCTACATAAGCCATGTCTACATGAGCCCACACATGAGCCATGTCTACATGAGCCATGTCTACATGAGCCATGTCTACATGAGCCATGTCTACATGAGCCCACACATGAGCCATGTCTACATGAGCCATGTCTACATGAGCCCACACATGAGCCATGTCTACATGAGCCCACACATGAGCCATGTCTACATGAGCCCACACATGAGCCATGTCTACATGAGCCGTGTCTACATGAGCCATGTCTACATGAGCCCACACATGAGCCATGTCTACATGAGCCATGTCCACATGAGCCGTGTCTACATGAGCCGTGTCTACATGAGCCATGTCTACATGAGCCATGTCTACATGAGCCCACACATGAGCCATGTCTACATGAGCCCTGTCTACATGAGCCATGTCTACATGAGCCCACACATGAGCCATGTCTACATGAGCCATGTCCACATGAGCCATGTCTACATGAGCCGTGTCTACATGAGCCGTGTCTACATGAGCCATGTCTACATGAGCCCACACATGAGCCATGTCTACATGAGCCCACACATGAGCCATGTCTACATGAGCCATGTCTACATGAGCCATGTCTACATGAGCCATGTCTACATGAGCCGTGTCTACATGAGCCATGTCTACATGAGCCATGTCTACATGAGCCATGTCTACATGAGCCATGTCTACATGAGCCATGTCTACATGAGCCCACACATGAGCCATGTCTACATGAGCCATGTCTACATGAGCCATGTCTACATGAGCCATGTCTACATGAGCCCACACATGAGCCATGTCTACATGAGCCATGTCTACATGAGCCATGTCTACATGAGCCATGTCTACATGAGCCCACACATGAGCCATGTCTACATGAGCCATGTCTACATGAGCCATGTCTACATGAGCCATGTCTACATGAGCCATGTCTACATGAGCCATGTCTACATGAGCCCACACATGAGCCATGTCTACATGAGCCATGTCTACATGAGCCGTGTCTACATGAGCCATGTCTACATGAGCCATGTCTACATGAGCCATGTCTACATGAGCCATGTCTACATGAGCCGTGTCTACATGAGCCATGTCTACATGAGCCATGTCTACATGAGCCATGTCTACATGAGCCATGTCTACATGAGCCATGTCTACATGAGCCCACACATGAGCCATGTCTACATAAGCCATGTCTACATGAGCCCACACATGAGCCATGTCTACATGAGCCATGTCTACATGAGCCATGTCTACATGAGCCATGTCTACATGAGCCCACACATGAGCCATGTCTACATGAGCCATGTCTACATGAGCCCACACATGAGCCATGTCTACATGAGCCATGTCTACATGAGCCATGTCTACATGAGCCATGTCTACATGAGCCATGTCTACATGAGCCATGTCTACATGAGCCATGTCTACATGAGCCATGTCTACATGAGCCATGTCTACATGAGCCATGTCTACATGAGCCATGTCTACATGAGCCGTGTCTACATGAGCCCACACATGAGCCATGTCTACATGAGCCATGTCTACATGAGCCGTGTCTACATGAGCCCACACATGAGCCATGTCTACATAAGCCATGTCTACATGAGCCATGTCTACATGAGCCATGTCTACATGAGCCATGTCTACATGAGCCATGTCTACATGAGCCATGTCTACATGAGCCGTGTCTACATGAGCCCACACATGAGCCGTGTCTACATGAGCCATGTCTACATGAGCCATGTCTACATGAGCCATGTCTACATGAGCCATGTCTACATGAGCCATGTCTACATGAGCCATGTCTACATGAGCCATGTCTACATGAGCCCACACATGAGCCATGTCTACATGAGCCATGTCTACATGAGCCATGTCTACATGAGCCATGTCTACATGAGCCATGTCTACATGAGCCATGTCTACATGAGCCATGTCTACATGAGCCATGTCTACATAAGCCATGTCTACATGAGCCCACACATGAGCCATGTCTACATGAGCCATGTCTACATGAGCCATGTCTACATGAGCCATGTCTACATGAGCCGTGTCTACATGAGCCATGTCTACATGAGCCATGTCTACATGAGCCATGTTTACATGAGCCATGTCTACATGAGCCCACACATGAGCCATGTCTACATGGGCCATGTCTACATGAGCCATGTCTACATGAGCCATGTCTACATGAGCCATGTCTACATGAGCCATGTCTACATGAGCCATGTCTACATGAGCCATGTCTACATGAGCCATGTCTACATGAGCCATGTCTACATGAGCCATGTCTACATGAGCCATGTCTACATGAGCCATGTCTACATGAGCCATGTCTACATGGGCCATGTCTACATGAGCCATGTCTACATGAGCCATGTCTACATGAGCCATGTCTACATGGGCCATGTCTACATGAGCCATGTCTACATGAGCCATGTCTACATGAGCCATGTCTACATGAGCCCACACATCAGCCATGTCTACATGAGCCCACACATGAGCCATGTCTACATGGGCCATGTCTACATGAGCCATGTCTACATGAGCCCACACATCAGCCATGTCTACATGAGCCATGTCTACATGAGCCATGTCTACATGAGCCATGTCTACATGAGCCCACACATGAGCCATGTCTACATGAGCCCACACATGAGCCATGTCTACATGAGCCATGTCTACATGGGCCATGTCTACATGCGCCATGTCTACATGAGCCATGTCTACATGAGCCATGTCTACATGGGCCATGTCTACATGAGCCATGTCTACATAAGCCATGTCTACATGGGCCATGTCTACATGAGCCATGTCTACATGGGCCATGTCTACATGAGCCATGTCTACATGAGCCCACACATCAGCCATGTCTACATGAGCCCACACATAAGCCACGCCCCCATGCGCCACGCCCACTTACTCGCTCAGGTGTGAGCCTAACTCAGCTAAAGCACTCTCCTGCTCCTGGCACTTGCCCTCCAGTTCCTCGTGTCTGGCGATCAACTCGGAGTAGTCCTGGGGATACAGGGGGTCATTGTTAGCACAGGGGTCACTGTTAGCATAGGGGTCACTGTTAGCACAGGGGTCACTGTTAGCATAGAGGTCACTGTTAGCATAGGGGTCACTGTTAGAATAGGGGTCACTGTTAGCATAGGGGTCACTGTTAGCATAGGGGTCACTGTTAGCATAGGGGTCACTGTTAGAATAGGGGTCACTGTTAGCATAGGGGTCACTGTTAGCATAGGGGTCACTGTTAGCATAGGGGTTACTGTTAGCATAGGGGTAAATGTATGTTAGAGAGGGGTCATCATGTAGCACAGGGGTCAGTGGATGGTGGATCAGTATGTAGCACATGCCACAAATCTAGCAAGTGACCAACTCTTGAACGAACCAGCTACGTTTGTCACTGAAACTACTTTATGTCATTTGGTAAATAATTTCAGTTTTTGTCGAGACAATACATCTGAAACGACTAAAAGCACTTAAAAACTAGATCGTGTAACAAGACGCCACCAATTATTTGAAAAAACTCCGTTGAAAACAAAAACAAACAAGGAATGTAAGCCGTTAAGTCCCTTGTGATTGGCGCGTATTGTGTTAGTAGGAGGTAGCTGATCTTTGCAATTAATTTTTCTTGACAGTGTCCAGTTGTGTCCAGTAGTAAACAATATCGGTGAGGGGGTGGGTTGGGGGGGGGGGGAGGCTGCCTGTCAACAGGTGATGGTTACCGGGGAGGGTAGGTCGGGTAAATCCCATCTCCCTAAGTCCCCTTACTGCAGTAACAAGTATCGAATACTGGGTCAGCGTTTACACACACACACACGCACACACGAGTGTGGGTTTTGTCAAAGTGTCCAGCACGTAAACAAATGACTTCCCACTAGATGACAACTTCTGCCGTGGACAGGAGGTCAAGTTAGGACATCAGTTGCCGTGGACAGAAGGTCAAGTTAGGGCATCAGTTGCCGTGGACAGAAGGTCAAGTTAGGGCATCAGTTGCCGTGGACAGAAGGTCAAGTTAGGGCATCAGTTGCCGTGGACAGAAGGTCAAGTTAGGACATCAGTTGCCGTGGACAGAAGGTCAAGTTAGGGCATCAGTTGCCGTGGACAGAAGGTCAAGTTAGGACATCAGTTGCCGTGGACAGAAGGTCAAGTTAGGGCATCAGTTGCCGTGGACAGAAGGTCAAGTTAGGGCATCAGTTGCCGTGGACAGAAGGTCAAGTTAGGACATCAGTTGCCGTGGACAGAAGGTCAAGTTAGGGCATCAGTTGCCGTGGACAGAAGGTCAAGTTAGGGCATCAGTTGCCGTGGACAGAAGGTCAAGTTAGGGCATCAGTTGCCGTGGACAGAAGGTCAAGTTAGGGCATCAGTTGCCGTGGACAGAAGGTCAAGTTAGGGCATCAGTTGCCGTGGACAGAAGGTCAAGTTAGGACATCAGTTGCCGTGGACAGAAGGTCAAGTTAGGACATCAGTTGCCGTGGACAGAAGGTCAAGTTAGGACATCAGTTGCCGTGGATAGAAGGTCAACTTAGGACATCAATGCTTTAGTTAAGACAGCCACAAAGACAGCTGTAAAGACAGCCCTGTGTCAGAACTCACCCTCTTAAGACAGCCCTGTGTCAGAACTCACCCTCTTGAGACAGCCCTGTGTGAGAACCCACCCTCTTGAGACAGCCCTGTATCAGAACTCACCCTATTAAGACAGCCCTGTGTGAGAACCCACCCTCTTAAGACAGCCCTGTCAGAACTCACCCTCTTAAGACAGCCCTGTGTGAGAACTCACCCTTATGACAGCCCTGTGTGAGAACCCACCCTCTTAAGACAGCCCTGTCAGAACTCACCCTCTTAAGACAGCCCTGTGTGAGAACTCACCCTCCTGAGACAGCCCTGTGTCAGAACTCACCCTCTTAAGACAGCCCTGTGTCAGAACTCACCCTTAAGACAGCCCTGTCAGAACTCACCCTTAAGACAGCCCTGTGTGAGAACTCACCATCTTAAGACAGCCCTGTGTCAGAACTCACCCTTAAGACAGCCCTGTCAGAACTCACCCTTAAGACAGCCCTGTGTGAGAACTCACCCTATTAAGACAACCCTGTGTGAGAACTCACCATCTTAAGACAGCCCTGTGTCAGAACTCACCCTTAAGACAGCCCTGTCAGAACTCACCCTCTTGAGGTCCTTGAGCTGGGCCATCTCCATCTGTGTCTGGGCCAGTTTGTCTTTGACCTGCTCATAGTTGCTTTGTACCGTCGTCCTCCACTCCCGCTCTATCTGCAGGCTCGTCTCAAGGGCAGATCTGAGGGCAGACAGGGGCACGGTAAGTAGGGCACAGAGGGCACGGTAAGTAGGGCACAAAGGGCACGGTAAGTAGGGCACTGAGGGGCACGGTAAGTAGGGCAGAGATGGCACGGTAAGTAGAGCAGACAGGGGCGCGGTAAGTAGGGCACTGAGGGGCACGGTAAGTAGGGCAGAGATGGCACGGTAAGTAGAGCAGACAGGGGCGCGGTAAGTAGGGCACAGATGGCACGGTAAGTAGAGCAGACAGGGGCGCGGTAAGTAGGGCACAGTAAGTAGGGCAGAGAGGGGCACGGTAAAGTAGGGCAGACAGGGGCACGGTAAGTAGGGCAGACAGGGGCACGGTAAGTAGGACAGACATGGCAAGGTAAGTAGGGCACAGTAAGTAGGGCAGAGAGGGGCACGGTAAATAGGGCAGACAGGGGCACGGTAAGTAGGGCACAGTAAGTAGGGCAGAGAGGGCATAGTAAGTAGGGCAGAGAGGGGCACGGTAAGTAGGGCACGTAGGGCACAGAGGGCACAGTAAATAGGGCACAGAGGGCACAGTAAGTAGAGCAGACAGGGGCACGGTAAGTAGGGCACAGAGGGCACAGAGGGCACAGTAAGTAGGGCACAGAGGGCACAGTAAGTAGAGCAGACAGGGGCACGGTAAGTAGGGCAGACAGGGGCACGGTAAGTAGGGCACAGTAAGTAGGGCAGAGAGGGGCACGGTAAATAGGGCAGACACAGTATAGATATTAAACATGCTGTCTACTGGAGAGTCATGAAAAGCTATAGATCTAGATCCAAATAGTTTTTGAGGCAACGATCACAGTGTGGGATGTTAGTGTGGGGTGTCAGTGTGGGGTGTGAGTGTGAGTGTGGGGTGAGTATCACTTGAGGCTAGAGCGTATCGTATAAATATACCAGCTGGTTGACTTGGACTAACGCAGCGAATGCAGGTTTGGCCATCAACAGACTAAGGCCAATGGTCCAAGTCTAAAACATGACTTCACTGACAGTGTAGCTAATGATTGATCACGATGAATAAAGAGAAAATATCTGTTGTTTTCTTAGATTTTCTTAAACACCACCCACGTGGGAAAATTTCCCACCAAATCAGACTTGCCATTTCGACATTTCAATGTCCACAAGCTAGCAAGTGTTGGACAAATGTTGGACAAATTATCGGCGTTGTAAAGATCCACTTCCTTCAATAAAATGTCATATTTTTCATTTACCACAAAACAAATTTTACAAAATCATGGCGGTAATTTGATATCAAATGTTTTGTAACTGAAATATCGACACAATATTAAATGTTTATAAAGGAAATATCTACACCGTTTTTGCTATGAATAATCTAAATAATCCCTACAATACAGATAATTTCGACTTTTTTTCCGACCTAAGTATATCTTGGTATATATTTTCTCCGCAACACATAGATACAGTTTCACACGGCGGAGTGTATCGGGAATGTTAGGTCTGTCGACAGTTTCACACGGCGGAATGTATCGGGAATGTTAGGTCTGTCGACAGTTTCACACGGCGGAATGTATCGGGAATGTTAGGTCTGTCGACAGTTTCACACGGCGGAATGTATCGGGAATGTTAGGTCTGTCGACAGTTTCACACGGCGGAGTGTATCGGGAACGTTAGGTCTGTCGACAGTTTCACACGGCGGAGTGTATCGGGAATGTTAGGTCTGTCGACAGTTTCACACGGTGGAATGTATCGGGAATGTTAGGTCTGTCTACAGTTTCACACGGCGGAATGTACCGGGAATGTAAGGTCTGTCTACAGTTTCACACGGCGGAGTGTATCGGGAATGTAAGGTCTGTCGACAGTTTCACACGGCGGAATGTATCGGGAATGTTAGGTCTGTCGACCTACACGTGATGGGCTGGGACTTGAAATGGAGACACATCAGCGACACAAACATTTCACAGTTTTACAGTAGAGTTTGGCTTTAGAGTCCAACACAATCCAACAGTTGAACCACCCCAACAGAAGAGACAGACATTAGTCTCCTTTGAACAGACAGACATTTGTTTTACAATGATTTGACAAGAGATTTCCTCTGGGAAACAATAAAACTAAACCTATACAAGAGAAACTTAAAACTAATCTACAACTGCAGGCCGCCGCTGGCATCAATATTTCCGCCAGTCAATGGCACCAAATTAGCTTGTAAAAACCGGCCAGATGTTTTGGGTGATCAATGGCTTTGTACGGGGGGACAGAGGGCGCCTGGTGTAGGGTGTCGTATGGAGACAGTGGGCGCCTAGTGTAGGGTGTCGTATGGAGACAGTGGGCGCCTGGTGTAGGGTGCCATATGGAGACAGTGGGCGCCTGGTGTAGGGTGCCATATGGAGACAGAGGGCGCCTGGTGTAGGGTGCCATATGGAGACAGTGGGCGCCTGGTGTCGTATGGAGACAGTGGGCGCCTGGTGTAGGGTGCCGTATGGAGACAGAGGGCGCCTGGTGTAGGGTGCCATATGGAGACAGTGGGCGCCTGGTGTCGTATGGAGACAGTGGGCGCCTGGTGTAGGGTGCCGTATGGAGACAGAGGGCGCCTGGTGTAGGGTGCCATATGGAGACAGAGGGCGCCTGGTGTAGGGTGCCATATGGAGACAGTGGGCGCCTGGTGTAGGGTGCCATATGGAGACAGAGGGCGCCTGGTGTAGGGTGCCATATGGAGACAGTGGGCGCCTGGTGTCGTATGGAGACAGTGGGCGCCTGGTGTAGGGTGCCGTATGGAGACAGTGGGCGCCTGGTGTAGGGTGCCGTATGGAGACAGAGGGCGCCTCGTGTAGGGTGCCATATGGAGACAGAGGGCGCCTGGTGTAGGGTGCCATATGGAGACAGTGGGCGCCTGCTGTAGGGTGCCATATGTATCGGGAATGTTAGGTCTGTCGACAGTTTCACACGGTGGAATGTATCGGGAATGTTAGGTCTGTCTACAGTTTCACACGGTGGAATGTATCGGGAATGTTAGGTCTGTCTACAGTTTCACACGGCGGAATGTACCGGGAATGTAAGGTCTGTCTACAGTTTCACACGGCGGAGTGTATCGGGAATGTAAGGTCTGTCGACAGTTTCACACGGCGGAATGTATCGGGAATGTTAGGTCTGTCGACAGTTTCACACGGCGGAGTGTATCGGGAATGTTAGGTCTGTCGACAGTTTCACACGGCGGATGTATCGGGAATGTTAGGTCTGTCTACAGTTTCACACGGTGGAATGTATCGGGAATGTTAGGTCTGTCGACAGTTTCACACGGCGGAATGTATCGGGAATGTTAGGTCTGTCGACAGTTTCACACGGCGGAGTGTATCGGGAATGTTAGGTCTGTCGACAGTTTCACACGGCCTAGAAGAGGTGTGTGTGTGTGGGGGGGGGGGGGGGGGTGGTAGACATGAGGACAGCGTATATCTTGAAGGTGTTTGTTTACTTACGTCGTTGAGTTACCACGGGAAAACTCCCAGCAAAGATTTGATCGTAAAAAAGTTTTGACATCAAATAACAAGTTCATTAATTATACACTAAGTATATGCTTTCAAAGATAGATTTTACCATACGTCATCAACCTTAAACGCCAACTAGAATCATGTATAGAGAGAGTGGATATTCGAAAAGAAGAAAACATTAGCGAACTGAGTGGATTGAGGCTTACAGAACACAAGAATGATGGGACAATCCTGTGAGTTGTCTAGATGTGTGTATGTGTGTGTGTGGGGGGGGCATCAAAATAAAAGGCAGCATTGTAAACTCTATGATTGTAGAAAACAATTAACCTTTCCCGATCGATAATTAACGAGGTTAGAAAAGTTTCACATCGCTTGTATGTTGTGATGTCATGTACTGCTTGTATGTTGTGATGTCATGTACTGCTTGAATGTTGTGATGTCATGTACTGCTTGTATGTTGTGATGTCATGTACTGCTTGAATGTTGTGATGTCATGTACTGCTTGAATGTTGTGATGTCATGTACTGCTTGTATGTTGTGATGTCATGTACTGCTTGTATGTTGTGATGTCATGTACTGCTTGTATGTTGTGATGTCATGTAGTATGTCAACCTACAAGGTGTAAGGGATCTAACTGTCGTAGATTTGTCATGGTAGCCTTCACACTTTGGCTCAATGGGAAACTTTGGTGAGTCGCTATCATAGTGGTTGGGATGGGTGTCACGCCAGTGGGATGGGTGTCACGCCGGTGGGATGGGTGTCACGCCGGTGGGATGGGTGTCACGCCAGTGGGATGGGTGTCACGCTAGTATGATGGGTGTCACCTCGAGAGGATGGGTGCCACGTCAAATATTTCCCGCCTACCATCACATATTTCTGTCAATTTGTTTTTCCTGTCTGTCATTTGTTTACAACAGTTGATTTGATGACAGCCAAGGCCCACTCTGCCCCTCCCACTAAAATGGCGGAACAGTCAGGTCCCCACCCCAATCACGTGACAATCCTGCTGTATCCCCCCAAATTAACAGCAGACGATGAGGGATCTATGTATCGGATTGCCAGAAATCTGCTGCGTCAAGTTCTGGCTACTAAAAATTAATGGCACCAAGAGTTACTGGTGGGGGTGGGAGCACGGGGCTCTTGTAGAACATCTTTAGCGCTAATCTCGTACTAAGCCAGATCTTAACCCATGCCACGGCTAGTTAGAAGGGAGAGGGAGTAGATTAAAGCTCTCTTTGTTTGTACTCATTCCATAAAGCAGACGGCATTTTTAGAAGACTGTTGGTTTTCGTGTTGTTTCAGTACATGAGTTTGTGTACACAGGACAGTCATCAATACATCAGATTCTGGTCACATCAACAAAACATCAGACTTTGTACACGCGAACAAAACATCAGATTGTGGACACATCAACAAAACATCAGATTGTGGACACACCAACAAAACATCAGATTGTGGTCACACCAACAAAACATCAGATTGTGGACACATCAACAAAACAAAACATCAGATTGTGGTCACACCAACAAAACATCAGATTGTGGTCACA